GGTTTTTGAACTTTCTGAATTATTTTCTTCCTCTTTCATATTAGAACGAATCAGACGACTTATAACATAATAACGATTTCTAATTTCTTCTGAAAGGAAAAATGATTCTCTTGTCAATTTGTCTAAATCGCTGAACTTCGCTAGATTTTTCGAATCCAGATTTACGGATTTTTGACCTTCCTTTAATATTTTTTTGTTAAAATCCTTTTTATTGAGAATAACAACACCGTGTTTAATTTCTTCAATAAAATCACAGAAAAATAAATCAAAGGGAATTTCATCATTTTCCTCTTTATCAACTTTATCTAAAATAGCCGTTGGCTTTTCATCAACAGCATTTATGTCCAAAATTTTTGAATCACTTAACACTTCCAAAAACGATTTTTCGTTTTCCTTTCCATTCTCCTTTTCCTTTACATATTTTGACAAAACGTTTAAACGCTCCTTTAACGAACTTTTTAAATCTTTGATGTATAAGAATTTGCCTCTATTATTCGGCGTGAACTCGGATTTTTTTTCAAATTCATTACCCAACAAGAAACGCAAAGTTGAAATCCATTTAGTATCAAAGCTCATATCATTTGCGTAATTAGATCGACTACTAACAACGGTTACATTCATTCCTTCTTAAAAATTATTTATAGTGATTAGAAAGCGGAGTAGCAATTTTTAATTAATTTTAATTTTATAAAACAATTAAAAATACCCATAAAAAGCTCAAAGGCAGCATATAAACCAACTGGACCATCACTCTCTACAATTACATTTTTATACTCTTTTTTCAATTTCTCTTTATTTTCCAAATGCTGATTGTAGATTTTCTCAATAATAGCTTTATTCATTTCTTTGCTTTGTATTTTTGATAAATTAAAAATAAATTTCAACACATATATTGCGGTAAAAGAGGGTGCATTTTTGATAAAAGAGTAAATATCAATCAAAGACCCTTCTGAGCCTTTTGAATGCAAATCCATCATAAAAATCTTGCAATTTATAATTAAATTTATCAATTCCATGTAATGTTCTCTATTTGATGGAGTAGAATATTCCTTAAAATTTATAATTAAATGCCCTTTTTGGGGTATTGAGAATAAATGGAGGCTATTAAATTAGAATAAATACTGTTGTATCCTTGTACAGGAATAAAGAAGCAATACAATAATGTGTTTATCACACAATAGAAATACAATAAAAGTTGATGAAATAGAATAAGTTTGGGGTATTTAGAATAAGCAAATAGGAGACAATTAGGAGACTCGGACTGACATGAGGCCTTTATATGTGAGGCTTTTACAGTATAATAATGTTTAAATACTAGCCGCCACACCACAACAAATACGGTATTATCACGGGTTGGATGGGTCTCCCCAAATTTTATTAGGACATTTATGAATTACAAAAATTTTTTCGACCTCTATGATTAATTTTTAATCATTACCTTTTTTTCTAACATTTCATCAACATTTTTAATATTCTCTTCAATTTCATCATATTTTTTTAATTCCTTTGCAATACCCTCAACACTATCAAGGGGTAAGTTAATATTTTTTAAATTTAGGTGCTTAAATTCGTTAACTTTATTTACAAGTCTTTCAAAAGCTTTATTAAATGTTGTAAAAATATTTTTATACTCCACCTTTCCTTCAAGATATTTATATTCCTCAAATTTAATTGGATCACTTTGATATACCCCTCCACGAGGCATTCCAGTTGAATCATCTATCTCAGCAATTTGTTGTAAACGTTTAATGCGACTTTCTTTTAACACTCCTATAAAAATAAAAATATATCTAAAAACAACAAAAGACTTCAAATTAGGTAGATCAAAATTAAGGTTGCTTTAAGAAAAACATCTTTTGGTAATATTAACAGGACAGACCCCCTTTTTTCCTCCCCAATTTTCCGCCTATATTTTTGCAAAATGGTCAGACTTTTTCCTTTCTTCCATCCAAACTGCCTTTCTAATTTTTGCCTACAATCAAACAAAAAGGATTATTTAAATTTATACAAGTGCAAGTACTTGCAAAAAGACAAAAGGAGGAAAATATAGGGGGAAAATTGGGAAGGAAAAAAGGGGGTCTGTGTTACGACCCGAAGTTGTCCGAGATTTAACTAATGTTGACGAGCACCATAATGAGTTTATCCGATGTAGAAATAAACAATGCAGGCGAAGGGAATGGAACAAACGAAGGAGATCAGTGACTAGCCCCGTTAGTATGATCCAATTAGACTGACGCTTTCACTGGCTTTTATACTATCCGTACACCATTTATACTATCCGTACATTTAATTCGAAAATTTTTTTTGAACTACACAACAGTCTGTCCGCTCCAATATTACCCATATCTCTCGAGTACCGTGTCCACAACAGGTTTTAAATATTAATACCTTCATCCAGATTGTCTGGAGCAGCGCCAACATCAAAACTCAAAGCGAGAATTAAAGCAAAAATTGGCAACAATTTTGCTTTGTCTCTCATTTTTTTGTTAAAAAACAAATTTCCTTCAATAGAAGGGTTTTATGTTTAATTTAAATAAAGATTTTTTATTTGAAAAAATTTTTTGAATAAACTGATTATGCTAGGGGGTAAATAATTGTTTATATATGGACAAAAATCGTCGGATTTATTGGTATACATGATTGATTGAATGCCAATAATTTTTTCAAAATTTAATAAAAATTAGAGAAAAAGAAATTAAAATAGCATTAAAAGGCACAAAAATGCACAAACATTAAATAAAAAATATTAATTTTACGTGGTAAAATCCATTAAGAAAAATCAAGGTAGTGCGCGTACACAAAAAAGCATAAACATTAAATTAATTTTACGTATACATTAAATTGATTTTTAAAATTCATATGATTAAATTTACGTAATTTTATTTAAAAAAATTTTAAAAAGCGGTAAAGAAGAGTCCGAATCCTCAATTTCCCGTTAATCTTGTTTGTTATTTGTTTTGTTTAGATTTAAAACTAGAGTAAAGCAGATGGGCTATACATAGCTACTTCTCTCCTTCAGCTAGTGCAAAAGGTTAATCAGTGGCTGGGAGCTACTCATTGGCGTTATTAAAAGTTTAAAGTCCATTTATAATTAAAAATTCAATTTTTACTTGGGATGGAGGTGTAAAGCATATAGCTATTTTTCCGACTAATTCCCCTGGGGAATTAGTTTTTCAACCCTTCCCTAGTATGGGGAATTATTCTAGCCACGATTAACCTTTTGCACTAGCTGAAGGAGATAAATAGATCTATAGCCCAGCCGCTTTACTCTAGTTTTAAATCTAAACAAAACAAATAACAAACAAGATTACCGGGAAATTGAGGATTCGGACTCTTCTTTACCGCTTTATACATAATTAAAAAAAATTTTTTTATATAAATTACGTTCATTTTTATCATATGAATTTTTTAAAATCAATTTAATGTATTTAATGTTTGTAATTTTTTGTGTACGAGCACTCCCTTGATTTTTCTTAATAGATTTTAACACGTAAAATTAATATATTTAATGCTATTTTAATTTCTTTTTCTCTAATTTTTATAAAATTTTGAAATAAGAATACAAAGAAAACAAAGAAAAATACAAAGAAAAACACGTTCTATTAGCCAAACACAATGGTTATTTTTTATTTAATTTTTAAAACAAACATTCAAATACACAAAATAGCGCCGAGGGACGACTGAGTCCCGGAGCCATATTTTGGGCCATAACTTTTTGTGTATTCAACCAATTCGAATAAAACTTTTATCATTCGAAAGCCCCGGACGTGAGGATCATTTTTGCTAACAGCATCGATTTGATCAGATCATCATACAAAAAGTTACAGCTAGATAAGTGCAAGCAATCGTGATTTTTGATCTTTATTAGGCCGTAACTTTTTGTAGGTTGATCTGTTTGTAATTATCCTGATAGATAAAATAATCCTTAAATCCAGAGCTTTCGATTGATATATTAATTATCTAAATCAGTTAGGAATTGAAAAAGTTATGGACCAAAATATGGCTCCAAGAATCAATCTGCAGGAGGACGTTCCGCAATTATTTTTTAAAATAGGGTATCGGTTCAGCAAATACTTCGAGCTGAGCTACCCTACCGTTCCCCTATTCAAAAACTATTTTTTCATTTATTTAATAGTCTTTATATTTCATTTTTGCATTTGTATAAAAATCTTTAGTTGTCAGCTTAATAAACATCAAAAATCACGATTGCGCGCACTTATCTAGCTGTAACTTTTTGTATGTTGATCGTATCAAATCAATGCAGTAAGCAAAAATAATCCTCATATCCAGGGCTTTCGAATGGTAAAAGATTTGTTCGAATTGGTTGGAAACTCACAAAGTTATGGCCTAAAACATGGCTCCTGAAACGAAGACTCAATTGTCCTCAGTCTTTATTTTAAAAATATTTTTGTAACGTTGGCATCTCGTCATTTTCTTTGGCATAATGTTTTGTCTACGTTTAATTTTACATTAACAAATAATTTTTTTCTGATTTTTATTTATTTTATTAAAGATTTTTGTTTTTTAAATTTTCTTTTAATTTTTAGAAAATTGTTGCTTTAAAAATCAAGGAGAAGAAAATATGGGTATTTTTGATCTCAGTATTTTCGATGAATTTAAGCGAATGGACAAACGACAGGTTGTTTACCAATTCTTAAATTTTGCGATGATTGTTAGTTCGGCATTGATGATTTGGAAAGGTTTGGATTTTATTTTTATTGAAGAGGGATGACATTTGGTCCCAAATTTCTCCCCTTCTTTATCCCCCTTTTTTCTCCTTCCTCAAGAGACCCGTCTGTTCGGAGAATAGGGACGACATTTGGTCCCAGATTGCCTTTTTTTATCTTCCTTTTTTCTCCTGTCTCAATATTTTTATTGAAGAGGGATGACATTTGGTCCCAAATTTTTCTTTGGCTTGATAGGGATATGATGATTCTTAAAGTCCCTCCATCTTTCTCACAAGGCATTAACGGTATTAACGGTCAGATTTTCATCCTCAGTTTCTCTGTACCTCTACAAGAGTTTTAGAGCAGGTTGGGAGAAGGATTAAGTTGATCTGACCATTATGAGTCTTTTGAGGAAAAACGGGTACTAATTTCAAGTCTGCGATTTCTTTTTTTTCTTTACCTTTTTATTATTTTTGACGGTCTATTTTATTCATTTTAATGGAATTAGAAAATTTATTTTCCCACGCGGACTCGAACCCACGACCTAGAATTTCCCGCTGGGAGGGTCATTAGGCCTGTATCAATTTTAATATAAAAAAATATTTTCAGGTCTAATGGTGATTACAGGCTCTGAAAGTCCAATAGTCGTCGTCTTATCAGGTTCAATGGTCAGAATTTTTTTATTTCAATAATTTTAGTCAATTTTAAATTTAAGGAGCCAGCATTTTTCCGAGGCGATTTGTTAATGCTTACAAATGATGTTGATGATCCAATTCGTGCTGGGGATATTACAGTCTTTAAAATTGAAGGAAGAGACATTCCAATTGTTCATCGAGTTATTAAAGTACACGAAAAGGATAAAGACGACACTAAATTTTTGACAAAAGGAGACAATAATATGGTTTGTTTTTGGATTTTTGTAGGGGTTTTTATGGGGGTTGGTTTTAGCAATTTCGGCTTTGAACAAGGATTGATCCCCAGCCCGACGGGGAACTTTTTTGTGTATTGGGGTCAGGGAATGTTCTAAAATTGCTGTCGGGCAGGGAATTTAGGGACTGACTCACTTTGAAATTTCTCCAATTCTGAACCCTTTAATTTTTAAATGGCCCTAATGAGATTGGCCCAAATGGAAAAGATAGCCCATAATATTTTTATAAGGGTCTAGAATTAAAAGGGGATAAAATTTTGACGATATAATGGAGGAGACGATAATACGTGCTTGGATTTCATACATTTAAGCTAAATTCTTAGGGGTACCTTTGCTTTTGTTTTGATGAAAAACCCATTTTTTGTCCGCAAGTGTCTTGCGTATTTTGCTCATTTCTCTATAAAAATGTTTATTTTAAAGGTGGATGATCGCGGTCTATATGCTTCTGGTCAATATTGGTTACAACGCAAAGACGTTGTTGGACGTGCTAAAGGATTTGTACCTTATGTTGGAATGGTTTTTCTTTGGAATTTTTTTCTGTTAAATTTTTCAATTTTTAAGGTCACAATAATTATGAATGATTATCCAAAATTGAAATATTCTGTTTTGGTGTTGTTAGGACTTTTTGTGCTTTTACATCGTGAATAGGACGGTGAAAGAAAGGTTGTTTAGAATGGTGATTTTATTTTAAATTTTTTCTTTTTTTGGCTGTTATGTATTTTATTTTTGGGGGGAAAATTAGTGACTGGAAGTAGTGGAGGACAATTCCCGTATTTTTCCAACTTTTTCCTAAAAAGTCTGCAAGTCATGAATATGATTTGGTAGGGCAAGCCAATTCTCTTGTCCTTCTAAATTTTTTGCTGAAAAAGTCCGCACTTTTTGTCTACAAAAAAAGTCCGCAAGTTTTGTCCGCAAACATTTGTTTGTCCGCAAATAATTTTTTATCCGCAAAAATTTAAAAATACCTTACCATCTGGAATTCTTTTAAATTTGAAATTTTTTTCTGGTCACTTTTTTGAAAAATATCCTTTTTTTATTTCCCTTTTCTATTTATGTAATTTAATTCCTTCCATTTTTCACTGTAAAATTGCGCCTATTTTTTTGGATTTTAAAAATACTTTCATTTTTCATAATATATAAAAATTTGTTGACAGATTTTTTTGTTTTTATTTTAAAAAATAATTGGAAATTAATCCAAAAAATTTTTTTAATTTTTTTAAGTCAAAAAGTCCGCAAGTTTTGTCCGCAAAAAAATTTTTCTTTCAAAAGATGTATTTTAAACCTTTTTGTTTCTTCTCTTTTTCATTGTTGAACAGTTTTCTGCTTTGTTATTCCACAAAAATCCCAACTAGCGTTATTGAATTAAATGACAGGTTTTTGGATGTTATGGACAAAGGATTGTGGTTTGTGGAGGTTTTTTTTAATTTTATTTTTTGGTGTATCGGGATAGTTTTGGGTTTCTACTGCAGAGGGCGAGGGTTCGAATCCCACACTTGGAAATAATTTTATTTCAGCTAGTTTTTTTTAAATGTCGACAAAAAATTTTTTGACACGTTAAATAATTTTTATAAACATTTTTTGTTAGCCTAGTGTATCGGGATAGTTTTAGGTTTCTTTATATTTGGGGTGAAGGTTCGCTTGGTGTATCGGGATAGTTTTAGGTTTCTTTATATTTGGGGTGAAGGTTCGAATCCCATGTGGGGAAATAATTTTATTTCAGCTAGTTTTTTTGTCGGCAAGTATTTTTTGACACGTGGACGTTTTTATAAACATTTCTTGTTCGCTTGGTGTATCGGGATAGTTTTGGGTTTCTCTGTATTTGGGGTGGAGGTTCGAATCCCATGCTGGGAAATAATTTTATTTCAACTAGTTTCACCTTAAAATTACCTAGAAAAATATTTTTTACCTTTCAAATAATTTTTAAAAATTTTCAAAATAATTTTTTCAACCTCAATTTAGTTTTATGCTCCATGGTGTGCTCATTGTAAACAGTTAATGCCAGTTTGGGAACTTGTAGGGCACGCTTTAGCAGATAAACAATCTCCTGTGCGTGTTGGAAAAGTGGATTGTACAAGGTTTAATAATGTTGCCTCTACTCTTTCAATTCGTGGTTATCCTACAATTATTTTGTTTGTTTTTTTTTAATATTTTTCTTTTACTCTTTCTGCTTCTGGTTATTCACTCTTAATTAGGGTTGTACTCCGTCCCCGAAAATCGGGGGATATGTGAGTTTTTTTCGAAAATTCCTTTTCTCCCCCTCGTGGTGCTGTCTCCCCGAAAGGCATTTCTAGTGGCCCTTCTCGCCGGGGAACAACCCTACGTTTCTTAATTGTAAGAATGTTGACTCGTTACCGTCCAAAAATATTATTAAGACCAAGACCCTTTAATCTTACAGCTAGATCTTAAGTCTTACAAGAAAACATGTCGAACTATATGTGAAGCCGCTCCAAAATACTGAAACATATCAGCTTTAACTTTTCGATTTGGGGTCATGGCCGAAATAGATTATCGACCATGCTCGACTCGATGATGCAAAAATAAATATAAAATTTTCTCATACAGTTCCTTGTTAGACCCTTCAGTCGATACATGCTCATTTGGGTCAAATTGAAATTTTCTAGTTTTTCCGTGGATTTTCTCTCTAATTTTCAGGGCAACCTTTTCTTTTCGAAATATTTTTAATTTTATTTTTACTTAAAATTTTAAGTTTTCGCAACGGCATTCAAATCCCTTATGAAGGCGAACGTCGAAAAGAAGACATTATAAAATTTGCCGAAAAATGTTCTGGTCCAGTAGTTGATAAAATAGAAACAAAGGCTCAATTTGAAGAGGTTTTTTAGTTTAAAAAAATTTTTAAAAATTTCAAAAAAAATTTTTTTTCAAGTTGCAAAAATCTGCGGATAAAGAGCCTTTTTTCGTCTTTGTCGATGATTCGACAAAACAAAAAACTTCTCTTGAAATGAAAATGTGGTTGGAATATGAGAATGTTGCGGACATGTTATTTACTGAAACGAGATTTTTTAGGGCGAATGAGAGAGAAATAATTCCGGAAGAAATTATTGGGGACAAGGAGGAAGTGGTTTTGATTGGGCTTAAAGAGAGTGATTATTGGGTTAATTTTGGATTGAAGGAGTTTGAAAAAGGTTTTTTAAATTTATTTTTAAGTTTAAAGGGTTTTAAGTTAATTTTAAAAAAATTGACCTCGAACGGATTCGAACCCACGACCCCCAAAAATAGATGAATTTTACCACTTAATCACACGGTTTGTTTATTTCATAAATTTTTTCGTATTTCAAAGATACCAGAATGATGAAAAATTTAAGTAATGAATTATTTGACCCTAAACGGGTTCGAACCCACGACCCCCAAAAATCGAGGAACCTTACCACTTAACCACACATAGTCGTTTATTTTATGTAATTTTTTTGGTGCCGATCGACTCAGCTCTGCGAGATCTTTAGAATGACATATGATTTGTCCGAATCCGTTTCCGGGTGATATGACGGAATTTTTCCAAAATTTTAATCAAATAAAAAATTTGACTCCAAATGGGTTCGAACCCACGACCCCTAAAAATAAAGGTTGACAACTTTACCACTTAACCACCAATGGTGTGATTAAATTTTTTAAGAGAAGAATTTTTTCTAGCCCATTTTAGCACAAAACAGTCTGAGGGAATGCAAAAAAAGAGAAAAATATTTTTTTCAATAATCCTTCAAATTTTCTTCCCTTTCTCTTATTTTTCCCCTTTTTTAAGCTTTTCATGCAAAAAATATAAAATTCTTAATTTAAATTTTTTTAAAGGTCAATCAATTTCTGAATGGATAAGACGTGAAAGATGGCCCCCAATGTTACAATTATCTGCTTCAAATTTACATTCAGTAGCTGATTCAAATAGTGAAAAGAAATTGGTTTTGATTTCTATTGAACCTTTTGACCGGTTAAATTTGAGTACTCCTTCTGGAAGGTTTTTTAGAGTTTTTTTAAATTTAAGTTAAATTAATATAAAAATTTGTTAAACGAAAAATTAGTTCAGGATATCAGAAAAATGGAAAATTTAATTTAAAAAAATTATTTAACCCCAAACGGGTTCGAACCCACGACCCCCAAAATAAAAAATTTTCCCACTAAACCACAAGTTGTGATTAATTCTTGGGGGCAGTTCACGTAATAAATTTTTTCAGTTTTTATGACTTGGCAAAGAAAACAGCCAACAATTTGAGAACAAATCCAGAATTAAATTCGCATTTCCAATTTGGGTGGTTGGAAGGAGGACAAATTGCTAATGGAATTGTGATGGGGTCTTTAACTATTCCAAGTATTTTTTTTATTTTTGGATGACATTATGATCTGGGAAATTTTTTAAGAAAAATTAAAGTTATTTTGCTCAATAAAAAACTATTTGACCCCAAACGGGTTCGAACCCACGACCCCAAAAAATATAGGTAACCCACTTAACCACCAATGATGTATTTTATAACGTTTAAAAATCGTCCAAAATTCCAAATTTTTTATTTAAAATTTCTTTTATTCTTTAAAGGTTTGGTTGTTTTCAACTTCTCAAGTTACGAATTCTTTCTTAGCGATGATTCTAATGAACAAATGACTGTCCACTCTTTACTTTTATTTTTGCAAAGAATTAAGGAAGGTCATGTTAAAGCGCAAGGAGGGCGTGCTTGGATAACTCGAATTAAACGAATGTTTTACGACGTTACTACGTTTGTTTTTTATTTGGTATTATTAAAAATTAAAAAAATAAAAAATTGTTTGACCCTGAGAGGGTTCGAACCCATGACCCCCTGAAAAAGTTAAAAATACCACTTAACCAAATTTTCTGTCTTTAAAAGGTGTTGGAATTAATTTTTACAACTCAGAAATTAGAAGTAAAGGATAAAGAAAATTGTTTGGCACTGAAAGGGTTCGAACCCGTGTCCCCTAAAAATAAAGTCAAAAATGTTACCACTTAACCACAGAGTGATTTTTTCGTTTTTTAATTCCAAAAAAAATTTTTTTAAGCAATCTACTCGATATGTTCAAACATCAACCAATTTTGACTGTTTGTCTATTTGGCGTTCCTTTAGCATTTTTCTCAATTATAACTTATTCAATTTGTTCTGCCGATTTTTCTGTTGATAGAGATGAAGTATATCCAGATGATGAAGAATTGGATGAAGAGGAGGAAGAAGATGAAATGAATGGGGAAGGGCCTAGTTCTAGTACAAATACCTCTGCAATTGAAGGTTTTTTTGAAAATTTAATTAATAAACCCGGAGAGGGTTCGAACCTGTGACCCTGAAAGATAAAAGTTAAAAATTATGCCACTTAACCATGGAGACGAAATTGGGTAGTAGGGCCTTTCCAGTGTGTATTGCGTAAATCTACAATATTTTTCCCGGAGAGGGTTCGAACCTACGACCCTTAAAAATAAAAGGCAAAGATTATACCACTTAACCATCGACTGGATGTACATAATAGGAGGTGTAGGGGACCTTTTCAATGGGAATTGAGTAAATCCGCAATATTTTTGCGGATTTTTCACAAATTTATTTTTCATTAAAATTTAGACGACCACATAAAAGCTGAATAACAACACAAAAACAACATTTTTGCAATTTCTAGTCTATTTTTTTATTTAATTGATCTCCAAATTAAATTTACAAAAAAAATTTTAATTTTGATTTGGCCAATTATTTTTAAATCTTTTTTATTTAGCTAATTTTTGGAACCCTTTTTTTATTTTATTCCTCATTAATTTTATTGAAAAAAATATTTTTTAAAGAAGAAAATTTAATTTCACAATTACAGTCGACCTCGGATTTTAGGGCTGAAAAAATTATCGTTTTATGGGTATTTTAAATAATGGCTCCCTCCCATTATTAGGCAGCTAATTTTTATTACTCAGAAATTAAAAGAAAATTGTTTGGCCCTGTCAGGGTTCGAACCAGGGCTGGGCGCGAAATTTCGCATGCGAAATTTAGCATTCCGCAATTGCGTTTTCTTATATATTAAATTTATTTGAAAAAGCGTATACGGAGTAACTTATTTTCTAACTTAAAAGAGCCCTGAGCCTTTATTTTTGGTCTAATTTTAAAATATTTTTGTAGTTTTGTGGCCTTTTGCCTGAAAGATACACTGCTAAAAATTAAGCGAAAAATCTAAACTTTTGTTCAAAATACATGCAAAACAAATCATAAAAAATTGATAAAAATTACTCCGTATACGCTTTTTCAAATAAATTAAATATATAAGAAATACGCAATTGCGGAATGCTAAATTTCGCATGCGAAATTTCGCGCCCAGCCCTGGTTCGAACCCGTGCCCCCTAAAAATAAAGTCAAAAATGCTTTACCACTTAACCACCGAGAGTTTTCACAGACTAATGACGCCAAATTTCAGAATTTCTCAGAAAAAAAATTCAGAATTTTTCAGAACAATCAGAATTAAAAATCAGAATTTATCAGAAAAAAAAATTTCAGAATTTCTCAGAACAATCAGTCCAATATTTAGTGGTGAGGTTAAAAAATAAAATCTTCAAATGATGGATCAACCTCCCCCCAATTCATTATCCAAAAGTTGGTCTTGTGCTGTCGATTCCAACAACATTTCTAATAAAAATAATTTTCATCATCGTCCATCAGCGTTGAGTGCTGTCAGTTCTCGACTTCCTTCCTTCGATGGCTTTCAACTTTCCCCAATTGAAGATTTTAATTTTGACCCAAACGATAGGCAATATTTATTTTGTTGTGGAAAGGGCCATTCTACTGTTGGAGTGAAAGTGATAGCTGGGTATGTTTTTGGTTGGGAGTCCATCCTCTATTTTTAGATACCCTTTTGGATTCTCAAAATATTTTAAAACTGGGGAAAGGGTCCAATACTCGTTAAGGGAGACCGGAGGGCTAACCTTACTCTAGTATAGTGATTGAGATTATTGAAAAGCCTAGGCCTGTTTCTGGGTTCCGGGTTTGATTTAATGAGCTTGGCCTGTAGTCCAGGAAGGTCAAAAAATGCCTGGACTCTGGATACAGGAAAACCCCAGGCCTTGATCCAGATCCAGCTCGACCACTACTCTAGTATGATCCCTCCCCAAGATTGACGCTAACACTGGCTCCTATATCTTCTATTTAAAAAAGGGTGTCTATAAAATAGAGGTACTCGTTAAGGGAGGCCGCAAGACCGGAGGGTTAACCTTACTCTAGTATAGTGATCGAGATTATTGAAAACATGGGACTGTTACTTGGTTCCGGGTTTGATTTATTGAGTTGGGCCGGATCCAGGGCCTGTAGTCCAGGAAAAAACCCAGGCCCAGGGATACCCAGGACGGTCAAAAAATGTCTGGGCCTGGACTCTGGGTCAGGAAAACCCCCAGGCCTTGGTACAGACCCTGGTCTTGATCCAAAACCCCAGCCTTGATCCAGACTCTAGTATGATCCCTCCCCTCGCTAACAATGGCTCCTATATCCTCTTAAAAAGAGAGGGTGTCCATAAAATAGAGGTTTTAACTATTTTTTCTTTTCACCAAACACAGAATGTTATGTCTAAGCGTTCTCTCAGAATTATGGCTAATCACTCAACAAATCCTCACCTTCCACAGCCACCCCAACAATTCATTATTCGACTCTTTATTTCAACTTTTATTTGGCGCTGTGTTAGCAACAAGTATGGTATTAGCTATTTGGCTAGAAAATTGTACCCTTTTATTGCCCTATCTGTTAATGCAAAGTGTGGGTCTATGCGCTTTGTTTGTCCCTTTTTTAATTTTTGAATGAAAAATTTTTTCAAAGTTTAACAATTTTCTTGGCTTTAATTTATATTGTGGTGTTGGACAGGGATTTGGAAACTATTGAATTTTTACTTGATAAGTATTCGCCAGTAAGTCTGGATGAAGGAATGAGTGATGGATACAAAAGTTTGTTTCGACAACTTTCTAAAGAGATATAGGGGGAGTTACCCTTTGTGAAAGTATAGGGGACTGACCATTTAAAAATATAGGACTGATCATTTTTAAATATATATGAGGACGATCTTTTAAGTCGGGGACTGACCATTTACCTATATTGATACAGGACTGATCAGCAGTCTGGGTATTGTGTATTTGTTGGCTCCGGCTTCAAGCTTTTATTATCTCGGCTCCGCCCCGGAGCTAGCTCCCGGAGCCATACCAGCACTGTGGCCATTATTAAAAATAAAACGTAACTGACCATTTTTGAAATATCAGTCGAATACCCAATTTAAAAAATATAGGGGACTGACAATTTTCAAAATATGAGGTCTGACCCTTTTTGAGAATATAAGGGGACCGAGCACTCTCAATCCTGACCAGTATTAAATTTTTGTTCTGACCATTTTTAAATTTTTTCTTCAGTTTGCCTAGGTTTGTTCCTCTGTATGGCATGTTTTTCACTTTTACTGCTCCAATTCTGGTTTTTGTCTATAGTAATTGCCTGTTGGCGATATTTTCGAGATAAACAAACATCCTTTATTCAAAACAACAACAGGGTTAATACTTGTATTATTCTTCACCCAATTAATCAAATTGAGGTTTGGAGAGATTTTTTTCTTCGAAAAATGATCGAAATTTCATTTTTAGGATGAGAAAGTGGTTGTAGATATTTTTGAATGAGGAAAGAAATGATTATTCGATATTTTGAAACTTTTTAGTCTTCTGACCCTTTTGACACATTTATTGTAGATATGACACTTTTGAAACTTGTTGGGGGATGTGACTATTTTTAGACATTTTGGACTCTGGGTATTCTGAGAAATTAGGGGGTATGACCATTTTGAGGCTTTTTTGGGGGGTTAAGATTTTGAGACTTATGGAGTCTGACTATTTTAATTTCCAGGCTATAGATAATTTTTTTATAAAATTTAGGGGTACTTGTGTAGTTCCCCCTTCCATACAATAAATAAAAACGAAAATGTTGACCCAAATGTCATTTTTTAATAAAAGGAAGAGGAAAGAGAAAGTGGGCGGGACTTATGGGGGAAATTACACAAGTACCAATTTAGACTATTTTTAAAAATTTAATTAACAAAATTAAAAAAATTTACTCTGCTGAAGCTACTTGTTTTAATTGTTCCTTCCCTCCATTTATTCTTTCCTTTGTATCATCTGAAGAAATTGACAGCGCTTGTTTGGGTTTGATTAAATCAAACTTTGAAAAATAAATTTCAAAAATAAAATAATTTTAAAAAACCTCAACAGGCAATAATTGTGAAGGCATTGCACGCCTTATTCTTGCGTATATTTTGTCTGTTCTTTTACCCACAATAAATCTTTGTAATCCATCAGCTGCCGTACAGACGTGACAATTAACACAACGATGACCTCTTTCTAACTAAAACAAATTTTTTTTAAATTTTTTTGAAATAATTATTATTTCACTCGAATGCTTTGGATTTAAAGGTTATTCTATCCGTTGGAATTTTTAAAATTTTTTAACATTTTTTTTTAAATTTTTCAGATCATCCTACATAAAGCTACAGCCGAATAAAGACCAAAAATCACGATTACCCGCACTTATCAGTTCATAACTTTGTGGGGAATAATCTGATCAAATTAATCCTACTAGATAAAATAATCCTCCTTTCCAGAGCTTTCGATTGGCATAATAATTATTTAAATCGGTTAAGAATAAAAAAAGTTATGACCAAAAATGTGGCCCCAAACTGAAATGCCAATTCTTAAAAGTCCTTTACTGGAAGAGTTTAGGCTTAAAATCGTTCTTAAAATATCCTAAAAAATTTATTTTAACCTTCCTTTTAATTTTTATATTTTTATTAGTCGAAATACTCGAATTAAAAAATATTTACCCTGAGTGGGATTCGAACCTAACACCCTTTACCCTTCAAAACCCAACACTATCCCACTACACCAAAAATTTTGGAAATTAAAATTTTTGCTATAATTAGACCTCAATAAAAATCAGAATTTTTTTAGAATCAGAAATCAGAATTTTTTGGAAATCAGAATTATTAAACCTGAGTGGGGTTCGAACCTTACACCCCTTACCCTTCAAAACCCAACACTTTCCCACTACACCAAAAATTTTGTTTAAAAAACCTTTAAAATTCTTGGGTGTTTTTCCTCCTTCTCCTTTGAACGTTCACCTTTTGCCAAAATAAGATAACTAAAATCCCCAACATTTGTTCCATCTTTGTTTACACTTGTTGTTTTGTGATCTGCACGAAATTCTTGCCATCTTACAGAAAATTTGCAGGATTCTTTTTTGGGTATTTTTGGACATCGTTTATCATGAGGGCATGGGGCGAAGACGTGACCGGGGTCGATTAGAGTTGGGATTTTGACGTCTTCAGGTAACTGAAAGGTTATAGTTAAAATCAGAATTTCTCAGAAAAATCAAAAATAAAATCAGAATTTCTGAGAAAAAGAATCAGAATAAAAATCAGAATTTTCAGAAAATCAGAAGTAAAATCGGAATTTCTGAAAAATATCAGAATTATTCTGTAAAAAAAAAAAGAATAAAAAATCAGAATTTTTCAGAAAATTTGAAACGAAATCAGAATTTCTGAGAGAAAAACAGAATAAAAAATCAGAATTTCTGGAGAAAAAATCAGAATCATTCAGTAAAAAATCAAAAATAAATCAGAATTCTGAATAAAAATTTAAGAAAAATCAGAATTAAAATCAGAATTTCTGAGAAAAACCAGAATTATTCCGCAAAAAATCAGAATAAAAACCAGCCTTCAGAAAAAAAATTTCAGAAAAATCAGAAACCCCGTTACAAATCAAAATAAATTCTCTTACCAATTCTCTAGCTCTACAATATTTTTCATATGTCTGCAAATTCTTGTCAGACAACATTTCAATAGTATCTTGATCTATAGCCTTATATTCATACAATAATTCTTTTGTTTTTTCCAAGTCAAAATCATATCCAGCAGTTAAAATAAAATCACGAATTTTAATTAAAGCTTTGAAAGCATCAGGCATTGGAGATTCTACTATTACTAAATACCTAAGGAAAAATTTTTTTTGAAAATTTAAAAAAATTTTTTTTAATTTTAAGGCTCATTTGAAAGAGCCAATCAAGCTGAATCGAATGAGACTAAACTTGACTTAATATGACTTTAATGAACGAAATTATGGACATTTAAATAAACTCAATCAAAATTTTGCGGACAAAAATTTGCGGATTTTTTTTGTCCGCAAGAAATTGCAGACTTCTTCCCCTGTCCGCAAGAGAAAGCAGACAAAAATTTGTCCGCAAAAATTTGTGGATTTTATGTGTTGTCCGCAAAATTTGAAAATAAAAATTGCGGACATCACAATAAAAAAAGGGACCTTTTCCCTTGTCCGCGAAAAATTGCAGACTTTTTCTGCTGTCCGCAAGAAAAAAGCGGACAAAAAATTTGTAACTTCCCTTTTGACCGCAAAAATGCAGGCTTATCTCTAATGTCCGCAATAAAAAAGCGGACCTTTTCTGTTGTCCACAAAAAATTGCGGACACATTGGGATCAGATTTATTTTTCCTCATTATTTAATTTAATCTAAATTTACTTATTTGTTCGTTTCCACAGCTTCTCAATTAATTCTTTCCTCGCTTCTTGTGATGGCATTTCAATAAGCGTTCTATGTAAAATAACCAAATCGTAAGTGTGTTTTGGTGAAGGAAAAAGTTCTTTTCGAAAAAATAAATTTTTGGAAATTAATTCTCCATTATTTGAATAATTTGGGCCCTAAAATTGTTAAATTTAAATTTTAAAAAATAATTTCAAACTCTTGATAAATCAATAGAAAAATGCCGCATAGATAAATCATTGTCTATTAATGAATATTCTTGAACACTATCGCCTAGAATAAAAAATAAGAAAAATCAGAATTAAAAATCAGAACTTTTCAGAAAAAAATAAAAAAATCAGAACTTTTCCAATAAAGTTCTAATTTCTGCGAATAAAAATCAAAACTTTACAAAAAAAATCAGAATCATTCGGAAAATCAAAAAACCATTAAAAATCAGAATTACCTCGAAAAAATCAGAACTTTTCTGAAAAAATCAGAATTTAAAAAATATAAAACAAACCCCATCTTTCATATGCTGCCCAAAAAGAAGAGCCTATTCCACTTCCAAAATCTAATATTTTTTCTGGTACAAATCCATTTCTATCAAATTCGGCAAGCACTCGTTTCATTTCAGCAAAGTGACCTCCAAACCTATTTTTAATTTTAATTAAATTTTAAAGTTATTGAAAATTTTCAGAATAAATTCTGAAAAATATCAGAACAAATTTCGGAAAATTCACCCAAATTTGCGGACAATCCGCAAAAAATTTGCGGATTGTCCGCAAATTTTGGCAAAAAATTTTTAATTTGAAAATTCATCCAAATTTGCGGACAATCCGCAAAATTTTTTGCGGATTATCCGTAAATTTTTGCGGACAGTCCGCAAATTTTGAGAAAAATAAATTTCGAAAATTAAAAAAACCTTGAGAGACAATAAACAGTTGCTTGTCTCAAATCTTTAAATTTTAAAGGTTTCCAATTGTATCTTCTAACAGCCAATCTCTTCTGAACTAATTTGGCTAATTGGGTTTCAATAAAAGGGCGATTTTGATAAATATTGTAATCGTAACAAAATGCTGGATTTTCTTCAAAAATTTCATCCAAAATTTCACGGCGAGTTTGTCGAAATTCTACAATGCTGGGAGGGAAGTGACGTTGATCTAATTGGTTTGATAACTGAAAAAAAATTTACTGATAAAATCTGCGGACTAAATTTGCGGACGTCCGCAAAAATTAAAATTCTTCCAAAAAATTTTTGCGGACAAATCCTGCGGATGTCCGCAAAATCAAAAATATTTCAACAAAAAACTAACCACATCAGCCTCTCTCTGTAATTGTTTTGGAGGAACTCTACTATCCAAAAGTATTCCTCCCAAAGCTTCTACAGCATCCAGAGGCAGTTTAGAAAGTTTGGTAACTCGAGAGTTGACTATAGCTTCTAAAAATGATTCAAATTAAATCAAAAAAAATTAAAAAATTAAAAAAGACTTTGGAAAAATTTTCCAAAATAAATTAAAAAGTAAACACATTCCCCCATTAAAATAACATTAATTGCCCAAGAAGGGTTCAAACCTTCAACCTATTTTTAAAAAAAACTTGTAAGTATCCCAATACACCACAAATGTCCAAGGAATTGAGAAAACTTGTTTACTGCCAAATAAAAATTAATTACCCTCGGCGGACTCGAACCCAATGCCCTCAATAACCCAAAACCTACAACTATCCCACTACACCACAGACAAAAAACTCCCCTAATCTTTTCGCAAGCTGGAGCCCATATAAAAAATAAATAAAAAAATTAAAAACAAACTTGGAGGCAAAGTTAATTTAGCAATTCCAACAGTTTCTGTACTGTTATTGATTGTTGTCAGGTGTGCACATTTATCAGCAAAAGTTCTATTAAGTAAAGGATCTTGTTGTCTTCGCCTTTTTTTCTTCAAAATTACTAAATTTTCTTCTCTTTCATTTATTGAGGTTGTTGGAAGGGGAAAAACATTTTTGTTTGGCACAGCTATTTGTTTGATAAGTTGACGAGAAATAAAACGACGAACCATTTTCTTGTAGGGGAATAATTAAAATTTATATTGAGAAAATCTGAAAAGCAAGAAAATTAAAGAAAAAATTTTTCTGAGAAAAAAATATTTCAAAATTTGAAACAAATTTGTATTTAAGACAGCGAAAAAAAAATTTTTTTTAATCTTTATTTTAAAATTTTTGGTAATTAAAAGACAAATAAAATATTTAAATAAACACAAGAATATGTAGTAATATACAGTACTGCACAAAAGTATAAGAACACTTTCAAAAAGCTTATAACTTCGGATATACTTGACCAAATTTTAGGAAATTTTGTGTAAATGTGTGGATTATAAAGAGAAACACGATTAAATAATTAAAATTTTAAATTTTTTAAAACATCTCTCCAAAACTTAAAATTATTAAAATTTCGCGTTTTTTACTGCACAAAAGTATAAGAACACTTTATAAAAAAGATACTTCCAAGATTAGGAAAAATTTACAAAAATTCTAGCAAGCATACATAATGATATTATGAAAAAATAAAAAAGAACTAGACTCATATCTTTACCCGGAGCCGGGATCCCGAGACCCCGAAAATCAACGTAAAACAGGGTTTTTCAACTTTAAAAAATATTTTCGACCCCTTATGGATTACTGTAAATTTTGATTTTGGGCTCATTCGAAAGCCCTTAAAATTTGCTACAAGATAGCAACAATCTTATTTTTCAGAAAAAATTTTAGAAAAAGAAGCAGGCATTAAACTTTTTATGCAGAAAAAAACGCCTTAATGCCCCATAAAATTCCCCTTAAGGTCGCTTCCGAAGTTTGAATGCATGTACCTCTCTCTAAAATTTTTTCATAAAAATAAGATTGTTGCTATCTTGTAGCAAATTTCAAGGGCTTTCGAATAAGCCCAAAATAAAAATTGAAAATAATTAGTAAGGGGTCGAAAAATTTTTTTAAAGAGCCTTACCCCCGTTTTACGTTGATTTTCGGGGTCTCGGGATCCCGGCTCCGGGTAAAGATATGAGTCTAGTTCTTTTTTATTTTTTCATAATATCATTATGTATGCTTGCTAGAATTTTTGTGAATTTTTCCTAATCTTGGAAGTATCTTTTTTATAAAGTGTTCTTATACTTTTGTGCAGTAAAAAAACGCGAAATTTTAATAATTTTAAGTTTTGGAGAGATGTTTTAAAAAATTTAAAATTTTAATTATTTAATCGTGTTTCTCTTTATAATCCACACATTTACACAAAATTTCCTAAAATTTGGTCAAGTATATCCGAAGTTATAAGCTTTTTGAAAGTGTTCTTATACTTTTGTGCAGTACTGTAGTAAAGTCAGACCTCACTATAAAAATGTATCATATAACGAGGTGTGCCTTAAATTGTGAAATATCGCTCAGGTGGTGAAATATCGCTTCCAGCAACCCTGTGGCCTACCAAAATTAAAAAAAAATATGCGGACTGTTTTTTGTCCGCAAAAAATTGCGGACTTTTTTCTGTTGTCCGCAAAAGATTGCGGACACAATTTTGTGGAGGTATTTTATAGTAAAGTCCGACTATAAAATCATTTAAAAAAATAAATTAATTAAATTCCTAAATTAAAAATTAATTTTACAAATTTCAATATCCTTCATTGGACCAATCAACTTTATAATTTGGATATTTCTTTTTTAACAATTCCACAGCTTTTGTGTGATCTGCACGTCCAAAACCCTTAAAAATAATTGAGAGATTTTCGATGATATTTGACCAAATTAGGGACAAAGTGTCGACTCCTGGGACAAAATGTCATCTTATTGTCAGCAGGGTTGACGTTTTTAAGTTAGGACAGGCGAAGTTTTAGCTCTGGTCTAATTCAGATGTCCAATGAAAATTTATTAGTCTATTCAAAGTTTATGAGTTCAAAAAAGAGGATATAGTGTAGTGTACCGGTGGTAAAAGTTCGGGACGTGACATATGTCATTCGATTCGTCACGACGAGCTGAGTCGAACGGTACCACTCCCTATTTTAGGAAATAATTCTGGACCGAGTTATAGGTCCCGGAAAATTGAAAAACCATAGGGGGGAGTAAGCTCGATTTTGGGGTGAAAAATTCGAATATGCAAATAATAGCTCATTCGAAAGAGCTCCTCGAGCTGAGTCGAATGACACCAAAATCAACAAAATCTGACTTGATTGGACCGAGATATAGGCCCCTAAATATTGAAGATCCAAAGGGGCGATTTTTGGAATAAAAAATTTTTTATACAAATAATAACTCATTCGAAAGAGCTCGACGAGTTGAGTCAAATGACACCAAAATCACCGTGATTGAACAAAATTAGACAAAGTTATGATACAAAAAAACCTAAACCTATGGGGCGTCGGCGAGGCGCTTGTGCAAACCCCCGCGCTTCGCGCGGGGGTTTGCGGCACGCGCCTCGCGGGGAGTCTACGGGCGGTGGGTCTGGGCTCGTAACATAGACCTAGTCCCATCTCCCTTGCTCTGGATGTACTTGGGGCTCCAGTAGCATCAAAAACCTCCACGGGCGCCATAGGTAAGGAGCTTAAACAAATGCTCATAACTTTGTCAAATCAAGTCAGATTTCGTTGATTTTGGTGTCATTCGACTCAGATCGAGGAGCTCTTTCGAATGAGCTATTATTTGCATATTCGAATTTTTCACCCCAAAATCGAGCTTACTCCCCCCTATAGTTTTTCATTTTTCCGGGACCTATAACTCGGTCCAGAATTATTTCCTAAAATAGGGAGTGGTACCGTTCGACTCAGCTCGTCGAGACGAATCGAATGACATATATCACGTCTCGAACTTTTACCACCGGTACACTACACTACAGCCAAAAAAGATTATGTTGGATGGACTGATAGATCTTCAGTGGTCTCTTAGACTAAACCAAAATCAAAAATTTTGTCATTTTTCAGGACAATATGAAAAAAAAACATCTAACTTCAAAAACGACTTGTAATGACATTTTGTCCCACCCAACGGTTATTAAGGTGTGTGCCCTCATAAGAATTTAGATTTTGCCCAATTTTATCCCTAACGTAGATTAAAACATCTCTAATATGTATGGATTAAAAAATAAAACAAAAAAACCTGTGAATATCCATAAACATTAATATGTTTCTTCTCTGGATCGTGTGAAATTCGTCCACCCCCAGGACATTCAAATTTAATACATCCATTAGCACTTTCCTCTTCTTCAACTTTATCAAAAATATTTGCATGGAATTTACACGATTTGTAGCCACGAACAATTAATTTTCTAGAATCGCCTTCTTTAGCCTTAAAAATAAAAAAATTTGTCCGCAAAAAATGTCCGCAAATGTTAGAAAAATCCGTGATAGTTTATAATAGAGGAATAGCGTAGAACATAGTAGTAGATCTCAAAAAGGTGATTTTCTGGTTCTAAAAAGTCAAAAGGTTACAAGGTTTTCAGTTGCGGCTCTAAACAGTCGAGAAAGTTTGAAAGTTCCGCAGATTCACTCAGGTCCCTAAAACCAAAAAAAAATAAATCCAGGTTTCGGCATGAATACCACTAACTGAGTGAGCAAAAAATTGACGGGTAGGCGTCGAAAAAGTCACGATTTCGAATAGCCCATGACATCCCAAAATCCACCCCAATAAAATTCTTACTTGAATCAAAATATATTTAAAAACCCCATGATCATCAATATCGACATCTGCAAGTTTTGCTAAATTTGCCATTGAATTATTTGCTGTACAAAATCTTTTAATAATTAAACGGGACATTTTATAAGCTTAAAAAATATAGAATAATTTTTAAAATATTTTTAAAAATTTCAAAAAAATTTTTTTTCGAAAAATATTTTATTGAAAACAAAAGCAATTAAAAAATTCAAAAAAACCACAAAATTTTTATTTTTTCACCAATCCGTAATTGTCAATTCATCAATTCCCCAATCTTCAAAAGAACCATCTGGCAAATAGCGACGTATAATTATTGGAATTTTTTGATCCTAAAATAAAAAAAAATTTTTTGAGAATTTTAAAAAATCTGAACGAAGTGTTAAAATGACCATTTGGGTAAGATGACATTCCGTCCCATTTAGGAACAACTTTCTCTTTAGATCAATGGGGATACCGAAACAGATTTTAAAAATTGAAACGAAAGGCAAAACACCAAAAAAGGTGAAAGCCTAAACAAAAAGGCACACCTCTTCCTGAAAATTCCGGATAAAAAGTCCAACCTCGCCCAAAAATACAGCTGAGAAATCGTACTTTATAATGAAGTATATTTTATAGTAGAAGGTACCGCTTAGTTAATTCATCAATTCCCCAATCTTTTATTTTTTTATTTTCCATCGAAAAAATATTTTATTGAAAACAAACTAAAAAGTTTAATTTTTTAAAACTGAAGCGAGAAGTGTCCGATTCTGAAGGGTATTTCTTAACGAAGAGGTCTGACTAATAAAAATTAAATTTAAAAAAAAACCTTGAGTTCTTTCCGCGCAATTTCTAATGGATCTGTCTCTCCTTCAGTTTCAACCATTACAGGTGCTCCCATTGCAATTTGAAGTGCTCTAGTGCCAAGAACTCTAGCTCGCTCATATTTGGTCATGAAAGGAGTCGTGACACGCGAAGTTGAGGCAACCTTCTCGGAAGACTAAAAAACGGTTTATGAGTCCAATAAAGGTTTAAAAATTCAATGAACATCAGAATCACGAGTCCTATAACCTCAAGTAAATTTTCAGTTGACTCAAAGCTTCATTGGACTCATAAACTAAACTAGAGCCAAAATAAAAATATTGGCGCAGCTTTGCTAATAAGTCCAATAAAATTGACTTGAGGCAACAAAAGAGACTCTGAGCAGAATACCCCAATTCTCATAACATTGAGTCGGGATGATGTTGTAATACTAAAAGCTTGGAATACCAAAAGCTTGAAATCCAATAAAATTGACTTGAGGCGACACAAGAGACCAATCATCAGAATCCCTCAATTCCACTATAGTCTCCCAAGCAACAGCCAGTTTGGTATTTCAACAGCTTTTAGGGGGCTGGTATTCCAAGCCTTTGGTAATATAACACGCTCTGAGTCATGTGATTCTAAAAAACTACCCAATCATTCCTAGCTTAACAATACCCACAAAACCAAAAAAAAATAAAATTAAAAATAAAACAAACATCAACAACTTGTATTCGCTCCCCGCCTTCACCATCTTCCCCAGCCTGCTCTTGCTGGTCCAGATCCACATCATCTATTTGATCATCATCCATATAATCGTCCCCTTCACCTTCATCAGGATTATAGTCTCCATCATCAGCCATTTTTTAAAATTTAATTTTCAGTTCTAAAAAATTCTAAAAAAATCAAAATAAGAATTTGAATTTAAAAAAAAAGTAAGATTCTGAATAAACAACAGAAAAATTAAAAATTTTTTTTAATGATTTTAATTTTATTCATAAAACAAGAGAACAATATGTTTGTTGACTACTATCAAAAATAAAAATGAAGGCAAATAAAGAATTGTGTGATAAATAAGGGAAAAATGAATGAATTCTGGTCAAAACTTAAGAATTTTGGTCTAAAAAATTTTTTCCGAAAATTCTGAAAAATTCGAAATTTCGAAAAATTCGAAATTTCGAGAAATTCGAAATTTTAAGAAATTCAAAATTCTAAAATAAAAATTCTGAAGAATCCGAAATTTCGAAAAAATTGGTTACAAAAAAAATAAAGTTTCGGGAAAACAAAATTTGGAAAAACTCAAAACCTTTTTTCTATTAAAAAAAGCTCATATAAATTTACGTAGAAAAATACTATAGGTCAGTCTCTAAATTTTACCACCACACAATTTCCCCTTCTTATTCCCCAAAAATTCAAAAAAAACTTCAAAACATATTTTTCGTCATTTCAACCAAAGAACGTCTACTATCTCCATCCACCATCGTCCAAAGTCCCATTAATCCAAGTCCAACAGCCGCCCCCAACCCACTCGATTTCAATCCATAGGGGGCTCTATACAAAGCTCCAGCAATTCCAGCGCCAGTAAAAGAATTGAGTAAATCGTCGCTGCTTCCAAAAATTTGTGAACGAGCAGTTTTTAGTACCAATTCGGATATACAATAAACAAAGACAGCGGTGCCAGCAGCTTGAGCATAACCACTTCCATATTTGGTTGCTGCGTTTAAAAGGCGTGTAATTCCTGGCCGGCTACTTGCTACGGACTAGAAAAAATTTATTTAACAATTTTTTTAAGAGAGATTAGAAAATAAAATGATGGAGAAGGGGAGATGGTGAAGCTTCTTGAGTTCCGAAAAAGTTGAAATTTTAATGCGAAGCTCTTAACCAAGGCAGGGTTAGATTACCCGAAATTGGTCCAAAAAAATATTTGAAAACTCGGCCCATCCCTGATCCACAGAAAATATAAGTCGATACCTAACCGGGTACGGAACCGCAAGCTTTCTCACACGGTAGCCCGCAAATCAAATTTAATAATTTTAATAAAATCCAAATTTTCTGGGGCTTAATCCAAAAAACCGGCCCAGAACAGTTTTGAATAAAAAATTTTTAAATGCCAAACTCTAATAGAAAAATTATTTTTTTTAATTATTCCAAACCTTTGTATTAATCAACAAATTTTGAGTTAAAGGATTGTTCAATTCCCCAAAAGCTCCTCTCATACTTCCAACAAAAAAAGCACTACCAACAGCACAGCCAATATATCCCATATAAAATTCGAATTTTCCTCTGCCACTTTCATATCCTTCAGGAAGTATAATTTGTGGTTGACTCTCACGGAAAATTGCTGGATCCAACTGGAAAAGAAAAAAATTTTGAGATAATCTTTTAGATTTGCGGACTATAATTTTTTGCGGATTTTGTTATTAACTTCCTTTTCTTAGGTAGCGGCTATTTTTTAGAAATTTTAGTGATTTTTTAATACAATAATTTAATCAATGTTAGGCCAACACACAGCACAGACAAAATACAGTCCAACAAAAATATTGTACAATCCAAAAAAATATCCACCACCCCTAACAAAGGTAACAACTATGTTTTAATCAGTATACCAATATTTTGTCTAGACTGTATTTTGGAAGACGGGTTTTTGCCCCTCAAACGTAGAAAAATTTGCCCCTCACACAACAAACTCATAAAAATGATTAAAAAAAATTCAAACTTTGCGAAAAAATCCAGACCACTTAAAAATTTTCTAGATGTAGAGCCCTTAAACCTCGAAAAAACCTAACCAAAAACCCCCCAAAAAATTAACAATAAAAAACCTGCAAATACGGAGTCATTTGAGCTTTTAAAGGAACCCCAGCATGTTTTAACTGTTCCAAAACAAAAAGAGGTGGTTGTTGTCCTCCCATAGGTGGGTGTATATTTGCTTGAGTTTGTTGTTCATTATTCATAGAATTTGAAGAATTTGTTGAATCAGAAGAATTTCCCCACAACCAACCGCTCATTTTTTAAAAGAATTTTTAGAAATAAAGCTAAAATTAGAAAGTGTTAAAAAAGTTAAGCATAGTAAAATTTGCGGACAGACATTTGCGGACAACAACTATAATAAGTCAGGTTTAAAATAAAAAGTTCTAACAGTGAATATACATATGTACCAACAAAATAACACAAGTCTATTAAATCATTGGGTGTCCGTTCAAAAATTTAAAACAAAAAATTCGGAAGGATTAATAGGTGCGGTTTCTGCGGACTTCTTTAATTTATTTATTTATTTATTTATCAGCAAACCACAGGTATTTTAAAATACATTAAAGTGGTGCATAAAAAAAATAAAAATACAAATTTAAAAAAAAAATATGTGAAACAACAACAAATAAAAACATGAATAAATTAAAAAAAAATATATATGAAATTAGAAAAAAACACTCTAAAAAACACACACGCCAGGGTTTGATGTCTTTATTATTTTACTTTATCGATAGAATACTGTTTAATGAAATTTCTAAATTTTTTCGGATCATTTATTTTAAATGGCTCATTTGGAAGATTATTCCAGTTATTCACCACTCTGTGAAAAAAATTATTTTTTGTTCTATTTGTAAATTTTTTTGTCCTAAGAAGTAGAGGCCTGCGAAGAGGTCTATTTGATAAATTAAAATATTTTTGGGAATTGAGAGATGTAAAACCTTTTATAATTTTAAAGGCTGTGGATAGATCGGCAACCTTTCTTCTATCTATTAACTTTTCGAGTTTACAGGCAATTAATCTTTCTTCATATGGGACCTTAACTAAGCCACATTTCTTGTAAATATTTTTAGTAAATAGTTTTTGGATTTTTTCGATTTTATCTATTTGATATTTCATTTGTGGATTCCACACTTCAGTTGCATATTCTAACTGGGATCTTATATATGTTTTATATATATTAACGAGGAGATTTAAATCTCTAGATTTAATGATTCTTATTATTTGGAAGCTTTTTAGATATGCGTTTTTTATAATCATATTTATATGGTTATTAAATGATATTTTTGAATCAATTAATACTCCAAGATCACGAATACATTCTGTTTCTTGTACTTTTAATCCATGAATGCTATACTCTTTTTTCATGTTATTTTTACCTAAATATAGAACATAGCATTTATTTGGGGATATTTCTAAACCATTATCTTCTTTCCATTTTTCAAGATTAAATAAAGCTTTATTAAGTTGATCTCTTTCTATGCCGTTTTTATGAGCTATATATAATTTTACATCGTCTGCATATAGTTTTACTCCAATATTTCCAGGGATTTCATTAGAAAGATCATTTATAAAAATAAGGAATAAAAGTGGTCCTAAGACACTACCTTGAGGTACACCCGAGAATGTTTCATAGTTCTGGGATAATTGTTCACCTATCTTAATCTTGAAATTTCTACCTGATACGAAGTTTTTAATAAATGTATAAACCTTTCCACCTATGCCTGCATTTTCTATTTTATCTAAAAGAATATTTATTGGCACTGTATCAAATGCTTTAGCAAAGTCTATGTAAATAATATCTATATTATACCCATCTTGTATTGCATTATATAAATCATCCATAGTAGATAATAACTGTGTGGTTGTGGATCTTTTTTTAAGAAATCCAAATTGATTTTTATTAAAGAACTTATTATCTTCTAAGAATTTTGTTAATTGCTGTGCAATAATTCTTTCAAGTATCCTACATAAGGTGCATGTTAGCGATATTGGACGATAATTTGTTGGATCTGATTTTTCTCCCTTTTTATACAGTGGAATAATAAGTGATAATAAGCATGAAAAAAGTTTTTTTTGTTCGTTTGAACGTCAAAGGAAGGACTTTAAAAATGGTAAAGTCCGCAAAAATCCGAAAAAAAACAGACGCAAAAATAGTCCGCAAAAAATGTACGCAAAAATATAGCACCTCACATCATTTGTTCAACAAACACCCGAAAAGATTTCAGTTTTGTCCGCAAAGTCTGTCCGCAAAAAAAAATTTTTTCAATAGAAATATAAAAGATAAAAATTAAATAGGGCATAGAACCCTTTAAAAAATTTTTTTAAAGCTTCAACTAAAATATTATTTAATCAAAAAATGCGCTTGTGTATATATAAATTGTGATGCTAAAATATTTAAAAAATTGAAATGTATGTGATATTGACAAAAAAATTCTAACAAAAAAAAGGAAAAAATGTGGCAGAGGGATAATATAAAAAATTCTTTTTTTTTTTTGAAAAAAACGACGAATCCTAACCAGAAAGTTGAAACAAAAAAACCCCAAAAAATAAATATATATATTCAAATATCTCTATCTTATTCTAGAATACTTCCGCTAAAAATGCTTCAAGTTTATTTTAGAAAAAAAAATTTAAGGCAAAAAGTGCAATCAGAAGGCCTAGCCGGGGGGTCAATTTCAGGGGAGGGGCTAAAATGGGGAGTGTGCGCCAATGTCTTAAATTTTTACCTTTAGCCCATTTCGGGGGAGGGGGGGCATTAGCCCTAGAAGCCCTATGCCCTTGAATCCAAATAAAGGGTAAAATACTAGTGTGTGGTGTGTTAAGTTAAACCTTCCCCTCAACCTTTTCTAAAATATTTTTCCCTTCTCTTTCTTAAGCACATGGTCAGAAACACTATAAGTAATTTTTTGTTGAAGAGGGAAAGTAACAGTGTGATTATTATTAAAAGTGGAAGTTTTGATAAAATACTACAGAGAGGACAAGATAGAAATATTTAATAAAATACATAACAATATTTTGAGAAAACCAGAAAAATATTTTTTCTACAAATATTTAAGACTTCAATATGACAAAAATTTTTCAAAAAAAATTTTTTTGAAAAATTTTTTTAAACTAAAAAAACCTCTATGATTTCTTTCAAAATTTAATGCCTGTTATAATGTTGCATCCTTTTTTCGCCATTAGCAAAACTGTGTCTCCAACCACCACCACCGCCTCCACTATTATTATTATGACCTCTACCAACATCTTTCCAATCATTGCTATTATTTCTTTGACGTTTTGAAATTCCAGAATCTTTAAAAAAAATTTGGAAATATTTTTAATAAGTTCAGAAAAGTCCGTAAGTTAAAAATCCGCAAGTTTGGGCAAAGTCCGCAAGTTCCAAAAAAAGTCCGCAAACTTAAAAAAAAGTCCGCATATTTAAAAAAGTCCGCAAGTTTTATCCGCAAAGTTTAATAAAATTAAAAAAGCCTTTATATAAACCTGCTCCAGAAGAATTTCGTCGTTTTGGTCCATAATTACCTCCAAATTCGCGTTGTTGTTGATGTTGTTGTTTTTGTGGAGGACTAAATAAAGGTGGAGGTTGAACTAAACCGGGGGGTGGAAGTACAAAATTTGGTGGCGATTGCATTGATGATGGAAGTGGATGTGATGAATTGAATGTATTAAGCTGTTAGAAATATAAAAGGTTAGAGCGTTAGAGATCAAGATTTAAAAAAAAGAGGCTTTGATGCTGGGAATGGTTTGTTTGACATGAACCAAAATGTGGGACTGGAGTAGGTTGGGTCATCAGTTCCACTAAATTTCATGGTACCACTAAATTCCACCACAAATTTACCAACTGAACTGAAACATTCTGTTCGGCCAAAGTTCAAGAAAAGAAACAAAGAGAGGTCAAAAAAGTTCAAACAGGGAGGTCAAAGATTTTACTTTCAACTCTTTTTACAACTCTTAAAGAGAACGAAGAAATTATATCAGTCATAGTTTACCCAAAAAACCTCTAAAAGCGGTAAATCGAACAAAATGTCAACCTATAGACCTTTGGGTAAAACAAAAATTTAGAAACCCACAAATTTAGGCGTTCTCGGAATTAAAGGAGGCGGATGATTAAACATTGGAGGTGAAGACAAATTTGCTGTAGAATGGTCCCCTCCATTTGTTTGATTAAAAAATTGTTGTTGATTTATTTGTGATTGTTGTTGTGGTGGAGGAGAAGCACCCGGCGGTGGAGGAATTGAAGGATAATTTTGTTGTTGTTGTTGTGAAGCAAAAAATCTAGCTTGACGTGGATCCATAACTGATGGACGTGGAGGTGGAAGAGCACCAGAAGAAGATTGAGTAGGTAAAGGAATAAATTGAGTATTTAATGGTGGAGGAGCATTAAATTGAATTGGAGGACCAGTAGGCATTGAGGCACGCTAAAAAATATTGTAAAAATTATTTTTTCGAATGGAAAGTTCAAAAAAAATCCGAGGATTCGAAAACCCAAAGTTCAAGAAAACCCAAGGCGCATTAGACCAGTTAGGTAACTCTAACATGAAGAAAATAGTCATAAATTGATCAAAAAAAACCCCAGAAATTTTCTTAATTTTTAAAATTATGCAAGTTCAAGTAATCATAAAAACATAAAATATTCGTAAAAGTCTAAACTTAACTAGTTTGACTAATGTAATTTTTAGCCCAAAACTCTATTGGAAGAAACCGAAAACAAAAAAAAAACATGTGGAGATTAACCATTTTGAAAATTAGTCATGATAGACAAAAGTCTTCAGTCAAATTTTTGTAGTACTCGCATTAAACATATGAATAAAGTTTCGTATTTTGACAGCGTACCCCCACCCCACAAACTCAATCCCAAAAAACCGACTTTTCACAAATTTTTTTACCACTCATGACGGGCAACGTTTCCCACAAAAAGACCTCTCCTCCTCCCCTATTTCCCCTTTAAATATTTTTAAAAAATTCAAACCGTATATTCATTAGCAGATTTCAAAAAACAACGAGAACTACCACTAGTTCCAGGTTTATCTTCCTCATCCATTTCCATATCATCACCTCCCCCAGCCAATTCTTCCCCATCTACACCATGAACAAAAGGATCATCACCAGCTGTAGGGGAAGGAGCGTCTCTAGGAGGTGATTCGCCTAGCATACATCCTGAACTTTCCATTGTTTCTAATTGCTCTTTAGTCTTCTTAATTCCTTCAGCAAAACGTTCATACGCCTAAAATTCGGAAAAAATTAGAAAAATTCCGTCTTATTGTCTCAAAAATCGACTAACAATCCAGGCTCGTTGAAAATTAATTGTGAGTCAAATAACACCAAAATTAAGCTCCGATCTCAATTGTAAGCCAGGTTATGTGTAATTCATCCCATAGAATTAATCAACTTACTAACCCTGGATATCCCTCCGAATCCCTAATATCCCTTAGGATCACCCTTAATCCATTGAATCCCACTATATACCAAGATTACCCCGTTATATCTCCATATTTCAGATTGCGTAAAATTGCGTGTTTTTTGACTTGTAAATTGCCTCTGCGAGTTTTAAAATTAAGATGGCGAGATGTGGAAAAATTTTTTGCCAATTTCGTCCACATCTAATTCCGAAGGACATCTTTTTGACAAAATCGGAGTCCGGGACATGACGAAATGTTCAACAAAAAAATTTTAGGTTAAACCCCCCCCCCTCACCCCCAAAAAAAATTAATTTAAAATAAACAAACATCATTAATAACAGTAACATCCCGTAATTGTAAATTAAAAGTATTTTCTGTCTTTTTCATTAATTCGTGTAATAAAAGTCCTTTTTGTTTATGTTTTTCAACTGTGTCAAGAAATGAAATTAATTTTTGACGTGAAGAGTCCATATCTGCTAAAGCTTTAATTCCTTCATTTCGATCTGAAAAAAATTAGAATTGAATGCCTTTTAATTTAATAAATTTTGGGAAAAGCCTGCAAGTTAAGTCTGCAATTCTTCTGTTTACTTACTTACCGGACATGATTCTGGACCTGCAGTCCAGATTTGTCAATGCCTTCTGCGATTTAATGGTATCGGAAAAGTCCGCAAGATCGTGAAGTTAAATCCGCAAAGGCCGAATAATACCTAGACATGTACAAGAGAAATCCAGCCCCTGTCCAAACTTTTCTCATTTCAAGGGGAATTCCCCTTGGTTATGGGCCTGCTCTAGAAAAATGGCGGAAGAACTTAGAGACAAGAACACGCCAAGGATCAAAACATATACAGCCCTATAAGCTAAAAGTCCGCAAAATAAAAAATTTAATATTTTATAAGCCTAAAACAATTAAATGACTCATTGTCAGACCCGAACGATATAAGAAGGGAAAATATGCCAAAAATTAAAAAATAATAAAAAAAACCTTTAACCCTTCCTTGAACAGATTCTTTAAAATTAAAAGAACTTCGAGACAAAATTTCTCTAGCCTTTTCTGTCAACATTTCATTTTTGTAAAAACTTTCAATTGCTCTAATTATTTTTTGGAAATCAATTATTTCAGTAGCATTTTGAGATTCGTCTTTTTCTGTTGCTATTCTACTAACTAGAAAAAAATATTCAAAATTATTTTTAACGGAAATTAAAAGAAATTGAAGACCAAATTCAAAAAACAAGGTCCCTAGAACAATGATAGGATTGCTCATCCAAAGAAATGACCAAATTGTTAAATTATCCAAGTGTTTTTAGAATCATAAAAATTCTTATCGACCAGCAAGGGCGTAGCCAGAAGGTCGATTTCGGGGGGGGGGGGGGGGGGGGAGGGGGGGCTAACACGGGGTGTGCGCAAAATTTTTGGCGTTTACCTTGGCGTTCTGGACGCAAATTTTTTTGAACCATATTTTTATTTTTTTTCAGCGCCGCAGGCAAAAATTTTTTAATTATAGAAGGCCGTAGGCCAAAAAATTCACTTTTTTGCTAATTCTTCTACTAATTTTTCTCCCCTTTCTCCCATTTCGGGGGGGGGGGGGGGGGGGGGGGCTTTAGCCCCAGAAGCCCCCCCCCCCTTGGCTACGCCCTTGTCGACTAGGTCTGATGTTAAAAATTCGCTGGATATGAGATGGAATAGAACCATCGTAGGACCACTTTACAAATTCATGTGGACAACAAGGAAAAAATGAATCTAGAAGTCGATTTTCAAGATTTTCTTCGGATTGAATTTTTAGTCGAAAAGTTTGGGTTCGGATTTCGGGTAACCCGACCCAACGCTGGTGGACAAGCTCAAAAGGTATCAAAAAATGACGGGTCCGAAGACCAGGCCCGTAGCCAGGGGGGGGGGTGGGGGGGGGGAATTCCCCCCCCCCCCCCGAAATGGGAAAATGGAAAAAATTTGGGGAAGGGCTGGGGCAAAAAAAAGTGAATTTTTTTGGCCTACGGCCTCTGAAATTTAAAAAATTTTCGCCTGCGGCGCTAAAAAAGGACGAAATCTGGCTTCTTGAGGTCCAAAATTCAAAAAATTTTCGCCTGCGGCGCTGAAAATCAAATTTTTGGCGCCTGCGGCGCCGAAAAAGTGAATTTTTTTGGCCTACGGCCTTCTAAAATTCTCAAAATTTTCGCCTGCGGCGCTGAAAAAAAAAATTTTTGGCGCCTTCGGCGCCAAAAATTTGGCGCAAAAAAATTTCCCCCCCCCCCCCCCCCGAAAAAAAATCCTGGCTACGGGCCTGCCGAAGACCTAAACATAAACTAGGGTAAAAACAAGACACTTAAGTCCACTTTAAAATCCGAAATGGGTACTTTTCCTAAGAGGAGATTATCCAATAAAAGTTCCTTTTAAAATTAGCTTACCTAATGCCGTCTTCATTTCCTCAATTATATGAGCCGGATAAACATTTCTTTCTCCGAAAACTTCAACACAGCGAGAAATGGCCTTTTTAACAGTTACACTAAAATAAGGAAAATTTTTAGACAATTAAAATACAAATAAACCTAGAAATTGTTGTTGCATTAATTAAATGAGGATGAAAGGTTAAAGTAACATTAATGTCACGTTTACAAGCTGCTTTTTGTACAACATCATTAAGCACATAAATTAGAGCGATTCGGAGTTTATCGTTTGCTAAAAAATTTTTTTTATTTTTAATAGGTGAATATATTTGCGGACATTTTTTGCAGACATTCTTAAAGAAAGGAAAATATAGTCGAAGCTCATTTAGAGATATAACGTTAGACTAGAAAATGTCTCTAAAATCCTCGGGGTTATAATTTAGGCAACTCACGATCCGACTTTTTTCTTAACCCGACCCATCCCAACACTAACTATAAAAATATGAGTCATAAGAATTCTGTCCGTAAGAAATTATAAGAAAAACAAATCAACCGAAAGGAACGTCCAAAATTAATTTTAAATAATCCCTCTACCCAAAAACCGAACCAGAATACGCTTCGACATTTATCTTAACCAAACCCATCCCTACACAAAAAAATATGAATCATAAGAATTTTGTCCGCAAAAAATTGTCCGCAAGTTTTTTGCGGACAATCCAACCAGGAGGTACATCCAAAATTAATTTTAAATAATCCCTCAACCAAAAACCCTTTAATATTATACTTTGTTTGTAAATATCCATCCAACAATTGGCTATTTTATCAATAGATTCTCTATGATGAAGCAACCATTTTGAACAAGTTTGAACTGATTCTTGGGTAGAATTAACACTCATAAGTCTTTTACGCATAATTTCCTCAGTAGGCGGAGAAACCATTTTTTAAATAAATTAATAAGAAAATCTTTAAAAAACCTAAAAAAAATCTGTCAAATTAATGGAAAACAAAAACAAAATCTTGCGAGAATTTTCTCTCTGGAGAAAAAAAAATTTTTTTAAAGCGAAACGAAAAAGGCCGGTTGAGTGCCAGTGTTTTAGTGTAAAATAGGCTATTTTTATTTTATCGCATAACTTGACTTGTAATAGTTGGATCTATATAATTTTGACATAATTCAACGCGTCTCGAAAATCTGCGTCGATTGACACCAAAATCGTTTTGATATATGACTTCTCCGCTTAGTTATGGCTCTTGAAAAAAGTTGGTTTCGTGTTAAACTGGCCTTCTCTTTTTAGATTACTAGTTTTGATGTTTCGTAATTTTTAAATAATTATTTAAAATATCAATTTTCAAAATGGTAAATAGTGGTGAAATTTGTAAAATGTCTTAAAATTGAAAATTTAATTTTTCTTCCTTATCCTTTTGGTTTTTTTTCTGATTTTCGGATTAAATTTTTCGAGAGCTTGTTGTAAATTCTCTGACCAATATTTTTGGCGCCAAATTTGGTAAGGGTTCACCTTAGCAACACAACAAAAAACACGTTTTTCTAGTGTAGTAAAATGCGCTGAGTTCAAAAAACACTATAAAAGATCTCAAAACGGTGCTCAAAGGCATTTTTTCCCGGATTTTCAGACCCCTGAAAATCGCAAACCATAGGGGGGACCAAGCTGATTTTTGGGGTCAAAAATTCGAATATACAAATAATAGCTCATTCGAAAGGGCTCGACGAGCTGAGTTGAATGACACCAAAATCAGCTCGATTGGATGATTATGAACAAATTTATGACCAACAGAATCTTCGCTGGAAAAACTGTTTTTGTGCTGCTACGGAGGGTAGGCCGGGCATGGTCTTCGCTACACGATGGCCGTGCTTCGCTGCGGTCGTGCTCGCTGCGCTCGCGGCGACCGTAGCGAAGCGGCGGCCGTCGTTCCGCTCGACATGCCCGGCTTCCTCCGCAGCGGCAAAAACTTTTTTCCGCGAAAACCTTGTGGAAGGGGTAAAAACAAACGGTCATAACTTTGTCAAATCAAGTCCGATTTCGTTGATTTTGGTGTCATTCAACTCAGCTCGTCGAGCTCTTTCGAATGAGGTATAATTCGCCTATTCGAATTTTTGACCCCAAAAATCAGCTTGGTCCCCCCTATGGTTTGCGATTTTCAGGGGTCTGAAAATCCGGGAAAAAATGCCTTCGAGCACCGTTTTGAGTACTTTAATAGTGTTTTTTGAACTCAGCGCATCTTTTTACATTAGAAAAACATGACTTTCAGTGTGTTGCTAAGGTGAACCCTAGCCCCAAATTTAAATATTTACCCACGTTATTTTTGCGAAACTGATTGTTAGTAAGGGGTATAGGAGGGTTAATCTTGTTTGACAAGAAAAAGAATTAGAGGCTCATAATGGTCAGAGAACTGCGGCCCGGCATTTGTGCCCAAATTTAATTTTATTTGCTTGATTTTCCACCGGATTCATTTCTTTTCTCTCATCTTCCTTTTCAATTTTTAAAATTTTTTAGTTCCTCTATATTTATTTAATTAAAAATGTCAAGTCAACCTCCTTTTCTAGTGTAAGTTGTAGCCTATTTCTTTTAAAAATTTAATTTAAAAATTTTCTAGTATCGATGGTTATCGAGACAAAGACAGAGAAGGAAAGGATTTTTTAGATCCCGAAGCAGGCAAATTTAAACGGACTGAATACGCCCATTATTTTGTTCCCGGCTGGCGAGCTTTTTTGCAGGACAGTTATCAAAGTAAGCAAATTTTTTTTATAATATGACCTCACTATATTTTTGGTTAGGTAGACACTGTTTTTGAGAAGTTTCCTGGACATTAAGCTCTATTAGAGATAGACCTGGGTCTGGACCAAGGCCTGGGGTTTTCTTGTACTCAGAGTCCAGGCCCAGACATTTTTAAGGCCTTCCTGGGTTTTTTCCAGGACTACAGGCCCAGGATCCGGCCCAAGATCAAGCTGGACTTGGACCAAGGCCTGAGGTTTTCTTGTACCCAGAGTATAGGCCCTGGCATGTTTTTGACCTTCCTGGGGTTTTCCCCGACTACAGGCCCAGGATCCTGCCCAGGTCAATAAATCAAACCTTGAGTTCAGGAACAGGCCCAGGCTTCACCTCAATATTAAAGAAATATGGGGGAGCCCTCATTATTTAAGATATTGTTCCCCAAAGCAGCTACCTTGTAGTGAGCTCGGATAAAATTTTAATTAATTCTGCTTTTCTTTCAAGTGCCTGGTTCCGATTGTGGTTTATTTGAGGCGCAGTTCTTCAAATGTATGGAAGCATTTGGGGCTAAACTGTCTCGTCTTTATTGCGATTTGGAACAACGTGATTTTTCGGAATGTGTTACTGGGGAAAAGAAGGTTAAATTTTATTTGGAATTAAAAGGTTCTTTCCTTATATCCTTACATTAAGATATTTTGCGGACAATTCTTGCGGACAAAAATTTTTTTAATTTTTCGTTTTTCCCTTTGCCAGGGGTATTTAGTTACCCTAAACCAGAGGACTTTTTTCAACTCGAAACACCCTCTCTAACAAAATTAAGATTGAATCTTAAATTCTTGGGTATCTAATTCTTGAGATATTTGGTAGAGACCGGCGCAGAACGGGGAGCAGGCCAAAGCACTTCCGAGCTCTATAACTTCGTTCAAAACTATTCAATCTGGGACGCCCTGGCATGTTTCTGAGCACAGCGACTAGCTAACTCGACCATACAAATACATCCCTAATTCTATAACTTTGAACGAAGTCAGGCTCGGCTCAGGGGGATAGGGGAGGTACTTTGGGGGGGGGGGGGGTTTACCCAGACGGAATTTTGGCAGGATATGGGATTCTGCCGGTCTCTAGTATCTTGTAACATCTTTAGAAATATTTTAAACTCTAAAAATTCTTAAAATTTAGTTTAAACGTTTTCGTGCTATGAAAGACATTCGATTTAAAAAATGGCTTAGAGGTGATCGTCCAACTATGTGGGAACCAACAATTGAATATATTCGTGCTGTAAAGCCAAACTTTGCTGGAATGGCTACTGGAACTGATAAAAAGCCAAAAGTTATTCAATCGGTTAAAACACAATAGTATTTTACTTTTTTAAATAGAAATTATATAAATGTTGTTTTGAATTGTTTTTGATAGGTTATAAGTGCCCGAGGAATTTTAGGTATAAAGAAGAGAGACTTTCGTTTATCTCCCACTCAACGATTTTTTACGGTCAAATTTTTGTAATGTTCCTTAAATTTAAAAAAAGTCAAAGTTCTCTTAAATGAAAAGATCTTTTTATTTGGACGAAATAAAAAAATTTTCGGCTCTCCTTCCCTTTTATTATTTCTTAAAATTAGAGGAGAATCCACCTTCCAAATTTACTGAAACTCTTGTTAGCCTTTATCCCTTCACCCTAAACATAAGACGGATCAGTTAAAAATTGTTATGGCGACCTAGTTTTTTCTTAAAATTTTGTTGATATTAGAGACTGGGCCAGAGCAAGATCCCGAACAAAATTGGTTTTTTTTGGGATTTTTCTAGATATATATGTACGACCTTCTTTACCTTCCCAGTCCGGTCTCTTGCTAATATACCTATAAATTGTATTTTAGTGTCAACTGTTTATTTCTGTTTTAATAAATATTTTCCAAATAAATTTTATTTTTCAATATTTTGTTTAATCGGACTTTATCTTTTTTTAATTTAAACTTTTTCTTTTAAAAATTATTTTTTTAATTTTTTTTGAATGGTAATCCTCAACAGGCATCGACTTCTGCCATTTGTCCAGAGACGGTTTATCCAGGTTGATTTTGTTAAAAAAATTTTTTTGAAGGATTAAACCAACAAAAATTTACTTTTTGGATATCCCCCTAGTTTGAGTATCAGGGTTTCCTTATGGGTAGAGAAAGAAAAAAAATCCACATAAACAACAGGCGTTTTCCAGTTTTGTTTTATGCCAAATTTCGCCTTTTTTGGACTTGAGCCCTTTCGCTTTTTCAAATCACCTTCGGATAACCTCTGATAATTAATGGGCATACTACCTGATTTCCACTGCATTTCCCTATGTGTGCATATTAATAAAAATCTTTCAAGTAGACATCGAACTGTAACCAAAAATTCCGAATTTTTTTGCACCATCGTGTAGAGCAGGGTCGATAACCTGTTGCTAGTTTTCGGTATCTTTGGTCCTGACCCCTATTCTTTTCTAAGACTCAAAATTGGGAGAAGGGATATCCAAAAAGTACCCCCAACATATTTTAAGGGTTATTCATGGAAGGACAGTTCTGTTTATTATGGAAAATTCATTCGTCCGTTGCCTGATGGGGTTAAACCAACCCATATAATTGTTGGTGCTGGTTCTGCTGGATGTGTCTTGGTTTCTTTTTAAATATTTTTTTCAATTTTTTTGAATTTTTTAGGCAAACCGGTTAACCGAAGATCCCCAAAATCGAGTTCTTTTAATTGAGGCTGGCCCTAGAGATTATTGGTGGAATTGGAAAATTCATATGCCTGCAGCTTTGATGTACAATCTGAAGAATAGTAATTATAATTGGTATACTTTTAAATTCTTGTGGGAAATTTAAAGTGCTATATTTCGGTCCAATGGTTGTTTTTAGTGTTTTGAGTGTATGCGGCGTCAAATTAAAATTTTGGGCAGATTTTAATTTCAGACAAATTGAAATTTCTGTCAAGGACAGAATTGCAGTCCAACACTTTTACAATATTTGACTTATTTTTTCCATGTTCTTTAAGTTTGCAGGATAATTTAAAATTTGTCATAAATTTAAATTTGTTGCGCCGACATATGTTCTTGAATCCAGGGACGACATTTGCAGTCAGACAGTTGATATAATTAAACCTAAAATAAAAGTTCAATTTTAATATGCTAACACATTTGACGTTGAAACTGAATTTATGATTAATTTGATCTTGCCATATTTTAAGTTTCTTCATATGAATGAAGGGAATTTTAGGGTTTATTAGATTTATTTTTTGGTTATTATTTATGTTCTGAATTTAGGGTTTATTACACTACATCGCAAGAAAAAATGAACAATCGCGCAATTTATTGGCCTCGTGGACGTGTTTGGGGTGGTTCAAGCTCGTTAAATGCAATGGTTTATATTCGTGGGCATCCTTTAGATTATGACCGATGGGAAAAAGAAGGAGCAAAAGGATGGGCTTTCAAGTAAAATATTTTTAAATGTTTAAACGGGTTAACTATAAGATTAGTGGTTAGTGTCGGTAAAGAGGGGTCGTAAGTCTGAGTGAGTCGGATTTTGAATCGGATCAGCCTGGGCTTTGAGTCGATAGTTGGATCTAGTTCTGATGTAGGTGTCCGGAAATCACATAAGCAATTTAAAAAAATTTCTGAACAACAGCCTCTTGTTTTTTTGGCATGCCTCTCTCGACTTCTCAAATCTAGAAAACTAGAAACTTTTGGTTGTTATTTTCGTTAAATTTACCCCTTAAAATATTCCAAAAAAAAATTTTTTCTAATTTAGAAATTGCCTTCCATACTTCAAAAAAGCCCAACACCACGAGCTCTCAACAGGTATTGAAGACCCATTCAGAGGCAGTCAAGGACCTCTTTACGTAACACAAGGACGTTGTGAGAATCCTCTTCATCAAGCTTTTTTGGAAGTTGGAAAGCAACACTCAATTGGGTCAACGGAAGATATGAACGGGTTTAAACAAGAAGGAATTGGTCCAATGGATATGACAATAAAAGATGGAAAGAGATGGAGTGCCTCTTCTGCCTATTTAGTTCCGGTAAAAAGATTTTTTAAGGAATATTGTTGGTTTTACATGGTGTTTCAGGGATCGAACTGTATTGATATCCTGTTCAAAAAATTTTTGTTTTCGTTATTTTTCGAGATCGTATCAATTTCGTATTGTTCCCAAGATAGGTCTCTATAAAGGATGCCTTCGTTTTTTCTTTTCTTGTAGTTGACAGTCCTTATAAGCTCGTACCAAAATTCTACGATGTCAAAAATGAGTTAATACGAAGTAGAAGCAAAATTGAAATTTATAAGCACTGGTTGACCGCCGGATTTAGGGTTATTATTGTCAAATGAGGACTGATTTTATTGATACAAAACTAACATATTTCTTTTTTAACTAAAATCTATATATGTTTATTTTCAGATTCTTGACAGGCCAAATTTATTTACAACACAAGGAATTACATGCACACAAATTTTGTTTGATAAACACAGAGCTATTGGAATTGAATTTATTAGGTTTTTTTAAAAAGAATTTCAAAAAAATTTTTATTTTCATTTAAAGAAAAATCAATTTTACAACAACATCTTTAATTGATGCTGGTTCTAGAGAAAAAATTTATTGTACTGATGCTGTTATTTTAGCTGCTGGTGCTATTAATACTCCTCAATTGCTTATGTTGAGTGGTTAGTGTTTTCTTTTGTTAATTTTTGAAAATTTATTTTTTTGAATTTTTGCGAATTTATTTTTGATTTTTTGGGTCATTAAATTAAACATTTTTTAGGTGTTGGCGATGGTGACCATCTTTATGTATGCTTTTTAATATTTTATATTATTTGGGAATATTGGGATTTTTGTTGTCGTCCTACTTATGATAGAATGAGACGTGTTGAAAAAAAAAGTCGGGCGCGTTTTAAATCAGATTTTTCAAAATTTTCTTCAGTTCGGGGTTCGGGGAAAAAAGTTTGGGGTTTTTGTTAAGTCTGGTTTAGAGGCTACGTCCGGAGTAATTTTTATGCTTGTGAGCCTCGCTGTTTTTGAATTGAGGCGTACGAGTTATCATTTTTTGTCAAATCCTCCCACTAGGTTTGTTGGATCGAGTCTGAGCATTTTGGAAACCTTTATTTTAAATTCAAATTAAATTTAAAAAAAAAGCTAAATTAAGCCCCTCAAAATTCCAATTGTGCAAGATATGAAAGGTGTTGGTCGAAACCTTCAGGACCATTTGGAAATTTATGTTCAACAGGTTTTTTGCAATTTTAATCTTTTAAGTTAAATTCTGTTTTTAAAAAGAAATGTTTAAAACCAATAACATTATATAACAAATCTACTTGGAAACATCCACATAGAATGATGCAAATTGGTGCACAATGGTTTTTAACAAAAACGGGTTTGGCAGCAAGTAGTCATCTTGAATCTGGTGGTTTTGCTAGGTCTAGTCCAGAGGTTTTTTTAGTTTTTGAAAATTTTTTTGGGTTTTGGATCTTTGGCTGTATTTTCCATGATCTGGTCACCCAGTTCTTATGTCAATCAGGTCGACTATTTTTGATAGAAGATAGTCAACCATTTCAATAGCCATTTATTTGATCAAAAACTCATTTTTGGGGGGAAAATAGAAAATAAAAAAAAATTGTTTTTTGGGGCAAATGTTCAGTTTGCTTTCTGCCTGTCCGCAAAGAGTATCCGCTTTTTTCTTCTCTTTTCTTTCATTTTTTGTGTTGGGAGAAGCCCTCAAACTGGACATTTACCGGTTTTTGGATAATAATTCAATCTCATCTCTTAATTATTTTTTTTTATTTTATTCAGATTCCACACCCAGACATTCAATTTCACTTTTTACCTTCCACTGTTCACGACGATGGCCGTTCTTCTCCAAAATGTCATGGCTATCAAGTACATGTTGGCCCTATGCGTTCAAAATCTACAGGAAGAGTTTATTTAAAAAGTAGCGATCCTCGTGAGGCTCCTTTGTGTGATCCTAATTATTTTGGTGATGAAAAGGATTGGGTGGAATTTAGACAGTCTATTCGCCTTTCAAGAGAATTGTTTGCGCAAAGGGCATTTGATGATTTTCGTGGGGAAGAGTTGGCGCCTGGAAAGGATTGTCAAACTGATGAAGAGGTTTTTTTGGGAATTTTATTTATTTTTTAAGCATGATTATTGGTTTTTTTATATTTTTGGGTATTTTTTGTGTTTTTCCTCTTCCATTTGCTCATCAATTTTCTCTTTTATCAATTTCTTTTGATCTATTTACCTTCCAAAGAGGAGGAAATACAGAATTCAAAATACCCCCCAAAATTCTTCCCTGTATTCATTTTCTTTATGGCACTTTTAAGTGAGGGGGTAATAATCTTTTTACCTTATGAGAAGACTAAATAAAATTAATCTTTAATGAAGATAATACACTCAAAAAATTCAAAAATTTCCCTTATTTGAGAATAACATAGGGGGAACTATCACGAGTTTAAGTGAGAAAGGAAGGTAAATAGAAGGAAGATTTAGGAGAAATAAAAAAGTGCAATACTAACAATTCTTTGCTAATCTATTAAAAAATATTTTTATTTTTTACTTTAATTTATTCAATAAAAGACCTGACCTTTTTTAATAGATTGACCAATTTGTCGCGCAATATGCAGCTTCCGCTTACCACCCTTCTTGTACATGTAAAATGGGTTCAAGTAATGATAACTTGGCTGTAGTGGATCCTGAAACAATGAATGTTTATGGTTTTGAAAATTTGAAGGTTTTTAAAAATTTTTTAAAAATTTTTGAAAAAAAAATTTTTTTTGAAAGGTAGTAGATGCAAGTATAATGCCATCAATTATTAGTGGAAATTTAAACGCCCCAGTAATTATGCTTGCAGAAAAGGCGGCGGATATTATAAGTGGAAAGACTCCTTTACCCTCTGAAAATCCACCGATTTGGTCGCCTCCCAAAAATAATTGAAAAAAAATTTTTTTGAAAATTTTTTTGTGATTTTTTTTTGTGATTTTTGAGGAGCTGGGGGGATTTTTTTAAATTTAATTTCTATTTTTAGGAATGTTGCATTTCAAATTTTGTTTAATATTTTTTTGTTATTTTTTTGTTAATTATTTAGTCACAGCATATTAGATTTTTTGTTGTTGTTATCTTTTTTTGGAACTTAAATTTTCTTTTTTTCTATACTTTTTAAATTTTATTTTCCTTTAGATTAATATTTATTACTCAGAATTGTGAAACACTTCCTTTTAATTTTTGTTTATTAGTAAAATAAACTTTTTTAAAGTTTGTTTAGAAACTTACTGGGTAGTTTGAAAATATTTGTTGTTTCCGGAAAACGCGAGTTCCAAAATAATAAATATTATTTGAGAATATTTGTTGCTATCTTTTTTTTCCGGAAAGATAAGTGTTGTTGTTTCCGGAAAACACACATCAGTTATTATAAATGCGCGTTTCCGGAAGACGAATGAACTATTCCGGAAAACAGGAGTATTTCCGGTGTTTTCCGGATTGTCACTGAGTTTTCCGGAAAACTTCCGGAAAAACACAAAAATATGTATGTAATTATTTGTTTCCGGAAAACACATTAATTTTTAAATACGTGTTTCCGGAAAACTACTAGGAGTTTCCCTGAACAATAATATAATTTCCGGAAAACACAAAAGTATTTAACTGTATGTTTCCGGAACAACCTTCGGAAGAACATAATGCATAGTATTTCCGGAAAACTTGAAAACTCATTTCCGGAATACTTGAGAGAATTATTTAAATGGTACTTAAATAACCTAAAAATTAAAATCTTTTTTTCTAACAGCTAAAAACAAAATTAAAAAATGTCAAATAATAAAATAGACTCAACCACCACAATAACAACATCTTCAACAACCTTTTCTGATCTCACAACAACAACAAAATCTTCAACAGCTCCAATTAAATTAATGGCAAAATTTCATTTATTACCTCAAAATGAATATGTTACAATTCCGGAAGATTTATTTATTTATTCGGGATTTCTTCGGGAGTACAAAAAGGGAATGCTTAATGACAAATTTTGTAGAAATGTTGAGTAGGTTTTGACTAAAAATTAAAATTAATTTATTTTTAAGGGAGAATTTGATCATTCCATTGCCTCCAATTGCGGGAAAACCGGTTTATAAGCATTATATTGAGAAGCTTTGCGAGTTTTTTACTTTGTGGGTATTTTTTTAATTTAATTATTTTTTTGGAATGATGCAGTAATGACAAAGGCCGAAATACCAAACTTCCGAAAGACGTGGAAATACCAACATGTGTATGGTTAGTAATTTTCAATGTGATTGGTCATTTTGGGTTTTCGCTGAATTTTTGACTTTTTTGCTGTTTAGTCTTTCGCCTTTTAAATTTCGTTTCGGCACATCCCTACTACATATTTTTTATTTTCCACAGTCTGGCATTTTGACAGCCTTTGGGGGTTTGGTATTTTGGCGTTTGGTGTTCCAGCTCTCCAGTTCTCTTCCCCTTTTTGGATTGAGAGCAGGATATCTCGAACAAAAACCTAGGACGATTTATCCAATTATTTTATTTTGCAGATATACTAGGCACAATTACGGCCCTGGTTCTAGTGCTAAACGCGTGCCTTCCTCTGTTGACATCCGCAATTCAAATGGACAGAAAAATGGAAATTCTGTTTCTAACAATAAAATGAACAATAAAATGAGAAATGTAATCTACCTTTTTTTTGTTTTTTATTTAATTTTTCTTTAATTTTAGCAGGACGATAATAATGCTGCTGGACGTTCACCAGAAAAATCTTCTAGTGGAACGGTATGAGTTTTTTTAATTTTCTTTTTAAATAGTTTTTTTCTCGTTTTAGTTTATTGCCGATATGGAAGCTAAGGCAGATGCTAAGGTTGACTTTTTTTTAAAATTTTTAAAAATTAATTTTTTAGTGGTCAAAATTACCAGATTGGGCCCATGGCTGGTTCTCTGCGTTGGACAAAGACATTCTTATAAGCACTGCTAATGTTGCAAGTTTTCTGACAGCGACACCTTTTGTGGAACACTTTGCTAATTTTTTAGCTATCAAGGTAATTATTGAGATAATTTTTTAGAGGATTCTTGGGGTTGGGATCTTATGTCATTTTTGGATTTTTGACTACTTTTTCATAACATGCCATAATGCTTAAATGCCGAAATACCAACCTCCCAGAAGCTGCTGAATGGGGAAGGTTGTCCAAAATATGGGAAGGTTGGTTAAAGTTTGGGATTTGTTCGATATTTAGGCAGCTTTTGGAGGTCTCGGTATTTCGGCGTTTTGGCAATACGACGTCATACCCTTATTTTGAGAAAATTTTTTTTTAATTTTTCGAAAAAAAATTTTTTTCAACCTTTTTTGATCTTATTCTCTTATTTTCAATTTTAGGTCCAAGAAATGGAGAACGAAAAACAAATTATGGAGTACCTCAACTATAAATTTGATGACTTTGAAGGGGCTAGACTTAAACAACAACTTTATGTTTTTGACTAGGAAAATATTTTTTAAAAAAGTTTAATTCGTTTTTTAGAGTTAAAAATAGAATTTTTTATTATAAAATTTCTATAAAATATTTTTATTTTTTAATGGAAATAAATTCCATAAAATATTTTTTTAATTTTCTTAATTTTTTTGAAAAATTTTTTTTTCAGAAATTTTTTTCAGAAATTTTTCAAAAATTTTTTTTTAAATTTTGTATTCAATGAATTGGATCCATTGTATGCTTTATTAATTAATTTTTTTTATTTAAAATATTTTTGAAGGCAACAAGTGTTCATCAATTCCTACTGCGGGTAAATGCTCCTTCTGGCTCACCTCTTGTGGACACGTCTTTTGCGGCGATTGTGTTGGTGTAGAAAAAGGAGGTAAAAAAGGTTTATTTTATTGGATTAAGTGTATTTCTGGAATTTAATATTTTGTATTTTTCCATAAAATATAAAATAACTGTCAGGACATTTCCGGAAAGTGTTTTTAATTAAATCAAGTATTTTACGGAAATTGAGCGGAACGAAAAAATTTCGGAAAATTATTTAACACCTAGAATCTTCCGGAAAATGTTTGATAGGTAGAAAAAACGGAGGGATAACGGAGTAGAAAAAAAACGGAGTAGTTTTTGAAGGTCCTGTAATTTCCGCAAATTTATGCATTTTAGTACGAGGGTAGGTATGTTAGGGGTACATTGTTTTAGGCTTGCTTTGCGATTCAGTAAGTGTGAAAAAAAACCTGTCGTGTTCGGAGTGCATGCTACTTTTATTTTATTAATCTAATCTTTACGCAGATTTAGCTCTTCTAATTAATCCAACTCGTTCCATATTTTGTTTTGCTTGCCATCACAACGTCAAAGCCGTTCAAATTCGACGAGGTATGGACAACAATGCTGCTATGCTCTTTCGTCCACCTAATGAAATGTTACAAAAAATGAGTCAAGAATTGTTCAAAATTGGAGAAATTGTTAAATTCCAAGCGTGGCAATCATCAAGTTTTCAGCGACTTCGAAAGGTTAAAAAAAAATATTTTTTTGAAAAATAAAATTATTTTTAGGATGCTTCTTATGAAAATTATTACAAACAATTGCTTTACAAAAATAGGGATGTTATTGCGACAAAACAGCGTGAATTGGAGAAGGCTAACAGAGAGATTCAGCAAATGGCTGCTTTGTAAATTAAATTTTTTTCTTTTATTAAAAAAATTTTTTTAGTTAAAAAATTGTTCAAAAATTAGAAAAAAATTTTTCGAATTGTCAAAAATTTTCAAAAAAAAATTTCAAAAAAATTTTTTTCAGACTTGAGGACCATAAAAAGGAAATTCGTCAATTAAAGAATAACGCAACTATTTGTATTATGTCCGATAGCTCTATTATGATGCCGCCTCCAATTAAACGCCAGAAATACCCAACATTGAATGGACCTTCTCCTTTTAGTACGCCTCTTTCTTTTTGTGATTGCAAGACTAGCACTCCGGTAAAATTTTTTGTTAGTTTTGTTTAAACATGTTGAGAGGGGTTCCGGAAAATACAAAAAATATTTTTCTGAAAATACAATTATTCCAGAATTTAATATATAAATGTATTTTGGTTCTGTTTACTTTTCCGGAACATCATGTATTTTTGTGTTTTTTAACTAATAAAAATTCTGACTTTTCCGGAAAACATGTTTTGTATTTTTTCAAGCATGGTCTGGTAATATTCTAGTCTGTATTTTCTTTTTATAAAATTCTGATTTTCCCGGAAACCCTTGTGTTTTTCTTTAATTACTAAATTCTGATCTTTCCGGAAATTAATATTTTGTATTTTCCGGAAAAACATTTTTTGTTTTCTCTGTAAATAAATTATGTGTTTTCCGGAAAATATTTTTTTGTATTTCTCTTTAATTAATGAATTCTGATTTTTCCGGAAAGTAATGTTTCGTGTTTTCCGGAAAACATTTTTGTATTTTCTCTTTAAATAAATTCTGTATTTTCCGGAAAAATTCTTTGTATTTTCTCATTAAATAGATTCTGTGTTTTCCGGAAAGCATTTTTTGTATTTTCTCAAAACATTTACTAGTTTTCCGGAAACCAAATTCTGCTTTTTTCCTTCATTTTTTAGATTATGAGTGACTACGTTCCGTCTAATACAAATATGCTGCCTTCTTTTTGTTCAACGCTTGCTCGTTCAAATTCGAACAATAACAACAGCAACAATATTCTCCAATTATTAACTCCTCGGAGAGCGTTAGAGGAGAGTATGTTGGCTGGGAGGGTGCAGCTGCCAGGGTAAATTTTTGAAAAAAATTTTTTTTGAAATTTTTAAAAATTTTTAAAGAACTCCTCTTATGATTTGGAACAATAAATAAATTATTTGTTAAATGAAAAATTGAAAAAAAAATTAGATTTTAATGTTGTAATTTGAGCAAATTTATTGTAGTTTTCCCACTTTTTCTCATTGTTGCCATATTTTTTTTTGTAATTTTTGGTGCTTTCAAAATTATTTAAATGATCTTGTGATATTTCATCTATTTATTTCTCTTGTGCTTTAAATTATTGAAAAAAATTTTTTTTAGTTAAGAAGTCTTTAAATTCGAGAACCTAAAAATAGGGTTTAAATACCTTTGTTGTGGGGGTATTCTTTAGTAGAGCTAGGAATAGGACGGGACCCGGTTTCCGGGTTTGTTTTCCCGGGTTTTTTTAAAGATACCGGGATGAAACAGGGAACGGGTTTTCCCGGTCTCGGTTTTTTCGAAATTCCTAGCTCTATAGTTTCCTTTATTCAAAAATAAATAAAAATACAAAAGTTTGGCAAAATGTTTTTTTATTTACCTTTGGGCAAATTTTTCAATTAGAAAATTTGTTTGTTTTTTTAGTTTCTGACCTTTATTGATTGGGGGTCATTCATTGATTTTTCTTAGGTCTCCGCCTTCTCCTAATTATTCAAACTTTGTGAACCTTTTGATTTGTTTAGATATAAAGTTCGTAAGCTATTAAGCGGGACTCTCAACTTTTATTTTTATTGTGGTACATTTTAATTTCAATTACTTTTGCCAAACTTTATACATTTTCTAACTTTTGCATCAAAAATTTAGATATTTTTCTTATTTAATTGAGAAGGAAATGAATTTGAACAACACAACTTACCTCACTCGGTCAACAACAACATCTGATTCTGCAACAACAAAACTACCAACACCAAAAATGCCGTTCCACTTTCAATCGTCGGGAAGTGCAAAAAGAAGAACAAAAAGAACGGGAACTTTTGCCAATCCAAGGTTTTTGATTTTGTTTTTTGTTAATGGGACCCGAGGGCTTTGCTCTCTTCTATAGTTGCTTCCCATGTTTCGGGTCTCCCTCCTGAAATATTTTTCAATTTTTTGGAGTCATTAAAATTTCTGTTTTGGTTTTTACGCCGACCTTTTTCTACGCCGCCCTGACTGTACTAGAGTAATCGAAAGTCCCGGTTCTGTGTGAATTACTCTCATTTGTACGCCCTTATTTCTTTTAATAGCTTGGGAGAACACTTTTTTTGGAATCTCCTCTTAATCAGTTTTATTTTTAAGATGTTAGTCATTGGATTGGTGGGACAAAACGTTTAGCAGAGTTTTGAAGGTTTTTTTTTATGTTTTTTTTATTCTGCTGCTTTTATAGGTTCTGATGACGTCCTGTGATGATGCGTCATTTCTGATGGTGATGCTTCATGCCTGGTGCTGCTTCAACATGCCTGTAGGTATAAGTTTATGGTTGGCCTGTACCAGTGATGCTGCTGCTCATCAATGACTTCTTTCCTGCTGATTGGTTTGAGCAAGGACGTTGGCATAGGATGGTTTTTAGTTTTTTAAATAAAACAAGGGCTTATCCGAAAATTTTAGAGTGGATTGTGAATGAAACCACCAAAAAGCAGAATTTCCTCTTTTCAGCAACACAGGTGAAAATTTTGGAAAATCCTCATTTTTGACCTCCCCTCCCAACATTATTTTTCTTTTTCCATTTAAAGGGGAGGTGGTAGCCTATTAGCAACCTACTGGATATGCCTTTGTTTAATAGAGTTGCTCAAACCGTTTTTGGGTTTAAAAATTATGGGGAGGGAATTATAAAGAAAATCCTTACCTTTCTCAATTCTGGATTTTCTGCTTTAAATTTCTTTTTAAAATTAGTTGAATTTTATAAAAAAAAATGGCAAATGGTTTGGAAGTCAATTTTTGATTTAAGGTTTTTAAAATGTGTTTGAGCAACTCTAGAATTTTTTGAATTTTAAAATTTATTATTTTTATTAAATTTATTTTTCCCCTTCAAATAAGAATTGGTGCAAGGTAGAAGGAGATGCCATCGTGTATCTCCTTCAAAGGTAGAGAGAGTTGCCTTAGTGCATTTCTTTCCAAAAGGTACAGGTGGGATGCCCACACCTCTTGTCAACGATGATTAATGCCCCACATGAAGTTGTTATCGTTTTCAGCGATGGGCTCTTTGTTGGGACCACTTAATCCAAGAGTCTTTTGAGCACCCACGAATAATAAAAAATTAATAATTATATTGTATAGACACCCCCCATTTTTTATTTAAATTTTAAAATTATTTATGTATTATATATTATTCGGTAGTTAGTTAACCACTGTATCGTCGCGGGAGGGGGGGGGGGAAGTATTGGGTCCAGTCATCCACCTAAAGTAGAGTAGTTACGCGAAAGGAAATTTTTTTTTGTATCAAAATAAAATTCAAATTTTATTTTTACTTGTATATTTTTTATTTTTTACTGTTACAATTTTTTAAATTTTGAAATCTTTTTTTTGCTTATTTTATTCGAGAAGACATTAAAAGCACGTTTATTTATTTTTAAATTTATTTTTTTTGTTTATGCTCAATCCTTTTAATCTTTTTTTATTGGGTCTACTACATATCATTCACTATCAAGCTTCAACGATTTATTCTTAAATCTGTGATTCATTTTTTAAATTTCTCATATAAATTTAAAGCTAAAAATTTGTCAAAAATGTCAATTCATTTCATTTAAAATCAACCCATTCATTTGGTCCTACTTTACTGGAATTTTGATCCTCTCCACTGCTACTTCCAGTACTCGATCTCGTCGGGCTATGCTCACGAAGTACATCACCCAATGACCTTGAATTTGACGAATTTTGTTATCCGAAGATTATTTACCTATAAACTTTATATGGCACATTGCCGCGAAGGTAAATGCTCGTTGCGAGGTCAACATCATATTGTTTAACTAAATCACCCAATTCCTCACTACATTCCAATTTGCCTTCAGAAATCCATTTTTCAACAAGTTGCTTCTTACCCTAAGAAAGGATGGATTCGAAGATGTTTAAATTAGGGTTGTTGCCGAACGGTTATTAACCGGTACCCCCGGTTTTCGGTTAATCTAAATTTTAGAAACCCGGTTTTCGGTTTTGAGTTTTAGGCAAATTCCGGTTTTATTTTGAGGGTATTTTTAATAAAATCACTCATTTTCACAAATTCCCGGTTTTCGGTTTTTAAAATTTTCTAAAAACGGTTAATTTTTGGCAAAAAATTTCAAAAATCCCGGTTTTAAAACCGGTCGCCAACAACCCTAGTTTAAATGCAAACCTGAACTAAAACAGGTCGACACAGTTTCAACGACTCGTATTTATTTAAAGAACCTTGTTCTAACAATGTAGTGAAATAGATAACAAGAGAATGAGTTGCCTTTGCTGGTGGAGCAGCTTCTTTTAATTTTTGTAACGTCTGTGGGGTTCTAAGAATATTTTTGGGTGCCGTTGCGGCCAATTTTGCAGCTTCATGATAATCCCCGTTTTTGATCAATAAATCAAATTTGCGCACAACATCATCATCAGAAATGTTGCAACGAGAAGCTGATTCGACAACCTCATTAACATTTTCATCCTCTTCGCTGCTACTTTCAGTTCTTGACGTCGTCGGAATCTTGCAACGAGAAGCTGATTTGACTACCTCACCAACATTTTTATCCTCTTCGCTGCTACTTTCGGTCCTCCACAGCATCGGTATCGGTTTAGCAGCCGCGTCATCCATTGACTCCGAAGCAAGTTTGAGACGAGATGATAATTTGAGAGCCAAATCCGGGTTTTGTAACTTTTGAGTGACGTAAGGAATAATGGTTTTCTTGTCCAAACAAACAGAGAAGACCTTAAATATAAGCATGATTAAACAAAAACCTTTCCACGAAACCGTTCCATATTCAGTAATTGCAAGAAAACCATTATTAAAAGTGTGTCTAGTTGTAATGAAAATAGGATCAGTCGAAATTCTTACTGTGTATATCGAACAGCCTGTTTCAATTTCGAACACTTGAACATGACCATGATTGGTAATCATGTACAGTATTCCATACGTTGAAGACGCCTAAAAATCAGTAAAGCGAGGTTAGACAATTCTAAAAGGCAATGTCAGAGACAAATTTATGGCAATGTCCGTGATTAAAATCGATGACTTCTAAAAAAGGTTTTTGATATTCGTACCAAAATTAATATGTACTCTGTACGAGGGCGAGTAAGATAAACATTGGGGTCATTTTGCGGGTCATCTTTCCACTTTTCTTTATAAAATTACGTAAAAAATTAATTTATCTGAGGACAAGTTTTATAGATAACATCCATTTTTATTTAATAAAAAAGGTATTCTCTCCATATGTCAAATCATACTATGTATATACAAACCTGCATTGAGAGAGGAAAACTATCTGGAGAACCATCCGAATAAACGAAATCAAAAGACTTCTTTGTGTATTTTCTATTTGCAGCATCAGTTTCGAGTTCTTTAATGGTCAACTAAAGATAAAAACTAATAAATGAATTTCTATCCCTTCAAATAACCTTTCCTTTTTTAGCCGATTTACGTAGAGAATAACAAATGAGATCACTTGTAAATGGATTCCCTTCCATTTTGAATTTGGCAAAACAAGCAGCATGAGCGTCAATTAGTTGAGTGTTGTAGGCTTTCCCTGCTTTATGTAGTGCCAAATACCCATAAGTTCCAACTTTTGATTTTTCAACTCCAACAAGCAAAAAATAATATCCAGCAGAATCAGGTCGATAGTCAGTTATTATAAGTAATTTAGATCTCAAACCTAAATGTCGGTGAAATACTTTGTATTCAACATTATCTTAAAAAACATATAACATTAAATTCAAATAATAAACCATCAAGATTCCAATGGTGAACCCAAGTCTTTGTCACGAATCCAATGGTATTTGAGTTAATCCATGTCCAAAAATCAACTTTTCTTTTTACTGTACAAGATTTTATTGGGATATTTCGCTCCAAATCATATATTGCAAGTTTATTACCAATGGCTAAAATGAAAGAAGGATTATTAAAAAAAAAGAATATTTACTTTCAAAAGCCAAAATTCTCCGAGTTGGATGCATTATAACAGACAATACTTCAACACTAGAAGGTATTCTTTCAACAACATTGGGGTTCGCAACATTTACAATAACTACTTCGTTCTTCTCCCTGGCAGTAATGTACTTGTCAGATTCCATTCTTACAAATTCACGTTTGAACTCATTCAAATTGATTCGGTACTTTCCTGTTATGACGCAACAGTCAGTTTTTTCGTCAGTTTTTTCAAAAATTATGTAAAAATGGTCAGTCTAAACAACAATTGTAGAACACATCGAGCTTTGTCGAATGACACCAAAATCAACAAAATTCGACTTGATTTGACCGAAATACAGACCCCTAAACCACAGGGGCACAAAATCATAAAGACGAAAATCTATACAAATCATAACTCATTCGAAAGAGCTCGTCGAGCTGAGTCGAATGAGACCAGAATCAACCAAATCCGACTTGATTTGACAAAGTTATGACATAAGTCGTCGACTCCGGTAGGTCTAAATAATGTCATAACTTTGTCAAATCTCCTCAGAATTCGTTGATTTTGGTATCATTCGACTCAGCTCGATGGGTTCTACAATTATTGTTCAGACTGACCATTTTTACATAATTTTCGAAAAAACTGACGAAAAAACTGACTGTTGCGTCATAACAGGAAAGTACCATTGATTCCAATATTTTTTAACTAAAAGAGAGAAATCAACGAGAGAAATAAATCCGAAAGTGTGCAAAGGAACTTACTGAAAAGAGTTCCTTAGAACGTATAGGTGCCAAATCCGTCATATTATTTTGAACCTAAAAGGAAAAAAATTTTCAAAACAATGAAAAATGGAATTTTTAAAAACATTTGTAAGCTGTAAAAATGTAGAAAAATATAAGGATGATTCATCTGGCAATATTTAAATCGAAGAGGCTGGATAGTGTTGAATATGTGAAGGGGTTAATGATTTGTAAGTTAGATAAAGAAAGTTGTCGCTTTGATGGGTAGGAAAGAACGATTCGCTTTGAATAGTGTAAATATAATTTTATTTTTATTAGCATATTTTGTGCTCTTTTGTCTATTGTTCCCATATTTTTTTCTTTTAAGTTTGTAATCTTTTTGCCGGGACACGCCTAAGTAGACGCGCGGACCAAGTAGGCGCAAAGCCCCATAATTACCATGAAAATTTCTTACTCTTGTCAATTTTAGTACCAATCTCTTTAGCGCTCATTGAGAGGAATTAATACTGAATTTGATAAGATATGGAAATTTTGAAGCAAGTTACGGCTTTGTGCCTACTTGGCCGCGCACGCTGCACCCTCTTTCTGCCTATTTTTAATTAAAAATTTAAGACGGAAAATGAAATTGGCGCGTTTATATTTATTTTTAAAATTTATTTTTGTGTTTTAATTGAGTACAATTTTTGTAAAAAATTTTGTATTATAATAATCAACAAATATAGAAAAATAATAGATTATTTTTAAAAGAAGTTGGGGGTCTATCCAGAAGATGGGCTCAAAATAAAATTTTAAATTTTTTTGTGTTTTTGACTTTCCGGAAAACACATTTTTAAAAGCGTTTCATAGGAATTGTCAAGAAAAGGCAGTAATTTTTGCTTATTTTTGTTAATATTTTTATGATTTTTTACTCTTCTGAGTAGGCCCACCTAAAAAAATTTTTAATAGAATACAATTTTAATTAAATGTTCAATTACTTTATATTTTAAACATTTTTTAATATGCAAAATTTAATTTCTTAAATTCCTCCTTTTTCATTTTGAACAACCGGTGTGTGTTTTGTATTTTACCAATCCACTTTGATCATTTTATGTGTGGCTGTAGCTAATTTTGGAAAGATGACTAGAAGGGGAAGTAGAAAAAATTGAAGAAAAATAAGGATGGAAAATTTAGAAAAAATAATGAAAAATAATGATAAAATGGAGGGGATTCGAAAAAGAATCCGATGGGGAAAATAGAGACAGATTTTTTTGAAAACTTAAGATATAAGGGGGGAATACACTGGCGAGTAAATAAAAATAATTATAATTAAACCGAGAAAATGCAGCAAAAAAATTAAATTATTAAATAAATGCAAAATAATATAATTAGGACGGGATTTTAAAAATATTTGAAAATGCTGTGTAAATAGAAGAATAAAATACATTTTTATTTTAGGCACCGTTAAGAATATTTTGTGGTGAGAAAATTGTATTTATTTGAAAAAACACAAGGGAAATAACTGATTTCTGATTTTTATTAATTCTGATTTTTCTTGCTAAATTATAAATTCTGATTTTTAAATAAATCAGAATTTTTTTAATAAATCTGAATTTAGCTGATTTAGAATTATTTTTCAGAATTAAAGCCAGAATTATTTTTCAGAATCAAAACCAGAATTATTTTTCAGAATCAATACCAGAATTTTTTCAGAATTAAAACCAGAATTATTTTCTGAATTAAAACCAGAATTATTTTTCAGAATTAAGACCAGAATTATTTTCAGAATTATTATCAGAACATTTTAATAAATTCTGATTTAAATCAAAATTTTAATTCTGATTTAAATCAAAAATCAGAATTTACATGCATTCCTTTAGGGTTTAATTCAGAGAAGAAATTTATATAAGGCGAGTAGTCGATTATTTTCATTGAGAATTTTGAGTAAAAATAAAAAATAAGTAAAAATGCTTCGTTGAATAATAATTAATGGAAAAAATAGGGGGATAATTAAAAAATAATATTTAAACAAAAAAATAATTTTATTTTTTGCGTAATTTTTGGCGTCGATTACAAAACCAGACACGTACAACCTGCAAAATAAAATTTTCATTTAAAAAATTAAAAAAATTTTTTTACGTCGTGATCCAAATCTAGTAAAGTTGCAATTTCAACCATACGGGCATTGTCTGGACGTCTGAAATTTTTTTGAATTTAATTTTTCAAATTATTCTGAATTTGGATTTAAGTCTGGAAGAGGGCTGGGGAGGGGTTGAGTGAAGATAGGTGTGGGAAATTAGAGGATTTAATGCTGAGTAGGGGATGAAGGTTAAGTATTAACAGGTGAGGAATTTAGGAGATTATCAGAATTTTATATCAAAACTTACGGATCAATTCTGAAAAAGGTATCCAAAGACAATTTTTGTGCAGTATCCAAATTTGTTCGTTTCCTTCGTTTTTTGAAAGGTGGCAAAAGAATTTTGGATTGAACTGATTCGTTGTTGTTGTTATTTACAATTGTTGAAAAGGCGTTCATTTTTTCATTATTCTCCTTTGTTATTTGATTTTGTTGTTGTTGATGATGATTTTCACCTTCTTCTATTGGCGAGATTGATAAAATATTGGTAGTGCAGTCTTGCTATAAAAATAAAAAAATAATTTCTTTAAATTGTTAATCTGTCTGAGCGCAAAAAATATTAAGGTGAGGTATATAAACGCCAATTTTTGTGTTTTGAAAATTTTTCCTTCCCAAAAAAGGTTTGCGCACAGACAGGATTTTTTTTCAAAATTTAATTACTTTTATTAACTATACTAATTCAATACTTTTTGTTTACAAATTTTCATCCTTAAAAAATGAATTTTTATTGAAGCGAAAATTTTTAACGATAATTTAGAGAAAAATAAACAAAAGACTTTTAAAAAAAGAGAAAAATAAAGAGAATAGAATTCTCTGACACAGCCGCGTAAGTGTTCTGTTACTTAGCACTTCTTCACAAAAAAGTTGTTTTTCTCTAATTTTTGATGAAAATTTAGCGGTAAACAAAAAACAACAGCCGTCCGCCATTTAATCGCAGGGATTACCAGCCGTGTGCCATATAATTGCAAAAAGTTCGTTTGAGGAAAATTAATCGCAGCCATTTTATCGCAACTATTTAACTTTAACGTAACAACATAAAAGGACCCAGACACAGAGGATTTAAGGTGCGTTAAAAGCACAAAAGATCTAACTGCTTTAAAAGTGCAAAAGGGCTTAAGAGTTAAAATGTACAAAAGGCTAGACTAAAAGTATAGACTAAAACTAGACTAAAAGTACAAAAAGACTAAAAGGAGAAATAAAACAATAGACAAATGTTATTTGTTCATTTAGTAATTTAGAATTGAACAAATTAAGGGACAAAAATTTTGAATTTTCTGAAAAAGGAAATAAGTTACGGTGGAAGCCAAAGACTTAAAAATTGCGTATGAGAGACTAAATAAGATAAGCTAAAAGTGCGAACACTTTGGGTCCAGAAAATGGTTAGGATAATTGTACGTCATTAAGTGAGAGGCAAAGATCAGGGCAAACCGATCTAGAAAAATTTTTGGCTCTTAAATCAAAAGAAACAATTAAAAGACAAATTCGACGTGAAGACTGAGACCACGGCCGCCGCGAGCGAAGCGAGCACGGCCGTTGCAAAGCACGGGACCGACTGAATAACGTGTTTTGGTGGATCCATTTTGCTAAAAAGGTTTGATGAGTTGAGAGAGATATCAAGGGATTTGAGGAATTAATAGAGAATCATGTTTTTGAACAATATTTAACATCGAGAAGTTTGAACGGATTAATAGGCAAATCTGTGTCTGAAGTAGAGTAATTCGAGTACCGTGTAATTGGAAAAACTGAGCTCGAACTCGACTTACTCTACTTTGAAGAAGAAACAGAGAGACCAGTGATTTGTTGAAAAAAGGAGTTTTTTTTGATTTAAGGGTTAGTAGAGAAATTTAGAGATTTGTGAAGGTTTTTGGGGACTAGCAATTTTTAATTCTTTTGTGTGATTTCAAGAAAATTAAGTGGATTAAGGGTTATCATGGAATATGGTGAACTAAAAGACAAAATTAGAAGAGGGCGAAAAACAGCCATCAGGGTCCCTAAAGAAAAAGAGACGTAAAAAAGTCGTAAAAAATAATGTTGCAACAAAGAAAGTGATGTCTTATAAGTAGGGTGTTTCGAAATATGCACGAAAAATCCAAAAATATGCGCATATATATGCACCGAAAAAGCCTAAAATATGCATCAAAATATGCCAAATTTGTCAAAATATGCACTAAATATGCAGCAAAAAAATGAAAATGTGCTTCAAAAATCAATACTTCAAGTAAAAAAATATAAATTTAACATTTAAATTGCAGTTTAAGAGCACTTCTAAAAGATTTTATTAACTTTAAATTCAACCAAAAAATTTTTTTTGGAAAAAATTTTTCCCGAAAAGTTTTTCGAAAGAATTTTTTCAACAAATTTTTATTAAAAAATTTTTTGCTCAAAAAATTCCAAAATTTTGCCCGATTTTTACTAAAATTTCTCAAAAAATGCCAAAATATGCACAAATTTAGGTAAAAATATGCAAATTATCCCAAAATATGCATCGATATGCAAATATGCACAAAAGTACCGAAATATGCAAAAATATGTTATAAGAACCCGGTCCCTAATGTTCGTACCGACGTAAAAACACCATTTTTGAGCGTTTCAGCTCATAGCATATCCGCATACAAAATATGCATTTGCATGTTTTGAAACACCCTACTAATAAGTGCGTCGGGAATTTTAGGCTTCAAAAATATCGTGGATTTCAAGGATTAATAGTATACATATATGTAGATATCTGCAGTAGTGAATTAGGGTGGAAACTCCAGAAATTGAGGAATAAGGGCCAGTTGAAAGGGTGAGAAAAAAAGATCAAAAAAGATAAAAAAAAGATTCTATTTGACCAGGAAAATTTATATTAGATAAACTACTTTAAAACTGCGCGGAAATTTACTTAGGGAATAAAACAAGGTTGGATTTTTTGTGGAAAACCTATGAAGGAAAAAACTGAAAAAATTCCTGGGATCTTCCCTATCAATTTGATGAAGAATGAAAAAAATTCTGACTTCTAACTCACACATATCATTGAGATCTCGAGATTCAAAATCAACGGAAAATGGGGTGATTTGGAGGTGATCTGATTTAAAAAATATTTTTGGCCATTCTGATCTATTAAAAATTTTCCTTTCATGACTATTTAAAAGCCCATAAAATTTGCTACAAAAAAGACTTTATGCCATTTCTTTAAAAAAATTCTTCATCGAGATAAATACCGAAGTTTTTTTAGACGCTAAATTTATGCCTGATTTAACACATTTTTCCCCAAATTAAAAGGTTTCAGAGTGTGTCTCGATGAAGAATTATTTTAAGAAATGGCATTAAGCCTATTTTGTAGCAAATTTAATGGGCTTTAAAATGATCGCGTAAGAAGATTTTTATCGAGGCCAGATGGACCGAAATATTTTTTAAAGACAGATCACTTCCAAATCACCCCAATTTCCGTTGAATTTGGATCTCAAAATCACGACGATGGGGATGAGCTAAAAATCAGATTTTATTGCGATTATTCATCACATTGTTAGGGAATATCTCAGGAATTTTTTCAGATTTTTCATACATTGTTTTCCGACAAAAAATTAAACTTCATTTTTTTCCCTAAGTAAATTTCCGCGCAATTTCTGAAAAGGCTAATATTATAAATTTTTTATCCAAATAAAGTTGTACCTGGACATATTTGGTTCCATTTAATAGGTATTAAAGAAGGCTACAAAAATACACAAAAAGAAATAAAGCCAAAAGAAAATTTTTTGAGTAAAACCTAAAAAACGCGAAGAGAAAATTTTTCCCTAAGCAATTTTCCGCCACTGCAGGTAACAGGGTCTTTAAAGCCAATAGAAAACTAAAAACCATAATAATTTTTTCAAAGCTTTTTAAGAAAGTTAGAATAGACAACTGGCCTTATCCGTGTCCGGAAATTTGGGGTGTGGATATTTGGGGAATGAGAGGACATTTGGTCAATGAGGACAGAGTTGGAGAATTATTAACAGGAATATTAGGGGTTTTGGGGGCTTTGTAAAAACGGATTAGAGTCTATTTAGAACATTAAAAGTTGTAGAAAGAGCGGTAGGACGCCGCGAAGCGGCGTCCTACCGCTCGTTTTTTTATTTATGTGACTGAAGTTGAGAGAATATTTTAAGAAGAATAGATAAAGGATTTTAAAAAAAGTAGCAAAGTGAGAAGGGATTTAGAATAAGTCTTAATCCGTATCAGTAAATGCACTAAAAGCCACCGCCGCAGAAAATAAAGAAATTATTCCTTCAGAATTATTATTTTCATTTTCTTCCTCAGAATGATGATTATTCTTCCATTCTTGTCTATTCCATTCATCTAAAAATGGTTTGCAGATTAAGGGGTATGTGTTTGTGAACAGCAGAGGTGTGCCGTTTCGTATTTTGTAGAATTTCGAGTTTTTAGGTGTTTCGCATTTCGCTTTTAAATTGACTTTCGCGTTTCATCTTTCACCTTTTAAAATCAGTTTCGCCTTTTCATCTTTCGCTTTTAAAATTAGTGTTTCGGCACACCTCTGGTAAACTCCACAAACCGTTAGCTGCTTCAGAATGTCCATAAACAGGCGAAAACTCTAAATTCCCTATAAGCTCATGCCAATCAGTCCCAGAAGACCATTTTGTATTATTCCACCAGTCCCCGTTCCAAAAAGTTTTTATTCGATCAGCAAATCCCAAATCAATTTGTACTGGGCGTTCTTGACAATTCCATTGTTGGTTATTCCAATAATTAAAAAACGGATCGTCTATAGCTATTGGATTTATTTGAAAACATTCTGAGACGATACATTCTTCTTCCTCCTCATCTTCAAAATGAAGCAAAGTTTCAAGTGGATGAGAAGAGGATTGAGGTTGTTCTTCATTTTTATCAATTTGATTTTCTTCATCTTTCGCTTCCTTTTCGTCTCCTTCATTTTGACCTGCAACTCTTCTTCTTCCGTCCTCTTCCATTCCTTCCTCTCCAATTTCTTCATTTCCATTCTTTTGTGTATCTTCATTCTCCTCCTTTCCATCTTCTTTCGTCTCTTCATCTCTTTCCACTTCCTCATCTTTTCCTTTTTCTTCATCTTCTCCTTTTTCCTCCTCTTCATTTGATTTTATCATTGTTCTTCTACTATTTTTAGTTTCCTTTAATTCAAATAAAGGACGGAAGCAACAAACAAAAGAAAACAATGTTCTAATCCGTTGACTTAAAAAATATTTTCTCTTCGACTTTTGAGAATGATTTTGAGGAAGAGACTTGACAATTTTATTGCAGATCAAACAATTATTGTTGTGTTGTTTATTATTTTGATTTAAATTGTTGTCATCAATGTAGGGGAATTGTTTAATACGATTTAAAAAATCATTGGAGTAATTGTTGAGATGAGGGGAGGATAATATAGACATTTTGGGGGATAAAGAATAAATGGAAGAAAATAGAGGAAGACGGGAAGAAGAAGAAGGAAGGGTGGGGGAATGAATAGAAAACAATGGAAGAGGAGGTGGAAGAGGAAGGGGAAGACGAGGGTGAATAGGAAGAGTAAATGGAAGATGAATAGAAGAAAGAGGAGGAAGGGGAAGAGGGGGAAGTGAAGGCAACTTCGACTCAAATTCAATTTTTGTTTGAGTAGTCATTGAATAAATAGGTGGTAAAAATGGTCTTCTTCTTGAAAGAGAAGAAATAAAAAAAGTTTTTTGGTTGGCCAAATTGATTTGATCATCATGTAATAAATGCAACAATTTAGTAGTAGAATTGACAACAACAACCTGTTTTGGGAGTAAGGGAAAATTAGAATCGGGAGCAAATTTATATTTAAATATATGTACTATTTGTTTAATTTAGTGTTAAAAAAGGATTGAAACATGTGTCCCAATTCTAATAGTATAAATTATAAATTGAAATTGGTGAACAAGTTAAGACAAAGTTTATGGGTTAGAGAAAGTTTAGAAAAAGACTAGAATAGAATTTTTCCGGAAAGATATTTTAGTGAGAAAAATACATTCCGGAAAAATGCATATTAGCAATAAGAATTTCCGGAAAAGGTGGAAAAATACAGAATTAAATATTTATAGAAAATACATTCCGGAAGGATCCATACCAGAAAATAATTTCCGGAAAAGATAAACACAGAAGAATAATGGTAAAATTATAGAAAATACATTCCGGAAAGAAAATATTAGTAAATAATAATTTCCGGAAAAGATAGAAAACACAAAAGATAGTGTAGTCTTATAGAAAATACATTCCGGAAAAATACAGAAATAGAATTTAAATTTGTATTTTTTATTAACTTTAATGTTTAAAACAATAAATGTCTACCTGTTCAAACATTTGAGGGAATCCATCAGTACTTGATGAGACAACATTAGAATTTAAAGAGGAAGATGCCGGTTTCGATGAAAGCATTGTCACTCGTTGTATCGCCACACCTTCCATAATATCTTGAACACTAGCACCTGCAGTTATAAGACGATCAGTTTCGTGTAGCCAATCTTCTAGAAGAGGGCGTAATTTGCACATATTTTTGTAGGAAAGGTTGAGTGCTTCAAAGCGGGAAATAGCTAAAAGGAAAAAAATTAGGGAACTTCAAAAAAATGTTTATTCACTTGTCTGTGAAAAATCTGTGCCATATCGTTTACCAAGTGCAACACCAACATCGCCTTGTGTAAAACCATGCTTAATTCTTTGCTTCTTAAAACAATTGGAAAATTCAGCCAATTCGTCCAATTCTTCTATACGTTCGATTCCATCACGATCTTGAAGAAGAAGGGCACCTAACGATTTTTCGCTTTTAACGGTCAATGCTCCTGTAACAGAAGGGATATTTAAAGAAGAGCAAGTAGTAGGAATTTTTTGAATATTTGAAGAATTTTTTGAAATTTTTTTGAGCCGTTTTTGTTGGTGTTTTTGTTGTTGATTAACAGACAACATGTTAAGTCCATTCTCATTTTTATATTCTTCTCTATTTTCCTCTTTTTCTTCAATGTTCATTTGACACTCATTATTTTCTTCTTTGTTTTCTTTCCAACAAATGTTGTTATTGTTGTTGTTAATGTTTTGTTGTTGCTCAAACATTTGTTTTAAAAATTCTTGTTGTTGTTCGTCACAATTAAATAAAGGCAAAAACCCTAGAGATAATGGTGAGGCAAGTTGATTGTTTTGTTGGATGTTTTGTTGAATGTTTTGATGTTCGGTGTTTTGTTGAATGTTTGTTTGGATGTTTTGTTGTTGGCCAAACAATTGTGAAATTAGTGTTGTAATTAATTGTTGTTGTTCATTAAAAGTTGTTTGGTTGTTGTTATTAAACAAAACATCGTTGTTATTATGTTTTTCAATGTTTGTTTGTTCAGAATTAAATGTGTGTTGCTGAGGTAAAATTTGTTGTGTTTCGTTAATGTTTTGTTGGTGTTTTTTGTTGGAGTTTGTTTTATCTTTATTATTCCGTTTATGTTTGGATTCTGACAATGTTTTTGTTGATGTTTGCGTTGATATTGGGTGGTTGTTGATATCGACAGGTGTGGTGTATTGAGAGGGCAATACTAGAATATTTTTTAAAATTTATTTAATTTTCTTGTTTTTTAAATACAAATTTTTGTATAAAATTGCAAAAGTATATAAATATATTCCAAAACAAATATATAATAAAAATTTATCGAACCGCGCAAAATTATAGTGTCTTTTTTGCTTGATTGAATCGAAGAGAGAGCAATTTTACTCTCTTTTACAATTTAATCACTTTATTCCTTTTTTCAATTTTCGCATGTTTTTGTATTTTCTGTGCGCAAGAGATTTAAGAAGGAAAAGTACTAAAATTGAAATAATAACAAAAATTATTGCGCTCAGCAAAGGGACGGAAATCAGAGCAGCAATTAAATCGGATACTATTTTAATTGGGAAGTGTGTTTTAGAATATTTATTTTAGTTAGCAAATGTTTTACTCTGTTGTGTTTTATATAAAAATTCTGAAATGCACAAAAACATCAAACAAAACATGTTGTCTAAAACAAACATTTTACCTGTGTTTGGAAGAGTTTCAGAAGAAAATGTTTGTTGATTATTTTGTTGTTGTTGTAATAATTGCCAACATTGAAAAGCTGCAAACATTTCTACTAATTGAGGAAAACTTTCTCCTACAGAGGTATTATTTGTTGTTATTCGTTGAAGGCAATCAGTGAAAAAATTGGAGGGAAGAGTTTGTTGGTTGTTTTGATTGAAAAAATTTTCGAAGAGTGGAATAAATGAATTTTGTTGTTGAGGGAAACTGCTAAAATAATTTGTTTTTATTAAATTCTGATTTTTGTTTTTATAAAATTCTGATTTTTGTTTTTACTAATTCTGGTTTTTTTATTAAATTCTGATTTTTGTTTTTATTAAATTCTGATTTTTGTTTTTATTAAATTCTGATTTTTGTTTTTATTAAATTCTGATTTTTGTTTTTATTAAATTCTGATTTTTGTTTTTATTAAATTCTGATTTTTGTTTTTATTAAATTCTGATTTTTGTTTTTATTAAATTCTGATTTTTGTTTTTACAAACTCTGATTTCGTTTTTATTAAATTCTGATTTTTGTTTTTATTAAATTCTGATTTTTGTTTTTCTAAATTCTGGTATTTAAATGTTTTTATTAAATTCTGATTTTAATTAAAATCAAACTGACCAGTTCAACCCTTGTTCATTGTTGTTTATTAATTCGTTGTTATTATCTTTTATTTCTCGCTTAATTTGTTCTGACAACACTTCATTATCACCTCCTCCATCATTATCCATAAAAATACCAGAATCATTATTTGTATAATTATTATTAAAAGAAAATTGTTGTAATGTTTGCCAAAATTGTTTTTGTTGTTCTTCTCCTCCAACAATAAAATTAAAATTATTATTTAATGAGGAAATAATGTTTTGTGTTAATTCTGGTTGTTGTTGGGGAGTAAAGTGTTGTTGATGCTGGTCTTTTCCTTGTTGGACAAATTGTTGTGTTAATCCACCAAGGATGTTATAAGCTTGATCTCCAACCTTTAGTGAATTTTTAAATATTAAAATGTCAAAAAATCAAAATTGTAAAAATGTCAAAAATCAGAAAAAACTCACCTCTTTACACATTTGTTCCAACACCATTTTCCCCAATTCCTCTACACTAATAGAATCGAAAGGATTCGGTATATTGCTAGCAGAAGAAGCTGAAGCACCTAAAGAAAGTAGTTGTTGTAATCCACTAGTAAATAATTCTGCTAATTGCTGACAGAATTGTTGTTGAGAAGATATTGATGTTGTTTTTGTTTGTTGTTGTTGTTGAGTGTTTGTTTGGCGTGAATTCTTTGATGTTTTTGTATTTGTTCTGGTGTTTGTGTTTTTACAAGTTGTTTCTGGTTGGTTTAAAAAATCAAAAAGGGAATCGAACGAAGAAGAGGTGTTGTTTTTGTCTTCCTAAAAATAGAAGAAAAACATTGTGTTTTTGTATGTTTTGAAAAACTTGAAAGCTTAAATGTTTGTGAACATGTTGCGTTTAAATTATGAACATGTTTATATTAAATTCTGATTTTTCTATAGTTGTGGGCATGTTTATTTTTAATTCTGGTTTTTTTAATATTTTTCTGATCTACAATCTGTTAAGGGGTGAAATTAGGACGCTTCAAAACAGAATTATAATATAGCAATTTAAAACACACAATTTTCTTAAGATTTTTAATTTCAAAATATTTAAAAGGCAATTTAAAAAATTGTATGATTCATCTAAAAAATAATTTAAATATTAGGAAAGATGATGAGTAAGATGAATATATTTAAAGGTTTCGAGAAAAAAAATTCAAATAATTTTTTAAGATTAATGAGATTAAAAAAATTTTGGATGTGTGATTCTGTAAGAGAAAATAGAGAAAGAAGTATCTTTTAATTGAAAATAATTTTAAAAATATCCAAAAATAAATAGTATTAAATTTGTATGTGTGTGTTGGGAGAAAGCAAAAATTGAAAATTAAAAAAAATTGCAGAAATTTTAATTTTAACAAATTTAATACTTTTTTAGACGTATAAAAATGATTAATTTTTCTGCATAAAGGACGATAATAAAAACTTTTTCTTTATGTATTCAAAATTTATTTCTTTAGGTGACTAATAATTGAATTTTGATAACTAAAGTACAAAAATATCCTTAAGAAATATTAAACAAATTTTAATTGAAATCAGAATTTAATAAAAACAAAATCAGAATTTAATATGAACAAGGACAGAATCAAATAAATCAACCAGAATTTAATAGGAAAACAAAACCAGAATTTGTAAAAAATAAAGTCAGAATTTAATAGAAACAAAACCAGAATTTCATAAAATCAGAATTTATTAAAAACAAGGTTACCTGTTGTTTTTGGTCCAGTAAAGTTGTTTCAGAATTTTTCAAAGACGGAATCAGTTTTCCATTTCCACATTTAGTAGAAGCAAGTCTTCGTTTGTATTTAGGTTTTTGTTGATGCAAATTATTTGAGGAGCTTGGCTGTGAATCTTTTCCAATTAATGAGCAATCTAAAAATAATTAAAAATCAGAATCTTGCAAAAAAAAAAAAGACGAAAATGTCTAGTTTTCATCGGTTTTTAGGGTTTTTAAGTCATAACTTCTGAAATAATTAATCAAAAATTCTGAAATTTTAATAGAAGGTAGTCAACGCTATTAGGGATGTCCATACAAAATTTCATAAGGGTACGTCAAAATTTGACAGTTTTATTCTAAAATTATTGCAAGCAACCCAAAGAGAGTACTGTAATTAATAATAATATTGAGCAAGAGAAAAATTTTTTTCAAAAATATTTTTAAATAAAATCATTGCGCAGCATTAATTTTGGCAGAAAAAAATAAAAACAAGCATTTTTCTAGTAAATAAAAAATAATTTTACTATTAGTCCACAAAATATGTATACACAATTTAATTGAATGTTTATAAAGCTGTCTGCTTTTCTGCTTTATAAATATTTTTATTTAAATAATTATTTGACGTTTTTTCTAGATATTTTAATGGTATTTTACATATTTAAATAATGTTATGGTAGACTGATAAAATGGAATTTGGAATTTTAATTTTTGTAAAACTAAAGAAGTTGCTAGTAGAGTCTGGGGAGGTTTTAAGCGTGAAAAACATGCAAAACATGTTTTAAAATAATTAAAATTAGAATTTTAACAAAACATGTTTTATTAAAATCAGAATTTCAACAAAACATGTTTTATTAAAAATCAGAATTTTAACAAAACATATTTTATTAAAATCAGAATTTTGACAAAACATGTTTTATTAAAAATCAGACTTTTAACAAAACACAAGTACCAGAATTAAGTAGTGTTGTAGTTTGTGTAGAAGAAGAGGATTCTAAAACATTTCCAACTGATTTTTCCGTGGATTCGTTTTTAATTTCAACATCTTTTTCTTCTTTTTTAATATTTTCTTCGTTAAAAATTAAATTTTGTTGAGTTTTTATTTCTGTATTTACAATTTCTTCCTCTTCTTCTCTTTTCGTTGTTTGAGGAATATTATTAAAATGAAAATTAAATTGTTGTTGTAATTGTTCTGTTGAGTTCTGAAAAAATAAATGGTTGAGTCTGAATGGGTTTTAAATGGAAATATTATGCGAAGAAAATTATTTACCAAACACGCCAAAATTGGCGCACAACATAACTTTTTAAATTATGTTTTATTGTTTGTTCTGATAATTCTTCTGGTTCTGTTTTTTAATGTTCTGATTTTTTGTTTTTACTAAATTCTGATTGTGTTTTTATTAAGCTCTGATTTGTGTTTTTATTATATTCTGATTGTGTTTTTATTAAATTCTGATTTGTGTTTTTACTAAATTCTGATTTTTTTTTGTTTTTATTAAATTCTGATTTCTGTTTTTATTAAGTTCTGATTTCTGTTTTTATTTGATTATATTTGTTTTACTAAATTCTGATTTTTTTTGTTTTTAATTCTCATTGCATTCACCTGTTTATCTCCATTATTCTCCTCTCCATCTGCTTCTTTAATATTTTCTTCTCTTTCCTCCTTTATAAACAAAGTTTTATTATTAACAAAACTTGAAGTAGTCATTTGTTGTTGTTCACTAGTTGAGGCAATCATTATATTGATAATTTTCGTTGTTTATTTTTTCAATTTAAAAAATAATATTTATTAAATTATACTAAATAAATATTGCTTTTAATCATTTGAGCATTAAAAAGGTCACTTTATTATTTTTAAAAGTTTTTGCTGAAAAATATTTAAAAATTAGAAAATGTGCGCAAATTCTTGCGTTTTTCTAATGTTTGCTAATTTTTCTAATTTTCTTTTACATAATTTTGAAATAAAAATAAGATAAAAACTAAAAGAAAAATAATAATAAACAGTGGCGGTAATCTAAAAAGACACACAAAAATATATTTATGTAAATATAATTATTATTATAATATTATTTTTCGACTGGCAGCGGCAACACAGAATGAAGTGTTTTAGTTAAAGGAGGAGGAAAAAGAAGGATTGATTGACTGACTGACTGGGCAATTCAAATTAGTAAATATGTGTGTGTATGTATATTTTTATTTATATTTATTCAACAATATATTATTTAGTAGTTCATAGTAATCAGTATTTGAAAATCTTTTTTGTGTTCCGCCTGTGCGCCAAAATTTTTTTTTGTAGAACGCAAAAAACGGATTATTTGTGAAAAGATGATTCAGGGTAGTCTTTTTCCTACTTCCGTCTCTTTTGACCTTTTTGCGTCTTCTGCTTCTATCTTCTTTCACCTTTCGTCTTCGGTATCCCTGTTGCGCTTATGCCTATTCTAAACGTTCGAACGGATCACTAGAGTTTGATAGAAGGAACTGACACCTCAAAACGATCAGCTTTAAGTTGACGTTTCGTGTTTCGATATTGTTTCTTCATTTTTGCGTTATAAAATTGTTTGCGCACATTTAAACTTTTTAATGCATTATTCACTAAATAGGCTGTTGTTGGGCCTACTTTATTCCTACTAATATATTAAAATAATATACTCCTCCCACACGCGTGGCCTCGTCCCTCAAATCGGCGCTGTTTTTGTGTGTTTTTAATCGATCTGCGCGGTCCCTACAATGAAAAAAAAATAAAGAAGAAAAAAATCGCCGAAAATTGCGCGCAAACATTTTTACATAATATTAAAAATATTATATAACCAACACCTGTGCGCAATCCTTGTTTTAATTTATTCTAACAAAAGTAGTTTTTTTGTGAATGGATTTAAGAAAGAGAATGAATATTAACTAAAGTTTGTGACAAGTTTAAAGAGAGAGGTGTGTTGAAATTTGAGGATTTTTGAAAAATTTGGTGACATGTTGGAATGTCGAAATTTCGCGAAAAGTTGAAATTTTGAATTTTTCTTAATTTTAAAATTTGATACAAAAAAATTCCCAATAAATTCCCAACTTGTTTTTTAAATAAATTGCGCGGAAGAAACAACTGACGTGAGAAAAATAAAGTAATATCATAAAATAAATTAATCTACATAATATGTATAGGTATAAAATTATGCAATTGTGTACATAAGTTGTGTTCAGTCATTAAATTATGGAAAAACAAGTTAATTTAATAAATAATTGGAAATAAAAAGCAGAAAAGATGTTTTTAGTTGTTTAAAAAATTAAAAAAAATAAAAAAAATAAAAAAAAATTTTTTTCGTGTTTTGAAAAAAATTTTTTTTAAGAATGTCGAAATTTCGTGAAAAGACGAAATTTCGCGAAAAGTCGAAAAAATTTTTTTGGTTTGAAAAAAAAATTTTTTTTGGTTAAAAATTTTTTTAAAGAATGTCGAAATTTCGCGAAGTCGAAAAAATTTTTTTGTATTTTGAAAAAATTTTTTGTTATTAGACTCTAATAACCTTCTTTAAAAATATACATATTTTTTTTTGTTATTAAAAATAATTTTTTATTTTTTTGTTTTTTCCTATTTATATTTTTGCTCCAAACGTGATCAACTGACTGACATTCATTTTGGCTAACTAAAATATATTTTGAAAAAATTTTTAAGCAAAAATATGTTGATGTGAAAAATATGTATTTCTCTCTTTTTCTTTTCCCCCAAAAAAGAAAGTCACGTTCAGAAATATTTTTGTGTGTTTAAAAATAAAGGACAAAAAAAATTTACATCAAATAAGAGAAGAAAAATGTGCGCGGAAATTTTGAAAGAATTTTGTTTAAAAAAAGTATTTATTTACATACAAAAATATTTAAATATACTTACGCCCAAAATGTTTGAGTCTTAGACATGTTTTTTAAGGTATTAATTAATTGGAATATTATATTTCAGGAAAAGTTTAATTAGAAGTATTAGAGTAATATAAAAAGAGTAACAAATTTGTATTTTATTTTCTTTCCGGAAAACACTTTTAAGCAAAATTATTTTCGAGTAGATTAAGTTTTCCGGAAAACACAGTAGAATAAATAATAATTTACTTCCCAGAAAACACAAAATAGTAGAATTGTAATTTTATTTTTCCGGAAACCATTAAATAGTAGAATTATTATTTTTTCCGGAAAACACAATAATAAAATAAAATATTTTTGCAGAAAATATCTTCCGGAAAATATACTTGCTTTTATTGTGTATTTTTATTATGTATTTTCCGGAAACAAAATACAAAATGGTCATTCCCTTTATACTACTAAAGCGAGTCTATATATTTTGTTATAGATTTAAACCAGGGCTCGGATCGACAAAATGCTAATCAAAAGTACAAAAATCATGATTTTAAAGTACATAGTGACAAAATTTCCAAAATTAAAGTACGCTCAAAATTAAATTAGAAAATATTTAATCGTGCTCAAATCTTTTATATTTCTCTCCTAAATGAATCTTTTCTAATAATTTCTTGTTTCCACTGAGCATTTTGTGCATTTCAATGCATGACATGTCAAAATTCGCTTACAGACGAAATAAATCCCTGACAGTCTTAACCTCAAGCAAGCTACTTTCTTTCGTCCATTTTCAGCGCCGCAGGCGAAAATTTTGGAAAATTTCGGGGTTCTTAAGACAGATTTCTTTCATTTTTAGCGCCGCAGGCAAAAATTTTTAGAATTTTGGAAGGCCGTAGTCAAAAAATTTCACTTTTTTAGCGCCGCAGTCGAAAATTTTTTGCAATTTGGAGCCCAAGAAGCCAGATATCTTCCTTTTTCAGTGCCGCAGGCTAAAATTTTGAGAATTTCGAAGGCCGTAGGCCAAAAAAATTCATTTTTTTTTGCCCAATCCCTTCCCCAATTTCATTTTTAATCCAGAATGTTGATTTTAAAGTACATACTTTCAATAAAGTACAAATTCAATTTCGTAAGTACGGAGGTCGATTTTAAAGTATTGTACTTTCAAATAAAGTACGAATCCGAGCCCTGATTTAAACTCGTTCGACAATTTAATTAAATTATCCGCTGAAGTAATTCCGGAAATAATTTTTTAAATAAAAAAGAGAAGGATATATCAACTAATATGCGTGTCACTAATAAAATTATAATGATAAAATAGGATAAGATAACTAAAAAAAATAAATTTATTATTTTGAATACTTATAAAAAAGGGAGAAGAAAATATATTAGTGCATGTAGAGAGAATGGAAGTAATAATAAAATAAAAGCTTCCATTTTTTCTGCTGTTTTTCCATCTGCTGTCGCGCGACCTTGCTTTTTTTTGAGGAAGAAGGGGGGAGATTGCGCAAAAATTAACTCTATAAACTCGGTCAGTCATTTATAGAAGTATATTTTTATATTTAAAAATTAGAAAAAAAAATTTGGTTGTGATAAAGAAAAAATTAGTAGTAGACAAAAAATGATAAAAATCAGTATAGTAAGAGGGGGAAATAAATTTAATTATATGTAGGGGAAAATTAGGAGGGTTAAGGAAAATTTTTTTTGCACAATTCGAAGGTTAAATGATTTAGAATCTTCATTAGAAATTAAAAAAAATGCTTAAAAAGTTAAAAAAAATTTCAAAAATATTTTTATTTTTTAAAAATTATAGAATATGTACCAACGAAAGGGGTAACAACGAAAGGCGCGCGGCCATAACGGCGCAAAGCGATAACTTGCTTCAAGGTTTCCAAATCTTTAACAAATTTGATATTAAACGATTCCTCTCATCGAGCTAAAAAAATTGGTATCAAAATTAATAATAGTCAGAAAATTTCCAGCTAGTTATGGCCTTGCGCCGTTATGGCCGCGCGCCTACTTAGGCGTGTCCCTAACGAAAGAGTCCATAAGAAATTATTGTGACTCTAATGTCCAATTAATTTATTAAAAGGATTAATTAACTATAAATTTAAAAAGGGAAGAGAATAAAAATAAATTTTATTTTTTAAAGAAGATGATGATAAAATTTTTTTAAATAATAAATTAGTAAAATATAGAGGTAAGAGTTGATATTTAGTGAAGTAAATAGAGAAAAATGCGTGTGCTAAATATATGTATAAAAATATGAATATTTACTATTTTTATTGGAAAAATTAGGACAATGAAGGAAACGAAGGAAAAAATAATTTTTTGTTGTGTAAAAAATATAATTGATAGATTTTTTATTTACCTAATTAAATGAGTAGATAATTGTGAATAATCAACAGAAAAATACTAAATTAACATGAGTAGATTTATTATTTATAAATAGGCTTTCCGGAAAAAGTATAACTATGAAAATATAGGCATATTCTTTAGTTTTTAATTTTCCGGAAGCTTTTTCCGGAAAAAGTATAACTATGAAATATAAGATTATAGAGTCCTAATTTTCCGGAAAGAGTTTACCGGACGAAGCATAAAATGTAGAGAGTAATTAGATATAAATGTATTTTCCGGAAATTTTCCGGAAAACTATAATTGTTACTAATATTATTTGTATTGTTTCAATTTTCAGGAAAATGTTTTTAGATTGTATATAAAACGGAGAGAGCAATTATTAGTGCAATAGTTATATGTATTTCCATAAGTTTTCCGGAAATATAACTTGCAGGGAAATAAGCAGTCAATTAATTTTTTATATTTCCGGATTAACATATAATCTTAAATTTTTTCCAGAAAAGTTAATTCTTGATAAACAAGTATACTATACATTAGTGATGCTCGGGAGAAGAAAAAACCCGGGAATCGGGAAACGGGAGTCGGGTCGGGAAATGACCTCGGGAGTCGGGAATTATCAATAAAAAATTTTCCAAAAATTTTTGGCGCCTTCGGCGCCAAAAATTCCGATTTTTTGCACCACAGGCAAAAATATTAAAAATTTTGGAAGGTAAAGAAGCCAGACATCTTCCTTACTAGCGCCGCAGGCAAAAATTTTGAGAATTTTTAGGTCAAAAAGTCAGATTTCTTCCATTTTTTGCGCCGCAGCCAAAAATTTTGACTCTCATTGGAGTGAAATAGAAAGGGGTCTTGAACGATCTTTATGGGTAACTTAAGAGTTTATTTCCCCGATTATTTGCAAAGATAAGCCAACATCCTGACAAAAAACCTAGTAACCGCAGAGATAATCAGTGTTGGGTATTGCTGTGGGCTTTTTCTTGAGCCAGAGCCCAGCTTTCTTTATAGTTGTTGTCATTGACCTTAGGTCCTTAGAATCTCTCCATTGGAGGAAATAGAGGAAATTTGGTGGAATTTTGGTGAAAATTTTGGTGGAATTTTGTTGAACTAGCCACATATCTCTTCATATCCCCTCTATAGTATTAACACCCCCTATGCAACATTAATCACCAATTGATATCTCTCTTTATTACTGCAAATCCCTCGTCATCTCTTCAAATTCACCATAATTCTAGTAAATCACCGAAATCTTCTATACTACATCTCCACAGATTCTTTAATTTTCAGCGCCGCAGGCGAAAATTTTGAGGATTTTGGAAGATCCTTAAGCCAAAAATCTTCCCTTTTCGGCGCCGCAGGCGAAAATTTTGGGAATTTTGGAAGACCATGAGGTCAGATTTCTTCATTTTTTATAAATGAAAATATAATTTTGTCAGAAAAATCCATTCTTAGGGGTGTAAAAATTTCCCGACTTAGTCGGGAATTGACACCGGGAGTCGGGATCGGGATCGGGAGGCCAAAAACTCGGGAAATTTTCCCGAGTCGGGAGTCGGGATCGGGATACCCGAGCATCACTACTATACATATAGGCTTTGGATGTTTTAAAATAATTTTTTTTGAATTATTTACGTCAAAAAATTTTTTTTGAAAATTTAATTTTATATCCAATGTATTTACTCGATTAACTTGCCCAATCATTTATTTGTTTACCCCACCCTGGAGGGTTTAATAAATCAAGGTGGCTAATAAATCGAATAATTCAGTTGAAAAATATTTAAAAATATCCTTAAAATATTTTCTTGTTTACTACAAAATTAAACGAAAAAAATTTTTTTTTAAGTCATAAGTTTTAATCTTCACAAAATTGTTTTTGTGTCTTTCCCAACCAATCAAAGAAGCATATATTCAATCTTAAAATTAATCAAATAAAAGGGAAGAATTTTTGTTTTCCGGAAAGTTTTAACTAAGAGAGGAAGAGAGAAAATGAATAAATTTTGAATAAAAGAAGAAGCGACTTATGTTTTAATAAAATAAGAGCCGAGAGGTCTGTTGAGGGATTTTAAAAAGCTCCTTTTTTCCCATTTCTAGTGATTGATTGTTGAGAAAGTAAAGGAAGGGAAGAAAATATTTTTATTAAATTTTTTTCTTCTTTTATTTTAAAGCCCGCAGCAGTAAAAAGAGAAAGACTGATCATCATTAGGCAAATCATTAAAAGCCAAGAAAATAAAAATATTTTTTTACCAAACATAATGTATAAAATATAAGGAAGGAAAAGATGAATAAAATATAATTTTTTTATATTCTTCCAAGGCAGCTGTCACTGAAAAAGTAAGGGGGAAAGAGGCGCATAGAAGTAAACTAGAGGAATTCTCGCATAAATATGCCTGACATTTTATTTTATTTTTATTTACTTTAAACTCTAATTTTCCGGAAAAAGATTATATAAATTTATTTATATACAAAAATATTCAAGACAAAGTAAAAAAAGTAAAAGAAAAATTAATTAAGGAGGAGGGGGAAATGAGAGATAATTTTTTTTAATGAATTAGTGTGGGGACAAAGGAGGGGAAGAAGATGATGAGTAAATAAATTAATTTGAGTTTGTGTTATCTTTAAATATATGTAAATATTTTTAAAAGAAATTTTATTTTTACTTTATAAAGGGGAGGAAGACCACAAAAATATTTTTACATCCGTGTAGGAATTCTATTTTTAAGTATATTAGATACAGACATCTGTCATCTCTAGTATCATCCTTAGGACCAGATTTAGTTGAGATACGAAAGGGACATATTAGGAAGTAGTCGCACCTATCTAATATAAGTATCATCCACTGGGACCAAGTTTAGCTAACATGAAGTAAAATGACATGGTAGGCAATGGCATACCTGTGGGAAATATAAGGTTGGCGGATAGTTGGAAGGCGAATATCCGGATCCGGTATCCGAACCAAAAATTTCGCATATCCGGCCTTTCTTCGGATCCGGATTCACCACCCTTAGTGGGGAATGCCATGCTTGGAAACATTTGCCATACCAGAATTTTGTCTTAAAAATTGTGGATTATCCCCTCTTTTTTCTGTTCTATCCCGTTAGACTTGAAAATAAAAATAGGAAAAATTAAATAAAAAAAAAAGTATTAATTGGGTATAAAAAAATAAAGCTTGTGTGTATAATTAATTTGGCAGAATTTGTGCCCATTTTATATCTCTCAAATCAAATTTAAAAATTGATTAAACAAAAAAATTGAAATTTGAAGCATCCTCTCTCGATCTTAAGAAAAAATGTTGTGTCTTTCTCTCTTTTTTCTTTTGAAATAAATATATTTGACTGAAGAAAGTATTTAAATTTGTGGCCAAGAAGAGTGTATAGAAAAAGAGAGAAAAAGCCAGAATAAATTTTAAATAAAAAATGATTTGCTTAGAAAATTGGAGGGAAAAGTGTGAGTGTGAGAGAGTGGGAGAGATAGGGAAAAACTTGATTTTAAGAGAAGAAAATTTATTTATAAAATAAAAAATTCTTTGTGTATAGGATTAAAAATATTTTCTTTTTTTTTTCAATGCAAAAGTAAAGTGTATGGATTGGAAATTTTTTTTTGATAAAGAAAAGTTGGAAGAAAAGTTAATAAAGAAATGGGTATATTTGACTGCTGTCTATAAGAATTTTACTTTGTGTTTTCCGGAACTAATGGGAATAATTTTTTCCGGAAATTATTTTATTTTCCTATAATGGATGTATTTTCCGGAAATTCTTATATTTTATTTTTCCGAAAATACCTATACTTTTCCGGAAATAGTAGAATAGTTACATATTTTCCGGAAAATGTTATATTTTTGTTTTCCGGAAACATTACATATATTATAAAAATGACAAGGAGTATACATATTCCGGATTGTATTTTCCGGATTGTATATTCTCTAGAAAACTAATATTTGTAATATACCTAATACCTTCCGGATTAGAATTTCTTGCTTAATATTTGGTAGTATATTTTGACTTGGTGCCTACCGATTAGGATTGTAAACCGGGAAGGTGCGCATGATTATTATTTTTTGGGAAGACTCAATTTTCCTTTCTGCTTATTTAAATTACTCATATTTCGTAATAAAAATTCTTGATCACTCATTCTCATTTTCTTATCGAATTTAAATATCTATTTTTCCCCTTTTTCTCCATCTTAGGCCCAAAAGTAAATATAAACATACAAACAGCGTCCCCTCACAATTCTTTAAATATTTAAAAAATTCTAATGTGTTGAAAAATTCAAAACAACAAAAAAAACTCGTTTTTGGGGGGCCTCAAATTGAAGAAGAAAAATTAAAAAAAGGGAGAAAGGAATACTTTTTAAAATTATTCATTCATTCCTTTGCCTATTTTAGAGAGAATTTTTGTTTTATTTTTTGTATATTTTCTTGTCAAAAAATTTAGAGAATGGACGAAAAAAAATTTAAATTTTTTTGTGGAAATTATAAAAAAGGGGAATAGATTACGATAAAAATTAATTTTTTAAGAAAATTTGGATAAAAATAGGGAAATTTGGAAAATCCTAAGGTTATCGGTTAGTTGTCTAGTAGTTTTATCCAAATTTGAATATTACAAATTGTGTTTCTTTTTTAATATTATTGTCAATACATAAAGGTTTCTGGAAAAATAAATTAGTATAATAGACTACCAAAATAGAATTCCGGAAATTTTTTATATTCCGGAAAAATACAAAATTAATTCCGGTAATATACAAAATTAAATTTGTATTTTTCAATATAGAATCAGGAAAGCTTCCGGAAAAATAAATTATAATTTTATTCCTACAATAGAATGTCGATCCGGAAAATAATCCTATATATAATTTGTGAATGGAAGGATGGATCTTGGAAATTGTCACACGGCTTGCTTTTATAGTAAAATGATTTGGGGAGTGAGGAAATAGGGGGCTTTTATAGTAGATAGAGATGTCCGAGACTCTTGGTCCCAAGACTTTTCTTGGTTTTTTTTCGGTCTTGGTCTTGGGGTGTTTGTCTTGGTCTTGTCTTGGTTTTATTTTTTGGTCTTGGTTTTTTGGCCTTTTTGGACCTAGTAATAATAATAGTACAATCCGGAAAAATTAACAAACTAGTTATTGGCATAGAAACGAATAGAACCTCTATACAAATAAATAAGAACAAACCACTTAGCCAAGGAATAAAATTTTTTTATATTTTATTTTAGCTTGACAAGAATTTTAAAGAATTCTAATTTATAATTTTTAACAACTTTAAGAAGAAAAATTTACATTTTTTTTTAAATATTCAAACTAGTACATAATAATTAAAAAAGGCTGGGAATGAGGAAGTTTTATTTTTAAATATGCGCAAAGGATTTTTTTAAGAGTTTGGTTAATGCATTAAAAATAAAAAAAATTGTTTAATGAATTAAACTGATAAGCATTAAAAGAAAATAAACAAAAAATTTAAATTAAAAAAATAATTATGAATATAAAAAAGCAGACAAATTTGTGAGACAAAAATTAAAAAAAATTAAAAAAAAACCGGAAAAAAAATTTAAAAAAATAAAATGAATTAAAAAAAGGAATGAAATCATCAATAAAATGATTTAGAGAAAATTAAAAAAAATATTTTTAAAAAATTATTAACGGGTAGGGCCTCATTTTTATCCCAGGAATGGAGGGGATCCAGGAATGGAGGGAGGTGTACACCCCCTTTAGGGTATTGGCGACTGGTTATTAGCCAGTACGGGTTTTCAATTATTATTTTGGATTCCCGGTTTTTGGTTCCGGTTCGGTTAATTGACTGCCAACAATCCTAATATTTGTACTTTATTTTAATTTAATTGTCCAATGAGTGGAGGGATTTGACTAAATTAGGTAATAGTTTGGGAGGGCTTTTTATGCCGCTGCAAAGGATTAAATCAAGTAGTCATAACTTTGTTCACTTAAACCAGACACTACTCTTTTTACATTACTCTGATGTCCAAAAATTTTAAATTTCCTGTTTCTGCTCACAAACAATTTTATTTTTTATTCATTTTTCTCAATTTTCCATCATTAATTTTTACCTCATTTTCGTTTAAATTTGTGTAGATAAAGGGGAAGAAAGGGAAGGAAGGAATTGTTTTGTAAGAAAAAATATATAGGAGAAAAAAGGAAGAACTCTCATTATATTTTTCTGAATATTTGAGCGCCAATTTTTAAATTTTTGGACAGATCAATTTTTAAGTTTGAATAATAGAGAAATTAAACAAAATTCTTAAATTTAAAAAATAAAATGGAAAATACTACAAAATGAATGGAAAATTTGCTGCAGCCCATAGAAATCAGTATTTCGAAAAATCTCGACCTCGTCTCGACGGGTACACCCCAACGTACCGCAAGCCCGACGTACCTCAGAGCTATAACTTCGTTTAAAATGGTCGAATCCGAGACGCCCTGATATGTGGTTCGGTTCATCTCGTCGAGATGCATTGAACCATACCAAAGAGTCCCGGAGTCGACCATTTTGAACGAAGTTATAGCTCTGTGGTACTTTGGCCTGCTCCCGTCTCGGTCGGGTCTCTTTGATTCGGATTGGGCAATACTTGCGAGTTAATTCCAACCAAAAAATTTTTCTGAGCGTGACCTGTAAAATGCGTGACCATTTATTTTGTAAAAAGGGATGATTTTGTATTTATTCAATTAAATATCCGGTTTTGTTAAAAATAAAAGAAAAAGCGCAGAAATGAAAATAGGCAATAATGGCGTGTGAAATAAACAGACTTGGAAGCTAAAAAAATAAAAAGAAAATAAAAATGGAGGGGGAATTTTAAAAGTAAAAATATAATGCTATTTATGCAAATATATGCAAATATTTTAAAAGCTAGAGGCGAAAAAATTGTAGGGCTAGGTGGTATTTTTATATTTTTAGTGTGTGTCTGTGAGTGAAATTGCGCGAAAATAGGGAGATAAAAAGGCAAAAAATATTTTAAAAAAATTAAAAAAAAAGGAGAAAAATTAAGAAAGGCATCCCTTAAAGTTTTTTAAAGTTTCTGAAAGGTTTTGATCACGAAAAAGAGAGTTGAACGTAAAAAAGGGGAAGAAGTTTGACGAATTTCAGTTTAAGATCCATATGTATTTATTTAAAAAGCCAGCCTATAAAGGAAAAAACTTTGCATGTTATTGTGTTAAAACGACTAAGAAGTTTTTTTTTAAATTTTTAATTGAATAATCTTGAAGTTTCTAGTGTATTAATAACATGAAAATAAAAGATGCGTTTTTCTATTTTTTGTCCATAAACAAATTTTTTTTGAAGAAAAAATTGGGGAAAAAAGGACTCAATGAAAAATAAGCAAAATATAAAAATGGGGGGAAAAGATGCCAAAAACGGGCTTCTTTTTAAAAATAAAAAAGAAAGAAAAGAGAAAAAATTTGAATGTGGCCTTTGCTTTGGTCTTTTTTCTACTAGAAAAAAAATAAATTTTTTTTTGAAAAAAATAGTGTAGTGGGGCGGCTGGCGCTTCCCTTCCCCCCACCAATTTATCTAGTCAAAAAACCCTTCCTCCTCCCAATTCCTTATATTTTTTACCCCCCCCCTCTTTTTTTGGTCGTCACCGCCCCTCTAGGCGCGGTAGCAGCTATTTATTCTCCTCATTCATCTTTTTCTCTCAGCCATCTTCTGGAAAATAAAATGGCAGCGATTGAGTAAAGGCAGATGAATTACAAGAAAAAAATGTAAATTTATATATTTTTTATGTAAAAAATTTTGAAAAAAGACAAGAGAGAGGAAGGGAGGAATTGTTATTTTGTTGTTTAATATAAAAAAATTCTGATTTTTCTGATTTGTAAAACTTGTAAAACTTAAATTCTGGTTTGCTATTATTTGTAGACTAGAATTGTTTTAATTCTGATTTTCAATAAATTCTGATTTCAATAAAATCAGAATTAAGAAACTTGAAACAACAATAAAATAAACTTGGAAAAACAAACTTGGTTATAATTCTGATTTTCAATAAAATCAGAATTGTTTTAACAAACTTGAAATAACAATGAAATAATTAAACTTGAAATAATTGCAAGTTTATAAACTTGATTAAAGACTTAAGTTTTAAACTTAAGTTTTAAAATTAATTTAAATAAACTTGGAAACATACAAACTTGAAATAAATATATAAAAACTTTAAGTTGCAAACATGAAAATAAACTTGAAACAAACTTATTAATAAACTTGATTATAAACTTAAATTTTAAATTTAAATAAACTTGGAATACACAAACTCGAAACAAATATTTTAAGTTTGCAAACTTGAAATAAGCTTGTTAATAAACTTGATTAATAAAATATAAGCATTTAAAATAAATTTCAAGTTTACAAACTTGAATACACTCCTCCACATAACTATACAGCCACACTATTTTTCTAAAATTTTCCAGCTTAAATATGAATTTGGAAATTTATGCATTTAAAAATAATAAACAAGCAGCAAATAGACCGATTACTATGCTTTTTCAGAAATTATTAAGTTTTATTCCGTTATTTTCCACATTACCTGTAAAAATTACCTCCACATAACTATACAGCCACTTGTATTTTCGTCCTTAGGAGTAGCCCGAAAAATCTACAAAAATTTCTGTAAACATATCTATTGATATCTATACTAAATACAAAAGAAACGAAGTTCCTATATAATTCCTTCATTGAGATCTGAAAACCCAAAAATCAACGGAAAACCGGGGTAGACGTCTTTAAAAAATATTTTCGACCCCTTACAGGTAAAATAAAAATTTCATTTTAGGCTTATTTGAAAGCCCTTGAAATTTGCTACAAGTTAGTTTTCATCTCATAAATCAGAAAAAATTAATCTTTGAGAAATAATGAGTTTAGTTTTTAAGTTACATTTTCATCACTTTTTTGGGGGCGTCTGAGTGATTTTTATGACCTGAAAGTTTATCACATTATGTCTTCAAGGTGAATTTTTTTCGGAAAATAATATTAATGCTATCTTGTAGCAAATTTCAAGGGCTTTCAAATAAGCCTAAAATGAAATTTTTATTTTACCTGTAAGATGTCGAAAATATTTTTTAAAGACGTCTACCCCGGTTTTCCGTTGATTTTTGGGTTTTCAGATCTCAATGAAGGAATTATATAGGAACTTCGTTTCTTTTGTACTTAGTATAGATATCAATAGATATGTTTACAGAAATTTTTGTAGATTTTTCGGGCCACTCCTAAGGTCGAAAATACAAGTGGCTGTATAGTTATGTGGAGGTAATTTTTACAGGTAAAGTGGAAAATAATGGAATAAAACTTAATAATTACTGAAAAAGCATAGTAATCGGTCTATTTGCTGCTTGTTTATTATTTTTAAATGCATAAATTTCCAAATTCATATTTAAGCTGGAAAATTTTAGAAAAATAGTGTGGCTGTATAGTTATGTGGAGGAGTGTATAAATAAACTTGAGTGTGTCTATTTTCTCTCTTACTTTCTTTTATTCTCTCATTAATTATGCAATTATATTAAGAGTATTTAAGGGGCAATATTTTATTTTTAAAGACTAAATGTAAAAATTTAAAAAATGTTAATTCTTTTTCAAGTGTGTACATTCTTTTCAAAATTATTCAAAAATATTTGTATAAAAATTTATTTTTTATTTATTTTTCTAGGACCGCCTTCTTTATTTATTATTTAATTTATCACCCATTAAAAAAATATTTTTTTAATTTAAGCATCAGAAATCTCTTTCCTTTTCTTCAATTTTATCCTCTTTTTAGCTTCTTCACATATTTAAGCACTTAATTCCTTCCCCTCCCCCACTTTTTATCTAACAAAACCTCTTAAAAATAACAAAAAGGGAAAGAAAAATGATGTGTTTCTGCTATTTTTAAATAAAATAATAATAAAATTAATTGTAAAATTCTTTTAAAAAAATTTAACATTTACATCACTTTTTGATCGTTTATACAAAAATAAATATATTTTTATGACTAAATATATTTGTAATCTTTTGGACAATCATCTAATGTACTCAAAATAAGTTTTTTAAGTTCCACGTATTAAGGCTTATTTTCAAGTTTATTTTCTGCTTTTCCAAGTTTGTAATTTATTTTCAAGTTTGTTTTTAAGTTTATTTAATTCTGATTTATTTCAAGTTTATTTATCTCTGAGTTATTTTCTGGTTTATTTTCTGAGTTATTTTTCAAGTTTATTAATTAATCTTGATTTCCAAGTTTATTTATTTTCTGATTTTATTATTTAAATAACTACCCATTCAAGTTTATTTTCTGATTTATTAAAAGTTTATTTCTCTATTTATTTTCAAGTTTGTTAAGTTCTGATTTTTATATTTTTTAATGTTTATTTAATATGTACTTGAACAAACTTAAGTTTGTCAAAATTTAATTTTTTACCAACGAATATTTTATTTAATTAAAAAAATTTTAAAAAATCCAAAAATAGTTAAACAATTATATTAGCAATTTAAAAATGTTTATTAATTTATTTTTAATTTTTTAAATTTTTTTCGTCAATTTATTTCGATTGAAGACTTGAAGTTGAATGTGTAAATGATGTAGCCATCAATGTTTGAGCCTTTAAATTTTTTTTTTAATTTTTAAAAATTATTTATTTACCATAGTTCTCGGTGAAATACTCAATCCACTACTTCCAACAATTCTAGGCCCAATTCTGGATCTTCTACGTCCTCCTCCACCACTAGCCAAAGACGTAATCGAATCCCTTCCATCATTTAAATTTTTATTGTTATTCTCTTCCCCTCCCTCCTCAACCCCTATATTAGCCGAAGTTGTTGGATCACCTCCAATAATAATATCCCCTCCATTATTATTTCCATTCCCCCCACCGCCAATCATTTGACGTTGAACTAGTGAACGATAAATGCCTTCCTTTAAAAGAAATTTTTTGTAAAAAAATTAAAAAAAAATTTTTTTCCGTGCCTGTGATAACAATTGTTCATGTGTCCCCATCTGTTCTACTTGCCCTTTTATTATTACAACTATTTTATCTGCTTTTTCTACAGTTGAAAGTCGGTGAGCAATTAATATAACTGAACGCCCCTTCATATTTTTATATATTGCTTCTTGTACTAAATGTTCTGATTCTGTGTCCTTTAAAATAATTAATTCTGGTTTTTTAAGTTTGTGATTTATTTTCAAGTTTGTATTTAATTCTGATTTATTTTAATGTTTAATTCTGATTTAATTTCTGAGTTATTTCCAAGTTTATTTATTTCTGAGTTATTTCTGGTTTATTTTCTGGTTTATTTTCTGAGTTATTTTTCAAGTTTATTTTCTGATTTTATTTCCAAGTTTATTTCTGAGTTATTTTTTTTTGGTTTATTTTCTGAGTTATTTTTCAAGTTTATTTAATTCTGATTTGTTTTAGTTTAATTTCAAGTTTATTTAATTCTGATTTGTTTTAGATTTTAATTTCAAGTTTATTTAATTCTGATTTGTTTTAGATTTTTATTTCAAGTTTATTTAATTCTGATTTGTTTTAGAGTTTAATTTCAAGTTTATTTCTGGTTTTTATTTTTCTGAGTTATAATTTATATTCAAGTTGATTTATTTTCTGAATTATTTTGATGGTTATTTAATTCTGATTTATTGTCAAGTTTATTTTATTTCTTCAAGTTTCTGATTTTTAAATTCTGATTTAATTTCAAGTTTATAAAATTAACCAAAGCAGACGTAGCTTCGTCAAGTAAAAGTATTGCAGGTTTTCTAACTATAGCTCTTGCAATAGCTATGCGTTGTTTTTGCCCCCCTTTGAATTATTATTTTTTAAAATTAATATTTTATTTTTTATTTATTTACCACTCATTTGACTTCCTTTTTCTCCAACATTAGTTTGATATTGTTCCCGTGTTTGTATAATAAATGAATGGGCATTAGCCATTTTAGCTGCTTCAACAACATCTACTGTTGTACATTTATCTAAACCATAAGCTACATTTTCTGATATTGAACGAGCAAAGAGTACAGGTTCTTGGCCAACCAATGCTATCTTTTATTGAATTAAAGTTTATTTTCTGATTTTTATTTTTAAGTTTATTAATTAATGTTTATTCTTTTCAAGTTTATTCTTAATTCTGATTTATTTTTAAGTTTATTTTCTGGTGTATTTTTAAGAAAATAAACTTAAAAAGGAATCAGAAACTTAAAGACTTAAAAATTTTTTTTAAGTTTCTGATTTATTTTTAAATTTATTTAATTCTCAAGTTTCTGATTAATTTTCAAGTTTCTTATTTTTACTTTCATGTTTATTTTCTGATCTTTATATTCTAAATTTTTTCAAGTTTCTGATTTCTTTTATAAATCTCCACCTTTTCATGTATATAATGATGTTCATAATCACAAACAGGAATTCCATCAATTAACACTTTACCTCCATTTGGAGAATAAAAATTTTCAAGTAAAGCAATACACGAACTTTTTCCACTTCCACTAGGCCCTACAAGTGCAACAACTTCTCCCGGCTCTACAGAAAATGAGAGGCCCTAAATAATAAAAATATTTAATTCTGGTTTATTTTCAAGTTTATATTTAATTCTGGTTTATTTATCAAGTTTATATTTATTTCTGATTTATTTTTTTCAAGTTTATTTTTAATTCTGATTTATTTTCAAGATTAATCTTAAGTTTATTAATTCTAATTTTGCTATTTTTCAAGTTTATTAATTCTGATTTATTTTCAAGTTTAATCTTAAGTTTATTAATTCTGATTTTGTTATTTTTTAGGTTTATTTAATTCTGATTAATTCTGATTTCATTTCTGATTTATTCTTTTCAAGTTTATAATTAATTCTGATTTATTTTATCAAGTTTATTAATTCTGATTTTGTTATTTTTTAGGTTTATTTAATTCTGATTAATTCTGATTTCATTTCTGATTTATTCTTTTCAAGTTTATAATTAATTCTGATTTATTTTATCAAGTTTATTAATTCTGATTTTGTTATTTTTTAGGTTTATTTAATTCTGATTAATTCTGATTTCATTTCTGATTTATTCTTTTCAAGTTTATAATTAATTCTGATTTACTATTAGCTTCAAGTTTAATTCTGGTTTATTTTCAAGTTTAGTCTTATTAATTTTCAAGTTTATTAATTAATTCTGATTTATATTTTTGTTTCAGAATTTTTTTAAAACTTTTTTTGCTTCAAGTTTTAAAAAATAAACTTTTTTACCCTCAAAACTTCATTATCAGGCCTTGTAGGATAAGCAAAATGAACTCCTTGGAATTCTATTTTGCCTTCTAAACGTTCAGGCATACAATCACCACTTGTATATATTTCCGGTTTTCTGTCGATATATTCAAATACTTTACGTGAAGCACCAACACTTTGCATTAGGCCTGTCCAGACCTTTAAAAAAATTTCAAAAAAAAATTTTTCAAAAATTTTCAAAAAATTTTTGAAAATTTTCAAAAGATTTTTCTAAAATTTTTTCTAACCTCTCCAAGTTGTCTAATATTATCAGCTAATTGCATTTGATATAAAAGAAAAGAAACAAGCAAGTCTTTTGTTAATTGCCCTGAAAGTACCAAATGTCCGCCATACCAGAGGACAGAAACATTAATTATTGTTTGGAAAAGCTTTTTATAAATTTTTGGTTAAAATTATTTTTACGAGAATCTCACCTCGGAAACCCAAAGATAAATAACATAAGCAAAAGACTTTCGTTTTGTAACACCCAAAGTATTGGTTAATTTATCGTAAAAACGTTCAGCCTCGTAATCTTCACAAGCAAAGCTTCTAACAGTTCTCATTGTTGAAATAACTTCTTCAGCAACATCGTTAGAATGGGCAATGGCTTCTTGGGCTCTTTCGCTGAGAAACTAGGGAGGGGGAAATTTTTTGGAAATTTTAAAATTTTTTTTTGAAAAATTTCAAAAATTTTTTTTTCAAGAAAAAAAATTTAATTAAAATAAACAAGAACAAACATCATAATAAACACCAAAAATTTTGGAAGCAACCAAAATAATCGGAACAACAATAAACGGAATTAAAGACAATCGCCAACTTAAAGTCATCATGAAAAGCATGGAACCCCCCATTTGAACAGTATTGCGAAGAAAAACTTGAGAGATTTTAAAGTTTAATTAATTAGATAGTTAAACTAACTGTTAACGTTTAGAGAGACTGTGTCTGACCTGAAGGGGAGAAAAAGTTTATTATTAGAGAGAAATCAGAAAAAGTTTTATTATTTTAATAAAGACCAGAATTTTTTAATAAAAATCAGAAAAAGTTTATTTTTAGAGGGAATCAGAATTTAAGTAAAAATCAGAATTAAAAAATGTTTGTTTTTAGAGAAATCAGAAAAGGTTTATTTTAGTAAAAGTCAGAATAGGTTTATTTTTCTAAAATATCAGAATTTGTTTCAAGTTTCAGAAAAAGTTTTATTATTTAAACAAAAATCAGAAAAAGTTTTATTTTAAGAGAAAAATATAGGAGAAAATACAGTATACAATAAATATTTACATTGTTGTAGTATCTGCAGTTAAGCGTGAAGTTATTTCACCTGCAAATTTTTTTTTTAATTTTTCAAAAATTTTTTTTCCAAAAAGTTTAATTTTGCCTGTTTTGTGTCTATCAAAAAATGCAATTTCTTGATGTATTAGAGAAGAAAATAAATTATGTCTAACAGCTCTATTAACTCTAGCATAGGCATACTCAAATGACCCTCCACGAAAACCACCTGCTACTGCGCTAGAAAAAAATTTTTTTTTTAATTTTTTAACAATTATTTACTAACCAAACAATCGAAATAAAAAGCATTAGTTTAACAGAATCAACCAAAGCGGCATATTTATCTCCAGTACTTGACACAACGCTGGCGATTACTTGACCGGTATAGTATGGGACGAAGATACGAGCTTAAGGGAAATTTTTAAAATTAATTTAAAATTCTCATAAAAATTTCAAAATGGTTAAAAATCAAATGTCATAAATTTTTTTAAAATGTCCAAACATCAAAATGTCAAAAAATTTCAAAATGGTAAATTTTCGAAAAGGTCAGATTTCAAAATGGTAAATTTTAAAAATGCCCAAAATGTCCAAAGCATTAAAAATGGTCACAAAAATTTAAAAATAGAATATGTAATTGACTCACTCAAAGAATAAATAAAAAGCCAAGTAAATCCACTAATATGCCAAAGCCATTCATTTTTGCAATATTGAAGTAAGCGAATAACTGGGGGTTAATTAAATAATTAATTAAAAATTATTTATAAAATTCAACTAATTATATGTGTTTTCATGTCAGCAGAAATCCTTCCTTCCTGTGTTGTTTTTTGTTGTTCTTCCTCAGAATTTTCATCTTCTTCCTCCTCCTCTTCCTCCAAACGTTGATAAATATTTTCAATTCTTTTGGCAGCCCTTAAAAATCCCAGCCAAATTCTGTGGGCCAAAACAGAAAAGAAAACATTGGAAATTAATAGAATTATATCCCCAATATATAAATTGCCGGGATGTTGAGTGCCTGTATTGTCGCTTAATCCAAGAAATTTTGCTGGAGTAAAAGAAATTAGAATTATACAGAGTGCAAATGACGCGTGGGCTAAATGTCCAAGAGGACGAGAAGGCTGGAAAAAAAGTTTGTTTAAATTCAAGTTTATTTTGGATGTTTTAAGAGAATGTTTTTACAAACAAGTTTATTTAAAACATGCTTAATTAAAACAAGTTTGTTAAAACAAATTTGTTTTCAAACAAGTTTATTTTCTACTTGCAAACAAGTTTATTTAAACATGTTTAGCTCAAACAAGTTTGTCTATATAAGCAAGTTTATTAAAATAAGTTTATCTAAAATCAGAATTATACTCCCCTTCAAGTTCAATCTTAAAAAGACCAGAATTAATATATATATAAGTACTTATCAAGCTTAAGCTTGTGTAAATTCAGAATTAAACTTTGTTTTAAACAAGTATAAATAAAATCAGAATTATGTCGCTTTCAAGTTCGAACTTAAAGAGACCAGAATTATATACTTTTCAAGTTCAATCTTGTAAAACCAGAATTAATATATTCGCTTTAAAGAAACCTTTCTTTTAAAAATCAGAATAAAACAACCAACAAACAAAAATACCATTCGTAACAAAGAGATCATAAAAAAATCAGAAACAGATTTATTAAATTTATAAGGCATTGCAAAATCATCACGGAAATGTTGATAGGAAAATGAAGTTCCATTAAAACAAATTCCAATAAAGGAAAATAAAATATCAAATGTTGAAAAAGCTAGTGTTCGGAGAATGCAATGGATTTGATTTCGTTTAACCATTTTTGAAAAGTTTATTTTGATAACTGTTTGGCTTTTATTGAATCATTTTTAATGTTTGCTTAAAACAGAATTAATGCTTAACAATATTTCTGATCTGATTTTATATAAAGTTCAAACTTCAATAAATCAGAATTTTTTTTCAAACTTGAAATTAAAAAAAAACAAGTTTATTTAAACAAGTTTATTTAAAATCAGAATTATGTTTTTCAAGTTCAAACTTAAAAATATCAGAATTATATGTTTGTCAAGCTTAATCTTGTATAAAATCAGAATTTGTATAAAATCAGAAAAAACATTCACGTCAAACTTGAAAAAGACCAGAATTAATTTTAAGTTCAATCTTGAAAAAAATCAGAATTAGTATATTTTTCGAGTTTATATACCAGAATTAATGTACCGTATTTTTCCCAATAGAAGCGCATGCGCTTCTATTTTTCAACCTCCTCGTAGACTGCGCTTCTATTGGGACGTGCGCTTCAAATGGGACGTGCGCTTGTATTTTTCAAACCTATGCGAATTAATTTTTATAACATTATAGAAATTTAAAACAAATATTAAATCTCTATAGAATTATCAATTTCAATTCCGTTTTCATTATCTTCATTAAGATCAATTTCTGCCTAACTTTCTGAAATTTCTTTATCCTCTCAAGCTTGGTTTAATAAAGCCATCTGGCCTAAAACAATGTATTTCATCATTTTCGGAACCCTCACTTGGAATTCCAATTCCACAAAACAAAAAGCTTTTTACAACATTTTCTTTTGAAATCACATCTCATGCTTCAACTATCCATCCCAAATAAAATTTAATTGATGGTGGACCCAAATAAGTAATGATTGCCGAATAATTGCTCTCAAATATTCGATTGCGAGGGCATCATCCATCCAGCATTTTTCACTCCATCCTCTAGGCAAGATGGAAATATGTTTTTCCCGAATTATAACTCAAAATACCTTAAATCATTCGACAAGAGAGGGATCAGGTCGTTTATGTAAAAGTAGTACAAAGGGAAGATTGAAAAAATTTACAGATAGAATAAAATTTGCGTTTTCGAGTATAACACCGGTTACATTACTTGAACATATCACCGGTTACATTACCTAAACATCAATTTCCAAACCGAAAATAGAATATATTTTTTATAAAAATGTGTAAATTCTTAATCTAAATGTAAATGAATAATATTTGTTTAAATAGTAACTATGTAACAAGAGTAATTGCTCAAATAAGTATTTCATAGGGTGCGCTTATAATAGGACGTGCGCTTCTAATGGGACCTGCGCTTGTATTTTTCAACCTCCTCGTAGACTGCGCTTCTATTGGGACGTGCGCTTCTATTGGGAAAAATACGGTATATTGATAAAGCTCAAACAAATAAACAAATCAGAATAATGTATGTTTTTAAGTTTAAACTTAAATTCTGGTTTGTAAACTTAAAAGAAAATTAAAAATTATGTTTATGTCTCAACAAAAAATATATATAGAAGTTGAGGCCAAAAAATAAATGTTTAGTTTTCATGTGCTCGCTTCTTATCAAAAAAGGTAACATAAAATTTAATGGTTCGGAATGCCAAAATTATATGTTGTTGATAAGAGGGCAGCGCCACTTTACTATCTAAATATATAGACCAAAAAAGGGAGACTTGCAAAATCAATGTGGGAAATAAATTTGAAAATGTTTTATCAAGGGTAGTAAATAATTTGATAAAATCACCCAACAGATCAACTTTTTTTATTCAAAAATTTTAAAAAATACAAGAGATTATTTTTAAATTTGATAAATTAATAAATTAAATGAGTGTATAGTTGATTATTTATTGAGAGGATTTTAAATTATTTAAAAAAAGAGGTAGATTATATCAGAAACAAAAAATATTCTTTAAATAAGAGATGATTAATTTTAACTTCAAAAAATTCAATCAAAAGTTCAATTCATATAAAGATGCCTTTTTGTCCGCGGATCCAGTTAAAAGAAAACGATCATCTTTAGAAATGTCACAACTTAGAACAGAACTTGTTTCTTTGGTTTTTGTAAGCTTGTAGCCGTAAGGTGTGCGCCAACAATTTACAACTTTGTCTTTTGCAGCAGAAACAAACCACTAGAAAATTAACTTATTCTGGTTTGTAAAACATGTTTTAAATAAATTCTGATATTTTCTAAAACAATTCTGATTTATAAAAACATGTTTTTAAAGAATTCTGATTTATAAAAACATGTTTTTAGGTTGTATTCTGATTTGTAGAAACATTTTTATTTAAAAAACATTCTGGTTTGTAAAACATGTTTTAAAGAATGAATATATTTTCCAAAACATTTTATTGAATGTTTGGCTTTGTGAAAACATTTTGTTTTTATAAGGTTCTGATTTGTAAAAACATTGTTTTAAAACATGTTTTTACAATTGTAATTAAATTCTGATTTTTCTAAACATCTAATTTTGCTTTGTAAAAACATTGTTTTTATTAAGTTCTGATTTGTAAAAACATTCTTAAATGTTTTTAAAAACATGTTGAGTTCAGAAAAGACTATATAAACAATTGTAAAACTTGCCTTTCCACTATTCGCAAACTTTAATGACAAAACACAATTCTGATGACCATTAAGTAAATACTTTTCGCCCATTGTTGTGCTGTTTAGAACCTCAACATTATTGTCTTCCAACCCAACATCAACCTAATTATCAACTGGACAACAACTAATTGCGAAGACCTTAAAAAAGGTCAAAAAAAATTTTTTTCAAAAAAGCTACACAAGAAATTTACTTGACTTTCAATTGTCCGGCATGAAAACTGTCTTCTACCAGCAATATCCCAACACCTAACAGTATTGTCCAACCCTCCAGTCCACAATTTCTGTCCATCACCACTTATATCAACACAACTAGCCCCATCAGAGTGCCCAATTAATTGAACAATTCTTTCACCAGAAGTCAAATCCCAAACATTCACAACACCATTAGAACAACAAGAAAACAAAGTTTTACAATCTTGAGAAATAGCTAAAGCATAACAAGCTTCTGCTTCACAATCAAATGTTTGTTTTATTTCCCCTCCTCTTTCAACATCCAATATACAAATTGTTTTTGTTTCCCCTCCAACAATTAAAGTTGATCCATCAGAAAATAATTTACATGAACGAATATAGCTATCTTTTAGGCACTTTAAAAAAATTAAATAAGATTATTTAGAAGGTAGATATAGCTATGATGGGTATGGCTTCGTAAGTTAGCTCCCGGAGCCAAAATTTGAAAAAGGAAGGAGTCAGATCAGTAGCCATAAAGTGCCCAATATCCAGCACTGGTGACTATAAGATACCCACATTTTTGGATAAACCTCTATTTAAGAGACGAGTTTTTAAAAGTTGATGGTCACTAATTTGTAAGGTAAAAGAAAGATGTCTATCAGGATCGTGTCAGAACTGATTTTAAAAAACGAAATGGGGGAATTAGACGAAAGACCAAACTGGCCCACCACTGTTGCTTATGCTAAATTATTCTCATATTTAGATTCCCCTCGCTATAAGAGACAATCTTTGCAGAAATAGGGGGAGGATAAAAATAGGAAAAAAAATTTTTTTACAGGAAAAGTAGCCATAGAATCCAAGTTTCTGACATTGTTGTCAGTTGACGTTAATGATGTAACATTGTTAATATCCCAAACTTTTACTTGGCCCTTTCCACCAGTAAATACACGTTGTCTATTTTTGGAAAATATAGTAGTACAAACAATCTCATTATGGGGTAAATTAGCAATATGCCTCATTCCTCTTTTAAATTTAAAAAAATTTTATTTGATTTAAGGAAAAAAAATTCTTTCCTCATATTTAAAAAAATGATAAAGACGGATCTCCATTTTACACCTCACAATCAGTTAAGTCTAGGCTCAGTTCAGTGGCGCGCTGTAAGTTATGATGGGGCGAATCAAAAAATCAGAATTTTCGACCGATTGATAAAAAAAGTTATGACCGATAAAGTGTCGAAAAATCACATTTTACTGAATGTGGGAACCTTTAAACTTACTCTTTAAAAAGATAAGTTTAAAGGTTCCCAAGCAATAATTTGAATAAATATGTGATCGAAGAGGGAAGAGATTTTTGAAAATTTTTGGAATGAGGGAATTAAATATATTAAGAAATGGAGGGGGAGGGAGGGCAAAATAGAAAGGTTTTAAATGGTGAGAAATGTTTAAAAAAACATTTTTAATCCGGACATAGTAACAGCTACACTCAAAATATGATTACTCTATTGTTTGCCCATAGAATGTAGGAGGCAGTATACAAGGGAGATATACCCCGAAACCGAAAACACCCCTAATTTTACATTCACTTTTTTATACTCCAAAGAAGGTAAAATCGAGATCCGACTCTAATTATTTTAATTTTTTTTACTTGGGAACATCAGGTTCTGAAGAAGCATCAGAAGGGAAAACAACAGGCATTATTTCTTCACCAGGCACAATCTTTAAAATAAAATTTTTTTGAATGAAACGGGGATTCAATTAAGGTTGACGGTTCCTGGGAAATCTTCGGATACTCAGATAATGAAAATTTCTCAGATACCTTAACTTTCTTCAGTTCCAAATATCCACAACCTCTAACCACATTGCCGGCTCCCGGACAATGCGTCAGTGGACAATGCGTGAGTGGAAAATGCGTGAGTGGAAAATGTGTCAGTGGACAATCGGTCAGTGATTGTCCACCAAAATCGCTTTTTAAATACTCCTATCTGTTTATATCCCATCTTTAGTCCTTTTATATCACTTTTTATCCCTTTACATCATCACTTTTAATCACTTTTATCAATACTGACCGATTGTCCACTGACGCATTTTCCACTGACGCATTGTCCGGACACGCACATTGCCCAGCCCATTTATTAATTTTATTAAAAAATTTTTAAAAGAACACCTTAGTAACATATCCTTGTTCTAGTTTATTTTCAAATTTTTTGCCAGTTTTCTCCAAAGTTTCATTACTAGACTTTACAACAGTCTTGTTTCCATTTCCATCATTTTTAAGAGCATTTTCAGATGCGCTAGGTTTATTTGTAAGAGAAGACGTTTGTTCACTAAGTGGTTTAGGGCCTATAAATTATTTAAAATTTTCATAAATTTTCTATTAAATTTCTTTTTTGTCGAAAAATTCGAAAAAATTTCCTAGCAAATTTATGTCCGCAAATTAATGCGGACATGTCCGCAAACTCAAATTTTTTAAATCTTTCCCTACTTTTATTTCCCGAATTAGTTGGTGGGACAGACGACGATGAAGATGAAGGAATAAGCATTGATGAATTACCATTAAATGGATATTGTGTAGCCATCGAACTAAGCAAAGAACAAGGATTATTAGCAGATGTATCAAGCGTTGAATTTTTTGATAAATTGCTAAGAATCTTCATTGCATCTTTACTTAAAAAAGGAATCTTAAATTGTTTTTATCAAGTTTAAATAATATCTAAAATGTCCGCAAGATTTGACCATTCTGTACATTTATAAGAAAAAAAAGTGCAGAAAAATGCCCGGAAACAACACTATTTACGATTTGTCCGCAAATTGTTTATTGCGGACAAAAAAGTTAGAAAATAAATTTTTTTTTACTTCCAATTATTCAACATTTGAGCAGTTATAGTTGCTGCTTCAGCATGTGTAAGAGGCATTGTTGGACTTAGATAGCTTTGTTGGCACAAGTTTACATTTTTAGCCCTTTCAATCACTGACACTGTCGATTCTTGGTTCTCTTTTGGCAGCAGTGGGATAACGTTCTAAAAAGTTTAAAAAAATTGTCGAAAAATGTAATAAAAACCTTTAGAATTGCTTCAAGTCTTTTGCTAATTTCCACATGTTTTTGCATTTCCATATTTAAGGAAAAAAGTGATTCATTCATCTTTAAAAAATTTTTTTGTTTAAAATTTCTTATGCTTTGAAGGGTTATACGACACTTGGGGACGGACTTTTGCGGACCGACATTTGAGGATGGACATTTGAGGATTGCGGACCGACATTTAAGGACCGACATTTGAGGATCAAATTTGAGGATTGAGGACCGACATTTGGGGATCGACATTTGAGGACCGACATTTGAGGATTGCCATTTGAGTATAAGAACATTAGTATCTTAAAACAGAAATTATCACAAATTATGTACTATGGCTTATTTGTTCCACAAGTTGATTTGTCGGCTGAAGATGTTGTTCCAACAACGGGGGATGTTGTTTAAATGACGGGGGATGTTGTTCCAACAACGGGGGATGTTGTTCCAACGACTAAAGATGTTTGTTCCAACAACGGGGGATGTTGTTTAAATGACGGGGGATGTTGTTCCAACAACGGGGGATGTTGTTTAAATGACGGGGGATGTTGTTCCAACAACGGGGGATGTTGTTCCAACGACTAAAGATGTTGTTCCAACAACGGGGGATGTTGTTTAAATGACGGGGATGTTGTTCCAACAACGGGGGATGTTGTTCCAACGACTAAAGATGTTGTTCCAACAACGGGGGATGTTGTTTAAATGACGGGGGATGTTGTTCCAACAACGGGGGATGTTGTTCCAACGACTAAAGATGTTTGTTCCAACAACGGGGGATGTTGTTTAAATGACGGGGGATGTTGTTCCAACAACGGGGGATGTTGTTTAAATGACGGGGGATGTTGTTCCAACAACGGGGGATGTTGTTCCAACGACTAAAGATGTTGTTCCAACAACGGGGGATGTTGTTTAAATGACGGGGGATGTTGTTCCAACAACGGGGGATGTTGTTCCAACGACTAAAGATGTTGTTCCAACAACGGGGGATGTTGTTTAAATGACGGGGGATGTTGTTCCAACAACTAAAGATGTTGTTCCAACGACAATAGATGTTGTTCCATCGACGGAGGAGGTTATTTCAACACGCAGAACCTTCCTCCATTGACGAAACAAATCCCCCGTTGTTGGAAAACATCCCCCGTCATTTAAACAACATTCTCCGTTGTTGGAACAACATTCCTCGTTGTTTGAACAACATCTTCAGCCGACAAATCAACTTGTGGAACAAATATCCCATAGTACATAATTTGTGATAATTTCTGTTTTAAGATACTAATATTCTTATACTCAAATGGCAATCCTCAAATAGAGATCGGAATTTTGAAAAAACCGGGACCGGGAAACGGGAAACGGGTTCTGAAGGTCGACCGGGAGGGACCCGGACCGGGAAAACCGGGAATTCCCGTTCCCGGTTTCATCCCGGTCAAAAATGACCGGGACCCGGACCGGGAAACCGGGAAATTAAAAAAAAATTTAAATCCATTTAAAAATTTTAAAAAGTTGTGGGACAGGGCTGTGCGTCATGGCGTTTGGCGTTTTGCGTTTTGGCGTTAATTTTGGCCGATTTTTGGCGTTTTGCGTTTGGCGTGATTTTCTGATTTTGGCCGGAACGAAATTTCTGAGAATTTTGGAGGCAAAGAAGCCGAAATTCATCCTTTAAAAAATTTTAAAAAATAAGAAATTTATAGAACTCCTTGAGATTAAGGTGGATATGAAGGGATAAAGGGAGTAATGAGTATAACAGAGGTCATGAAGAGAGTAAACGATTGACGGGACTAAAGTTTTTTTTTACCATCTATTAGTTTAAGATAAGGGCTTCCTCCTTTAAGCGCCGCAGGCGAAAATTTTGAAAATTTTGGAAGTCCAAGCAGTAGATTTCTTCATTTTTTATGCGCCGCAGGCAAAAATTTTGAGAATTTTGGATGACTGTACGCAGAAAAATTTCCTTTTTCGATCATCCCTTTCTTCATTTATTTAAAAAAAATTCCATCATTAGGGGTGTATATTTTTGGCGTTTGGCGCGCCAAAATCAGAAAATCACGCCAAACGCAAAACGCCAAAAATCGGCCAAAATTAACGCCAAAACGCAAAACGCCAAACGCCATGACGCACAGCCCTGACCTCCAACCACCTATATCACCTGATATCTATTTAAATCCCTTCAATTGGAAGGCACTGATATCAGATGATTAAGGCAGATCTAATGGATTTAGAGGGATAAAGATGGCTTAATACACTAACTTCCCTCAACTTTTCCTACAATAATATCTCCAAATTTCTCCATTCCAAATTCTTCCGCGAAAATTCTGAGAATTTTGGAAGGCCAAACAGCCAAATTTCTTCCGTTTTCAGCGCCGCAGGCGAAAATTTTGAGAATTTTTGTAAGATCTCCAATATTTTTAAGTCAAAAATCAAAACGCCAAGCAAAAATATTTAAAATTAGCTGCTAGAATTTTTCCCGGTTTCCCGGTCCAAAAAAAGCCGGGATCGGGAACGGGAAACGGGAAATGAAAATTAACCGGCCGGGACCCGGACCGGGAAAACCGGGAATTCCCGATCCCGGTTTCATCCCGGCATCTTCAAAAAAGCCGGGAAAAAGGACCGGGAAACCGGGAAACGGGACCGGGTCCCGATCCCGTTCCGATCTCTATCCTCAAATGTCGGTCCTCAAATGTCGATCCCCAAATGTCGGTCCTCAATCCTCAAATTTGATCCTCAAATGTCGGTCCTTAAATGTCGGTCCGCAATCCTCAAATGTCCATCCTCAAATGTCGGTCCGCAAAAGTCCGTCCCCAAGTGTCGCACCACGCTTTGAAGAAGGGGGAATTTAAACTAGAGTTCAATACTGCTCCTGATACCGAAACCGGAATTTATCTTGGTCTCTTTTGTTATATGCCCCCATTTTTATAGCCCACATTTTCTTCTCCTTTCCTTCTCTTTGCCTTTTCTATTTTTCTTAAGTATTATAAAATGGTCAAAGGCAATTAATGGGCAAGGATTCATTTATAAAAAACCGCAAACTAACAATAAGAACAGCGCAGGGATTGAGATTCAAAAAACCGGGATAATCGCACCCAATCAGGATCCCGATACCACTGAATCTAGTTTGATCTCGCCCTTCCTCCTTTCGGCATTCATCGTAATCCAGTAAACTATGGTTGAGGTCGAAGGATTTTTGTCAGTATTGCAAATGTTGGGGTCCGTTTCGACAGAATAGTTGTGGGTCTGGGTCGGGGTTAGACGGGTCCGTGTCTCTAACCCTACAACAAAAAAGGTCCCTAAAATTCTCTCCAAAAACCCCTACCATCGTTGTATATCTTTTCAAATTGAAGCCAATTGAAGTCAAAAGGGTTGTCAGTGTTTCTAAATGTTTGGGGTCCGTTTCGACAAAATATATATGTAGTTCTGGGTCGGGGTTAGACGGGTCCGTGTCTCTAACCCTACAACAAAATATCTCCCCTAAATTCTATCCAAAAACCCCTCACCATCGTTGTATATCTTTTCAAACCATCCCTCTCCTCTTGGCATTTTTTCAATTCCATTTTTGTACTATCCAACTGTTTTTGTAAAATTTCAAAATCTTTTTTCGTTTCTTTAATTTTTTGATTAATTTTTTCATTATTTTCAACAAATCCCATTAATTTTAATTTTTCTAAAAATTCATCCAAAGTTTGTTCCAATTGTAAATTAAATGTTTCCTTTGAATCTTCAATTTTATTGTTGACTGAGGTGTCTGGTTTAGTTACTTCTTCATTGGGTATAAAATTGGTGTTTTGTTTGTCTGTTGAAGGCACAACAAAAATTGCCTAAAAATGGATTTTGAATGGGTATAATGAGTCCGCAAATATTTGCGGACAAAACTTTTGTCTGCAAATTTTTAATCTGCAAAACCCCGCAATTTTTTCCTCACTTTTTCTATATCTTCTTCCTCCTGCTGTTGGCAATTGATAGGTGGACGAAGGAGTATAACTCTAGCATATTGAACACCAAAATTAAAGAAAAACCTGAAAGAAATGGTTTAATGTTTTTTTATAATTTAAATTTCAAACCTAAGCGTATCAATATCATTTAATGGTAAATCCATTCCATTAACCTTGGCACTTGGCTCAACGTTCAAATTGACTTTTTGATAAGTGGGCATGTCGAAAAAAGGCTGTAAAAATTTTGGAAGGTGAAATTGAACCTTGTACCCCCCCCCCCCCCTCTTTCCTTCCACAGGTGAAAAAATGTTCCTTTCTTTATGGCCATAGGTACCCAGCTCTGCATTTTTGGATCATTGGTCCGGTACTGTGCATGTGTAGTTAAATTCTGGGTGAGCTCTATCTCCATAAAAGATTCTAAAATTGATTCTAAAAAGCAGAGCTGGGTACTTATCTCCGTAGACAAGATCTGTGACACATTCTAAGTCTGCCCATTATTTTACGTTTGAAGGAAAGAAAAGAGAAATTCTCATACAATTTTCACTATAGACTGAGAAATTGGCCAAGCTAAAGAAGGTACAGGTTGCCCATCATTGTTTGCCGAAACATTTTGTCCAAAGGGTATTTCTGGAGGTTGTTTTTCAATATTATTGAATGAATTGTCTTTATTAAGGTTGGCTTTGTTGTTATTTTGCTTGTCCAATGAAGGCAAAACAAAAACACCCTAAAATGGATTTTATAATTAGAAGATTTTTTTGGGTATGGTAAATGTCCGCAAGTTTTGTCCGCAAAATTTTTTTAATCCGCAAAAATTGTCCGCAAATTAAAAAATCTTTTTTATTTTTTACTACCTTTTCCTCATCTTCTTCCTCCAAATGTTTATAATTATTATCAAATTCCTCATCATCATGTAAAAATTTAAACCAAACAATATGACACAAAACAGAAAATAAAATATTAGAGGAAATTAAAATTATATTTCCAATATATTGTATAGGCCTATAAAAACAAGTTTATTTTAATTTTAAAGTTGGGAAATTACTTTTGTAATTTTACAATACTGAAAAAACAAAACATGGAACAAGAGATAATTGAAATACATTGTAAGGCTGGGAGACTATAAGGCTGAAAAGAAAACAAGTTTTTAGTTATGTTTTAATTCAAGTTTATTAAAAACAAGTTTATTAAAAACAAGTTTATTAAAAACAAGTTTATTTAAAGCAAGATTATTTAAAACAAGTTTATTAAAAACAAGTTTATTAAAAACAAGTTTATTAAAAACAAGTTTATTTAAAGCAAGTTTATTTAAAACAAGTTTATTTAAAACAAGTTTATTTAAAAAAAGTTTATTTAAAAAAAGTTTATTTAAAACAAGTTTGCAACAAGTTTATTTTTAAAAATCAGAATTTGTAATTTGAAGTTTATTCTGATTTGTTTGTTTTTAAATCAGAACATGTTTGCAACAAATTTATTTTTATGTTTGTTCTTATAAAATTATAACATGTTTGTTGTTTTTCCATGTTTAAATCAACCTACCTTTCTTTTAAAAACCAGAACAAAACAACCAACAAACATCAACACCATTCGAAGCAAAGATAAAATAAAAAAATCAGCAACAGATTTGTTTATCTCGAAAGGCAATGAAAAAGCGTTGAGGAAATGTTGAAAAGAAAACGAATTTCCATTAAAACAAATTCCAATAAAAGAAAATAAAATATCAAATGTTGAAAGAACTAATGTTGTTAGAAAACAACAAAATAGTTGTTTTTGTTTAACCATGTTTTGATGTTTTAGTTGTTCTTTTTGTAAAAATCAGAATTTAAAACAAACAAACAAACAAAAACAATGTTTTTCCAATATTCTGATTTTATTTGCAATTATAAATTAAAAATTCTGATTTGTAAAACAAAGAGAATTAATTAAATAAACTTGTTTTTACAAATCAGAATTTATTTAAATTGTAATTGTAAAATCAAAATTCTGGTTTGAAACAAAGTTTAAAATAAAAATGTATTAATTGTAAAACAAGTTGGAAAACAAACAGAATTGTATTTTTATTTATTAAAAGGCAAAAAAGTTTCAAAAACAGGCGGAATTTTACATGTTTTTAATATGCTAATTAAATGTTTGTGTTTTACAGAAGATAATAAACATGAGAATTGCAAACTTAAAAACATTAATTTAAATTGTAATCTTAAGCTTTTTCAAGTTTCAGAATAAAAACAAAGTGTGCGCAGGTTTATTCAATTGTAAAAATATTACAAAAATAATTGTAAAAAACAAGCAGAATAATTTTAAAATAAAAAATAAGTGGATGTTGGGTAGGGGAAAAAATAATGTTTTTGTGTATAATAATAAAATGAGATGCGTTCAGTATTTATATATGCAGAGTAGAAGCCAAGTTTTTAAACAAAACTTTTTCCTCTCTTAGAAATGACCGCCTAGTTGCCTTAGGGCTAAGTTTAATTGACTTCCTTACTTAATGAACAGACTCCCAACATATTCCCCTTTTTGTTTTAATGTTCCAAGGGGAAAAAATGACCCAGGCAATTTTAAGAAGGAAAAAGTTTTTAAAAGAATTTTAAGTGTTTACTGTAAAATAACCTAGAAAATTCCAATAAGAAGAATGAAAAAATAATCGGATTGATAACAAAATCAGCCAAAAAATAAATTCTAAAAGGATCCGAAATTTAAAAAAGTATAGGGGAAGATGGGCTATTTTTATATTATTAAATATACGAAAAATAATGAGTGATTACTGAAAATTAAAATTAAAGAGAAGAATATTTTAAAAAATTTTCTCTCCTTCAAAAAAATTAATTAATTAATTAAAAGCTCAATTCATATAGAGATGCCTTTTTTTCTCCCGATCCAGTTAAAAGAAAACGATCATCTTCAGAAATGTCGCAACTTAGAACAGAACTTACTTCCTTTGTTTTTATAAGTCTGTAACCATAAGGGGTGCGCCAACAATTTACAACGTTGTCTTTTCCAGTGGAAACAAACCACTAAAAATGAAAAAAAAGTTTTTATTCTGATTTGTAAAACATGTTTTTAAAGAATATTCTGATTTGTAAAACATGTTTTTAAAGAATATTCTGATTTGTAAAACATATTTTTAAATAAAATCTGGTTTGTAACATGTTTCTATAGAAAGTTCTGGTTTGTAAAACATGTTTTTAAAGAAAATTCTGATTTGTAAAACATTTTTCTTTAAAAATTATTCTGATTTGTAAAAACATGTTTCTAAAGAAAGTTCTGGTTTGTAAAACATGTTTTTAAATCATATTCTGATTTTTAATTTAAAAACATTTTTTTTTTAAATTATTCTGGTTTGTAAAACATGTTTCTAAAGAATATTCTGATTTGTAAAAACATGTTTTAAAGAATATTCTGATTTTTAATTTAAAAACATTTTTCTTTAAAAATTATTCTGATTTGCAAAACATGTTTTTAACAACAAAAACATATTACAAAACATGTTTTTAAATTCTGATTTGTACAAACATGCTTTTATTTACAAACATTGTTTTGTAAAACATTTAATTTTTAAAAACACATGTTTTTACAATTCCAATTAAAAATTCTGATTTTCCCCCAAATTGAACTAAGAATGTTTTGATGTGTAAAAACATTAATTAATGTTTTTAAAAATATTCAAAATTGTAAAACTTGCCTTTCCACTGTTCGCAAACTTTAAAGACAAAACACAACTTTGATGAGCACTAATTAAATACTTTTCGCTCATAGGTTCGCTGTTTAGAACCTAAAATTGTGTAAATTTGTTTTTAAGTATTCAAGTTTGTATAACCTGAACATTACTGTCTTCCAATCCTACAGCAACCCAATTATCAGTTGGACAACAACCAAGTGAGAAAATCTTTAAAAAAATATTTTTCTGATTTTACAAAGCTAGTTTTAGATGTTTTAAGGCATGTTTCAGGTTTAGAAACATGTTTCAAAATTTCGGGTATTTCAGAACAATTCAGCATAGGATGCTTCAAATTTATACAACTTTGCTTCGTAAATGTTTAAAACACGTGAAACATGTTCTTTATGTATCAGATATGCTTCAGATTATCTGAAGCATGCTTCGAATCAGTCCTACCCAGGTTTTTCACTTGCCCTAAAATGCTTCATAAATTTTAAAGCAAGTATTTGCTTCAGAATTTGCTTCATAAATGTTCAAGCTTGTGAAACATGTTTTCAACTATCAAACATGTTTCAAATTTTCGAGAAGCAAGCTTCCGAAACATTTCTCCCCATGTTTTTCATTTGCCCTAAAATGCTTCCATAAATCCTGAAGCAGGTCCGACAAAAAATTTTTTTTATTCTATCTCACCTGACTTTCCAATAATTGGGCTTCAATTTGTTGTCTAGCCCCAATATCCCAACACCTAACAGTATTGTCCAACCCTCCAGTCCACAACTTCTGTCCATCACCACTTATATCAACACAACTAGCCCCATCAGAATGCCCAATTAATTGAACAATTCTTTCACCAGAAGTCAAATCCCAAACATTCACAACACCATTAGAACAACAAGAAAACAAAGTTTTACAATCTTGAGAAATAGCTAAAGCATAACAAGCTTCTGCTTCACAATCAAATGTTTGTTTTATTTCCCCTCCTCTTTCAACATCCAATATACAAATTGTTTTTGTTTCCCCTCCAACAATTAAAGTTGATCCATCAGAAAATAATTTACATGAACGAATATAGCTATCTTTTAGGCACTTTAAAAAATATTGAATTTAGCTTTGATTTAAAAAATTTTGTATTCTAATAAACGTCCCCTTAAAATATAAGTAAAATTTCATAGTTTAGTGGGTAACATTTGACTAAAAAATTTTTTTCTCGTCCATTTTAAACAAGAAAAAGTCTGGTTACATTATTTCTGTAAGGGGAACTCCCTAAGATATTTCTGTAAAAGAATCTAGACAAAATGATTAGATGAGGGACACGAAAAAAGAAAGAGAAAAGTCATCGTCCCAAAGTAGCTCAGCTAGTAAAGTCATTGAACGAGGCGTTAGCAAAGCTCCTAGTTAAAGACAACTCGAAGCAAGCAAGTTCGTTGCGTGCCTTATAGCTAACTTAGTTTTACCTACATAAGCTCTTTCTTTACCAACTTAAAAAAATTTTCTATTAACCGGAAAAGTAGCTACAGGCAACCATGGCTCTGCACTTGCAGCCCTCCCACCACCACCTCCATTACTAGCAGTTTCAACAGATCCAACTCCCCCCATATCATCACCACTTGATGTATCATTAGAAGCATTTGCTGTTGATGAATTAAATATTCGTTCAGTAATATCCCAAACTTTTACAGCCCCCTTTCCACCAGTAAATACTCTACGTCCATCTTTAGCTAAAGTAACAGCACAAACAACATCTCCATGAGGTAAGTCACCTATTCGGCGAAGTCCTCTGAAATACCAAATTTTTTTAATTAAAAAAGGGTTTTAAAGGAAGGATAGCAAATCTAATTGTCAGAAGGAAATTAGAGCCAAAAAAAATTTTTTTAAGACCAGCTCAGTAAATAGAGCAAATGATCGAGGTGTTAGCAAAGCTCTTTTGTAATACCAACCAGGAATAAGCAGGTTTCCTGCCGTTAACCTCCTTTTATCAGCAATCTATTAACCTACTTTTACTTTTTACTTATTAAGCTAGTAGTGTTCCACGAGAACAAGAATCATTTTTTCAAGAAAAAAACTAGGAATAAAACCAAAAAACTGCATAAAAATTCCAGCTAACTTAAAACTAAACTTTAAGTGGAACACTAAAAACACCAAGAAGATAACCCCCTTATTAAAAATTTAATTTAAAAAAAAAATATATTCTACTTTGGCACATCCGGTTCTAAAGAAACATCAGGCGGGAAAGAAACAGGAGCTATTTGTTCACCAGGCGCAACCTTTAAATTTAAAATTTTTAAAGTTTTTTTTTTGAAAAATTTTTCACAATCCAAAATGCTCTAATTAAAGCCCTAGACTTTTATTTTTATTTGCCTTCAAAAGGATTCGAACCTTGACCCACCACCATCAAAAAATTAAATTTTAAACCACTTAACCAAGAACACAATTTTCAATTTAAAAAATTTTCTGAAATTTAAAAAAAAAAAAAAAAAATTTTTTTCGGAAAGATTTAAAGAATTCTCACTTCTATTTTCTAAATTTTTCCGGAAAGATTTAAAGAATTCTCACTACTATTTTCTAAATTTTTCCGGAAAGATTTAATTTAAAGAATTTAAAGAATTCTCACTTCTATTTTCTAAATTTTTCCGGAAAGATTTAAAGAATTCTCACTTCTATTTTCTCCATAAAAAAATTTAAAAAAAAACCTTAAAAGCATAAGCTGGTGATTTCCCATTAGTTGTCATTGCAGCTGTTAAAGCATTTAGAGAAGAAGGATTTAATTGTCCTCCTCCTCCTCCAGGAGTCATTCCAAATAATCCCGATATTTGATTGTTAAAATTCCCAGGAAATCTATTAGCTCCATAATTATTTGCAAAGAAATCTGCCATAGCGGGAGGTAAAAGTTGCTGAATATTTGGTTGTGGTGGACAGCCAGAAGAAGAACCAGGGGTAGAAGCAAGCTTGAAAAAGAGTGAAAGAATGAATAAAAATTATTCAAAAAATTTTAACGACACCAAAAATTTATTTTTTTTGTTAGAGTCACAAGTAAAATTAATCTTGAAGTAATTAAAAATGTTTGACTCCCAAGAGGATTCGAACCTTGATCCATTACTTATTGAAAATCATCCCACTTAACCATAAAAACAAGTTAACCCCCAAATTCTCTCAAGTCGTCTCCTGCCTAATGAAAATGTCTGACCCCCAAAAAAATTCTCGAACCTTAACCACATTACCTCCTAAACCACTAACCCACTTAACCACAAAACTTGCTAGCCCTAAATTGTCTTCCTAAATCAATTAAAAATTCTCTTGTCTACTCAAAATCCATTTTTAAAAAAGAAAACCTGTAGTTTTCCAGAGCGAGGCGTAGCAGAATCACGAGATGAGGCTGAAGCAGTGTCTCTTTCATCTTTACCTTTATGAAAAGGTTGGCTAGTTCTTCCGTTGGTGTGATGAGATAAAGCCGCAGAGGAACCAGCATCATCATTTTGAACCTGAAAAATAAATTTTTATAAAAATATCCTCAAAATAATGTCCCCAAAATGGACGTAAAATTTTTTTGTCCGCTAAGATAAAAATTTGCCCGCTAAAAAAATTGTCCACAAAAGCAAAAATTTGTCTGCAAAAAATAAAAAAGTCCGCAAAAATGCCACCCTAAGGCCTATAATTTGAATAAAACAAAAAAAACAGAATGCCAAAAATAACCAAAAAAAAATTTATTTTTTTTTTATCAAAATGCCCGCAAAACGGTCAAAAATTATAAAATGTCAACGTATTAAAAAATAAATACAGAATGCCAAAGAAATTTGAAAAAATTTTCAAGAAAAAAAATTAAAAACCAACATCAATTTCCAATTCTCCATCCCCATCTTCAGGTTCCAATTTAGTTCTCTTTGCATAAGAAACAGGTGTTCCAGTGCCTGATCTTGGCCTACTTCCTCCTCCACCAGTACTGTTTAGAACAGAAGATGCTCTTCCAGGATGTGTTGATGGACGGCCTGAAGCTTTTTAAATAATGAAAATTTGCGGATAGAAGTTGCGGACTGGTTTTTCAAAGTAAATTCGCTCTATCTCTTAAGGAATCTAACGACCTTATTGACCATTCCCATCCAAAAAGTCCGTAAATTATTGCGGACTGTCCGCAAATTCTTTAAAAAACTTTTAAGCGGAGAATTCGGGAACATTCTATGGTTGGCCCTAAATTATCAGTAAATTCCCTTTCTAACCCTTAAGGTTTGTCCGCAAATTTTTTGCGGACTGTCCGCAATTTTTTTGCGGACAGTCCGCAACTTTTTTTGCGGACTGTCCGCAATTTCAAAATTTTTTTTTAATTTCTCATACCTTCATCTCCACCTCCAGTTGGAGGAACAGACGAAGAAGATGACGGTCCAGGCATTAATGGATGATTACTTGATGGAAGTTGTTGAGGAATACAGGGAGGTTGCTGAGGACCGCCACCAGCAGCAACATTATTAGCTCCAGCCAAAATTGGATTTTTTAAAATATTGTTGAAGAGTTGCTGCATTGCATCCTCCGGTTTTACATTTAAATTTAACCCCCTAAAAGAGACAAAAATAAATTTAAAAAATTTTTTTTAAACAAACATTCCAGCCATCATCATTGCAGGATTAAATGCTGCAGCTGCTGCAGCGGGTCCAGCAACAGACATCATAGCAGCTAATTGTTGTTGTTGTAAATGATTGGTTAAAAGTTCCTTAAAAAAGCATTTTTAGTAATTTTTGAATTTGTGGTTGAATTTTTCTGCTTTAAATTGCGGACAGTCCGCAATAAATTTGCGGACAGTTTGCGGACTCTCTAACTCGGTCTTTAAATGCCCTTAGAAATAAACCAACCAAAACGGAACAGGAAAATAAAAAAGGGGAAATAGGTAATTCAATATACCTACACAAAGAGGTTTTTTAAAATTATTAAGCCAAAAAAATTTCCGCAAATATTGTCCGCAAATCATTAGAAAAACGAAAAACTTCGATTTTTTCAAAAAACTCATCCAGAATTATAAACCCTTTTCCCTTTTATAAACCTTTTAAAAATTAATAAAAAAAATACTTGTGGCCCAACAGCCTTAGCCCTTTCAATCGCTGACACAGCCGATCCTTGGTGTTCTTGTGGAAGCATTGGGATAACGTGCTAAAATTTAAAAAATTTTTTTTCAAGTTTAAAGAAAATAAAAAATAAACCGTCAAAATGCCAGATAGACGTTTGCCAATTTCTATATGTTTTTGCGTTTCCATATTCAAAGAAAAAAGTGATTCATTCATCTTTAAAGAAATACAATAAATATTAATTAAAAAATAAAGGGAAATAATAGAAATTTGGTAGAATTTTCCTCTAGTCCCCTAGATCTGGTATTTATTTGGTATTGGAACGTAATTTCCCAAGTTTAATATATATTTCGACGATATGGTATTACGACCCGCTACGTGATAGAGCCATTTCCGTGCCATAAAAATGGCGGTTTCGTTAGATTTTTTAAAAAGTCCGCAAGTTTCGTCCGCAAATCTTTAAAAAAATTTTCAGTCTTTTCAGTCCAAAAATTTACTGACCGGTTTCTCATTGACTTTACCATAAAAGATACTTAAAAAATTCACTAACCATCATTGAATATCTTTGAAGACCATCCTTTTCCTGTTGACACTTTTCCAATTCAATTCTAGTATTATGCAATTGTTGTTGTAAAACTCCAAATTCTTCATATACTTTATCCAACAATTCCTTCACTGCCCCCGTGCCAGAATTTGTTGCTCCAAGTTTCATTCCACTTGTATTACTTGTTCCAGCCACTCCAGGTCCGGAAGTACCGCTTTGGTGGTGTGAAGATGAGGCAGAATTGGCCTAAAAATGGATGGAATTAGCAAAAGTTATTGGTTTAAAAAATTCTTTAAAAATATTTTTAGACTCTAATAATCTCGTTCTAATCGGAAAAACATTTTTAAGTTAAAAGAAAAATTGATTCCCCTCGGTGGGATTCGAACCCGCGACTCTTTCAGTTAAAAACTCCAAACTTTTCCCACTAAACTAGAAAGACAGGGGCTAAGAAATAAGAAAAACTATTTCTAGGCTCTAATATTCTAGTCAAAAACATTTTTTCTGTTAAATTAAAAAAAGTTTTCCTTAACCGGATTCGAACCCACGACCCCTCCCGTTGAAAACCCAAACGTTTCCCACTAAACCAAAAGGACACTTAATGGAAATCCTTTATAATTTAATAAACTAGCTAATTTAAACAATGTTTAAGCGTTTTTTAATTGAAAACAATTAAAAATTAAAATAGCTATTGTCACTTAAAAAATTAAAAAGTGAGGAAAGGAAGGGAGGGAAGCAAGTCATTTAAAAATACCTAGACTTTTTCAATTAATTTTCTCAAAAAAAAAACTAATAAATAAAAATTTTTTATTTTAAATGGCGACTCTTTCCTTTCCTCTTTTTCAATCCTCTTCACGCCTCACATTTTTCTAAAAGAGAGAAAAGAAATGAGCGGAAACTCCCCAATGTTTTTAAGATATTTTATTGGCTTCCCTGGGTAGATGAAAAGAGAAAATCGATTACAGAAAAAATGGAGGTTATATGTACAAATTGACTACAAAAATTGAAAAAAAGAGGAAAATAATTAACGCAAAACATTTTTTAGGAGTTAGTTAATTTTAAAAATTTGCGGATTTACAAGAAATCCGCAAATTTTTTTGCGGATTTTTTTAAAAATCCGCAAGTTTTGTCCGCAAATATTTTTTGTATCCGCAAATCTTAAAAGTAGTATTTTTACTTTACTAGACATCTTATAGAAATTTGACCTCAAAAAATGTTTATTTTGGCTAAGTGGGAAAAGGTTATATTTCCAAGGGAGGGGTGGGGAGGTTCGAACCCCACTAGCGAAAAATATTTTTTATGTTAACAAATTTAAATTTTAAATTAAAATAAAATTAGTGGAGTTAAAAAAAATATTTTTTTAATTATTATAAAACTAAATTTGTCGAAAAATGCGGACAAAATTTTTTGCGGACAAAAATTCTGTCCGCAAAAAATTTGCGGACAAAAAAAATTTTTTTTGCGGACAAAAAAAATTTTTTGCGGACAAAACCTGCGGACACACACAAATCCAAAAATAAAAAGAAAAACAAACAAACCGTATTATGCCTATTCTGCGGAAACATATTCACAGCTGCGGCGGAGCTAGAGGGCTGGTGATGAGAGCTGCTTGTAGTTTTGGAACGAATTGTGACTTTTTGTGAGAGCTTTGGGAGTTGCTCTCTTTTATTTTTTATTTTAATTAAATAAAGAAAAAAAAGTTTTTTTTTCTTTTTAAAGAATTTAATAATCTAAAATAAAATAATTTAAAAAATTAAAAAAACAAAAGATTTTTCGAAAAAAAAAATTTTTTTTGAAATAAAAAAAAATAAATTGCCAAAAATGGAAAAAAAATTTTTTTGTGACATTAAAAAAAGTTTTTGAGAAAATATATATAAAATGACTAATATACATACGTATGTAATTAAAAATAAAAAAAAAATTAGCGTTGAAAAAAATTAAACAAATAGTTTTAAAAATAAATGCTTTTTAAAAAACATTTAAGTTATCTATCTATTAAATTTGCCATTTAAGTTATCTATTAAGAGAGGAAGAGCACCTTTTATTACCCTAAATATGACGTTGTTAAGTAGTAATTAAGTGGAGGTGGAAGGATTTGTGAAAAAAATTAACGTAAAAATGTTTTTTCGGAAAAAACAAAAAAATTTGCGGACGCATTTTTTTTGTCCGCAAATTTTTTGCGGACAAAATTTGCGGACATATTTTGCGGATTTTTAGTGTCCTTTAATATAATAATTTTTAAAACTCTTTAGGCTCATCATGGTTTCTAATTTTCTCCAAAACAAGTCAAAGTGGTTAATTAAAAGAAAAATTAATTCCGCGCCGAAAAGTCCCCCTCTCCAAAAATAACCCTTTCAATCCATTTTGGGTAGGACTACTTTTCCTTCCCTTCCTTTTCTTTTCGTTCTGCTCAAATTATTATTCTTTTTATTATTCTTCTTGTAAAGGTATAAAGTGTATGTATTTAGTATTTTGATTGTGTGAGCGAATAAGGGAGGTAGTAGAGGGGAGAGGAAGGGGAAGGGAGAGGGAGAGGAAGTGTTTTGTCTACCTAATAACTACTGCCCTTCTTGTGCTTTTAGCCTATTTTTTAGCCTTCCATTTTTTTTTCTTCCAATTTTTCCGCTTTTTGTCACTTCTATCCTTCCTCCCTTGTCTTTTCACTACCAAAAAATATATACCGTATTTATTCTAATTGAATGGCACCTCCATTTGAATGGCACCTCCAATTGAATGACAAATTTTTGAATGAATGAAAAATATAATGGCAGCCTCTATTTGAATGGCACCTCTAATAGAATGGCCATTTTAACTATAACTACCTAACTCTTATTTTTTTCCCTTTATTAACTAGTAGTTTAATACTCCTTTTTATATGAATAATTCCGATATTTTTGAGCAAGTGTAGGGTCAAAAAAGTGATCTTTGAGAGGGATATTAAAGGATCTGAGAGGATAATGGGGGATATAGTGAAATTAAAAATATTTGGCGAAGATATCGAGGGATTAAAATAAAATCCTTATGGGGTGATATCTAGTAGAGATGTCAGAGACAGAAAATTTTTCAAGACCAATACTTAACCCCATGAATCGAGAACAAGACGTCTCTGAGTCACAAGACTAATAATTAACAATTATCAAGACAATTTTTCGTCCATGAGACAAATTTGTTGGTGATTCGTCTTGTCAGTCGTATGATTGAAAGTGATTAGGATGGATTGAAGGAGATGTGAATGGTTTTGAAGGAATATTTCCTTAATTATGTACCTGCTATTTTTTAAGTAAAAGTCAATGTAGATAATTGAAAGTAATCCCTCCCCCCTCCCCTAAAAAATCCAGATCCCTATATCCCGCCAAATCACCCAACATCCTCCTCAAAATTAAAATAAGTGATACGTAGAGAAAATTCACTACTAAAATACTAAACTATCGAATTTTCCACAAAAAAATTTGGTAGAATTGCCCATTTTCCTAATACTCGTCCCAATATAAACAATCCCAATCTCAATTTTTGACCTATGAAAAATAGAATGGCAGCCTCTATTTGAATGGCACCTCCAATTGAATGACAATTTTATGGGGTATTGAAAAATAGAATGGCTGCCATTCAATTAGAATAAATACGGTATCTAATTTTTATAGATGAGACAAACATCATTCCCCCCCTCCCCTTCAAAAAACCATAAAAACTATAAAGGATAGGAAGATTGCGCTGCTTAAAAATGCGCTTTTGTCAGTGAGGGGAAGGCTAGTTAAATATATTGTTTGGTATATAAAATAATGGCGAGGACAGTTAGGCGGCTTTCCCAAGAGAGAAAAAAGTGTGTATAGTGGTAGTTGAGGAGCATTAAATGAGTGAAGAAGAAAAAATTGGGACGCGTTAAGGACTCGAGAACTTAAAAAATTTTTTTTGAAATTTTGGGACATGGAAAACTCCAAAATTTTCAAAAAAAATCAGAAAATTTTTTCAGAAAAATTTTTCAGAATTTCTGATTTTAAAATCAGAATTTTTGTCCGAAAACGATTCATTTTTTAATGAAAATTACCAATTCTTTTGTCATTTTTCGCCTATAACTTTTGAAATACAAAACCAAAAATTCTCAAATTTTTAGTAGAGCTAGTCAACACCCTTCGGAATAAAAATTAAAAATTTTAAATCCCTATTTAAAAATTCAATCAATTATTTAGTCGCGCGCCCAAATGTATTATGCGCCGAAACTTCCCTTTAATTAGAGGGTAATTTCGGCGCGGGATGTTTCGGCGCGGATTAAAAGGAATACAAAGGAGTGAAAATGAAGGACAAAAAGGAGAACAAATACAATTAATTCAGAAAATTGTTTTAACGCCAGAAAAATGGACTAGAAAAAAAATAATAAAAATTGGTAGAAAGAAAAAAAAATAAATTTTTTGGAAGAAAGAAAAAGCGCAAAAATGGGCGCAATAAAAGAGAAGAATTACTACAAGTATGACTTGGATATATAAATATTTTTTGGGGGGAAAGAGGGGGGAAATTATGTTCTAAGAGGATATGTATTTTTTGGGGGTAAAAATGACGAACCCCTCTCCTCCTCCTCCCCTCTCTTCCCCTTCTTTCCTTCCTTTCCTTCCTCTTCCAACAAGCAACCACTTTTTCTTCTTCTCCCCACATTGCTTTTCGCTCTATCGGCTGGGCGGCGAAAAAAAAAATTTTTTTTGGAAGAAAAAAGGGAAGGAAAAGAGAGGAGAGATTGTCAAATATATATATATAATTTTTTGGGGGGTGTTATAAATATATTTATTGTTTGTTGATGTAAAGGGAGGGAAACAACACTACTTACTATATACTTGTGTCTGTGTCTATTTTGTGTGTGTAAACGATGAGGAAGGGGGAAGAGGGGCAATCTGCTATTTAAAAAATAAAAAAAGGTTGGGAAATGTTGGAAGAATTGAGGGAATTGGAGGGAAGGGGAAGAAGAGAAGAAAGGGAGAGAGGTAGGTGACTGTTGAGGGGGGTTTTGATGAGTTTTGGAAGGCAAAAAAAATTTTTTCGGCGATTAAAAAGAAAGGCTTATTTACATAAAATATTTTTTTTTAAATAATTTTTAGCGGTTTAATGAGGTAAAATTAAAATAAAATAAAAATAAGAAAGTATTTAATCATAATAAAAAGAAAAAAGGAAAAAAGCCGCTAAAGGAGAGCCGAAACTTTTTTTAACTGAAAAAAAGGTTGATTGGTAATAATATGGGAAGGATTAGTAGAGAAAACAAGTAAAGAAAATTAAAAAAGTGTTTTGTATAAATTAAAAAGTATTAAACTTGAAAGGAAAAAATTAATTTTAATTTTGGGAAATTTTTAACTTTTAATGGAAATAGCGTGTAAAAAAGAGAGACGGAAAAAGAAAAATTAAAAGTTAGACAAACTTTTTTTTAATAAACATTACGCCAAGTTGTCAAGTTTTAATTGGAATATATTTAAACTTAAAAAAATAAGTTGGAATTTACAATTTGTATTTACAATTTGTAAAAAGTTGGAACAAGTTTTATTTTTTAAATAATCAAGTTTTGTTCTTTTAAAATTCAAGTTGCAAGAAAAAGTTGGTAAAAAAAGTTGAATTTTTAAATAATTTTTATAAAACTTTTTTTCTCCAACTTTTTTTACAATTTGAATTTACAAATTGTAAAAAGTTGTAATAAAAAGTTTCCAACTTTTTTACAATTTGTAAAAAGTTCGAAAAAAAAGTTTCCAACTTTTTACAATTTGTACTTACAATTTGTAAAAAGTTGGAATAAAAAGTTTTAAGAAATAAAGCAGAGAAATGAGAAATAGTGTGGAAAAAGAAGAGACGGCTTCTTTTTAAGTCTATTTTCTTTATTAACTCTCTAATTTTAAAGCTGTTTAACTCGTATTTTATTTATATTAAAAAAAGAAAAAGCACAACCAATATAAAAACAAAAATAAATATAAATACACTTAAAATGGCCCTAAAAAGAAAAGCAAAAATGTGTAGATTGACCAGATAGAATATATTTATTTTAATGTTTTTAGTGTTTTTGAGGGGTGAAAGGAGGAAAGAAAGCTTTTCTAAAATGAATGAGATATATGTTGGAATATGAGGAAAAAAAATTGAGAAAAAGGTTTTGGGGACATCAAGTAGGAAGAGGGGGAAATGAGTAAAAAAAGGAGGAAGGGGGAAGGAAGGCTTGTGGCGCCAGTAGGCGGCGGATTGGATTTCCTCTCCCCCCTTTCCCCTCACTTTTTCTTTTTAAATATATTCTCATCTCCTTTATTTTCTTCTAAAAAATCCCCCCTCTCAAACAATGGTGCAAATGGGCAAACAGCATGAAGAAGAAGAAAAGTGGAAGAGGAAAGAAGAGAAGAAAATGCTGCTTTGGGGTTGCGATATAAATATATTATTTTTTGATAAGTTGAGGAAAGGATTGGGGGAGGGGAGGATTGGGGGATATTAAAAACAATTTTTGTTGGGGGAATAAAATGACTGAGAGAATCTCTCATTAAATAATACCTAGTTTATATTAATTTTTGGTAAAAGGTTCTAAAAGAAGATTAATTACCTTATAGAAGGATATTAGAGTCTGAGTTTTGGGGAGATAAAGTTGTCTATTAGCGTGTTTTTGGTACTCAAGTGACCCTTGACTTTAAATGGTATATGTAGGGGGAAGATGCGCAAAAACGATAAAAATCTGTTACTAAACGAAATAAATTTTTGGGAAGAAAAATAAAAGAAATAAAAGAAAAAATGTCAAATTAAAATAATTTTTTTAGAAAATTTTCAAAATTTTTTTTTCAAAATTTTTCAAAGGGAGATAAGAAAAGTTGTATTTTTTCTAAACATTTCAAGTTTGCGTTTTTACAATTCAAGTTTGTAAAAGGTTGCACAAAAAAGGCTGTATTTATTTTTACATAAATTACATATAACTTGTATTTTCAAATTGTAAAAGGTTGGAAAAAGGTTTATTTTATAACTATTCAAGTTTTGTGTTTTCACAATTAAGTTGCAAAAATAAGTTGGTAAAAAAGTTGGAAAGGTTGGGAAAAAAGTTTAAGAAAAAGAGGAAGATAAAAAACTTGGATTTTTAATCAATTTACAATTTGTATTTACAAATTGTAAAAAGTTGGAATAAAAGTTTTTTTTAACTGATGAGCAGTCATAATAAACATTTTTTCTCAATTCATTTACATTATGTATAAAAAGGAAGAAAATATAATTATCGCGCGCCTATTTTGCATATTAAATTGGTTGTTACTGGCACAGCATGTTAATTTGAAAGAAAAAATGTTTGTTATAGTTGAATAAAAAGTAGTAAATATCCTTGAGAGTAAATTAATGGGAAAAATTAGTTATATGAGAAGATTTTTTTATTCAAAAAAATTTTTTAGAGAAAAATTTTTTTAAGGTTCATTAGAGTCTGAGAGGATTTTCCAGCTCTTTTTTTGCTTAAAAAATCGAAAAAAAATTTTACTTCCCCCAAAAAAAATTTTTTAAAGTCTCCCTAAAAATGTGTATAGATTGAAATAAATATATTTGAATGAATATGCATGACCCCCAATTTATTCTCACAAAAAGGCGAGCAAGTCGACAACATATACACACACCCCAACTAAATAACAACCTCTAAAGCAATATACCAAAAAATTTGTGTGAGGCCCTCTAGAGGGAGGGAAAGGATTAGCCCTCAACCACTCCTTCACAAATATATACCAAATAAGAGGCATTCAACTCGGCACTAAAGCAAAAAAGAAAAAAATATTTTTTTTGGTAAGAAAATTTTAAGGGGAATATTTGGATGTTGTTGCCAATAATGGGCTTTAAAGAATTAAGAGAGAAGAACAAAAGAGGAGAGAAATAGAGAAAAATTAATGGAGTCTTAAAGTTAGGGAAAGGTTGAATTTTAAGTAATTAATTGGTTTTGTAATTTATTTACAATTCAAGTTGCAACAAGTAAAAAAGCTTTACAATTTGTAAAAAGTTGTAAAAAAAGTTTCACAATTTGTAAAAAGTTGGAAAAAAGTTTTACAATTTGTAAAAGGTTGGAAAAAAAGTTTTACAATTTGTAAAAGGTGGAATAAAAGTTGGAAAAAGTTTAATTTTTTAATATTCAAGTTTTGTACATTTTACAAATTGTAAATTAATTAAAAATCCAAGTTTTTTTTACAATTCAAGTTGCAACAAAAAGTTGGATTTTTAATTAATCTACAATTTGTAAAATGTTGGAATAAAAAAGTTTTTAAATTAAAATTAATTTTTACAATCTTAAGTTTGTAAAATGTCAAGTTTATTTCTTTAAAACTTTTAGTATTTTCCCACTATTTTCTTCCCTACATAATTTGGAGCAATATTCTTTTATAAATTACTTTGCGTTAAAAAGCATAGGCCAGACAAAAAAACTAAACAAAAACATTGGGCAAGCTAATATAATATATTCTCTTTATGCCAACGGCCACCAGGATATAATTAAGGGCAAAAAAGTGAAAAAGGAAATGAGCAATGGAAGGGGGAAGAAAGGCAAAAATGAAAGGAAAATACACACAAAACTCATTGAATGTAAGGGAGGTTATTGGGCTGTAATTGCCTGTCGCTTGCCTTACAAGGAGGAAAAATATAAATGTTGAGGGAATTAGTTAAGGGGGAAGGATAACATCGCCCCCCTATAAAAGAAAGGAAATAAATTAAAAAAGAGGAGAAAAAAAATAAAAAAAAAGTAGCGGCTAATTGTAGAGAAGAATAAATGTAGGAATATATATTAAGTAATTCCTTTTCCACTCGAATTGCCTTAAGGGCATAAAGTAATTCTACAAGGGGCAAAAAATTTGGGTTTGTCAGTTAGTGTTTACAATTAAGCGGTGTTGAAAAATAAAACTTGTGTCGAATTGGTAAAATTTAAAAAAGGTCAAATAGGTAAAAATGTCAAAAGTCTGAATAAAAAAATGACATTTTGACAAAAGTCAAAAGTGACTAATGTCAGAATGTCAAATTCGAGATTCGAAATCGTAAGGAGATTAAAATGGTCAAGAATTTAAAATGTCATAAGTCGAAATTCAAATTGTTAAAAATAAAGAGTCAAGACTCAAAATGGTCAAGAAAAATGAACGAGCTCAAGATGGTCAATAGACATGAATTCAAAATGGTTATAAATCAAAATAATGTCAGAATGTCAAAATTCGAAAGGCTAACATTTTTGGAAGGGACAAGCGACAGAATGGTAAGGGTCTCAAAATGGTCAATAATTTAAAACGGTCAGAAGTCGAAGTTCAAAATTAAAATGTTAAAAATAAAAAAACGTAATGACTCAAAATGGTCAAAATCCAAAATGATTGAGAAAAACAGGTCAATATTCAAAACGGTCAGGAAAAATGGTCAATACACAAACTATGTATCAGAAAAACGTTAATAGTTCACTCAAGACTCAAATGTCAAAATAATTTTAAAATTACACAAAAAATACATAAGTCGGAAACATCAAAACCCGACAAAATAAACTTTCCAGATGTCTAATAAAAAAAGAAAAAAATCAAAATAAAAGCTTTAATAAAAATTAAGTTGAGAGAAAATTGAGTGTCCCGTTCCTTCCCTCCTAAATAGCTATTCATTTGGCGCCAGTCGAACAAAAATAATAAAAATTAAAAAAAAAAGAAAAATGGATTATTTAAAAGAGCCAAGTAGGCGCACGGCCAAGTAGGAGCAAAGCCATAAATTGCTTTCAATATTTCCGAATCGTATCAAATTTAGTATTAAACGATTCCACTCATCGAGCTGAAGAGATTGGTACCGAAATTGGCAAGGTCCAGAATTTTCTGGCTAGTTATGGCTTTGCGCCGTTATGGACGCGCGCCGAAGTGGGCGTGTTCCTATTTAAAAAAGATGAATAAACTAAAAAGTATTTTAAAGAAGCGACGACACCAATAAATGTGGGAAAATTGGAAAAAATGCTAGAAAATAAAAGAAAAGTTTTTTTGTTGAAAAAGAAAATGAAGAATTGAGAAGTTTGGAGGGGGAAATAAAAATAAAATAAAAATGTGTGTTCATGCTTGGCGGCTTTTTTCTCCCCGATACAAACCCAATTTTGAATGGCATCGCTTTCTTTAAAAAAATAAAAATAAGGAGGAATTTTAGTAGAAAATTAAAGAGAAAAAAGAAAAAATGACGGATATGTCAAGTTTGTAAAAATAAAAAAATAAAATTAATGGGGGTATAAAAGTAAATAAAGGAGAATATTAAAGCATGGAGGAACCGAATAATCGAGGTTTCTTCGGTCAGGGCTGGGCGCACATGGAAAAAAATTTGCACAGCCACAATCCGCAATTTTAATTTTAAAATCCGCAAACACAATCCGCAAGTCAAAGAAACACGCAATTTCACCCAAGCTGCAATTGCGCTCACCCCTTGTTCGAGTACGGATAAATGAGAGTTTTACATAGGCGGAGAACTGACACTTGATATTACTACAGAGATAATAAAGTGAACTTATCGAAGAAAAAAAGGTCTGACCATTATGTACATTTTAAAAAAAGTTGGATTGGTTGGGGAAAGAAACGATTCAAGTTAAAAAAAATTTTTTCAAGTTAAAAAAAAATTTTGATGATGAAAAGGGAAGATAAAAATACAAGAAAAATAAAAATAAAGCCAGAAGATGATGAGGATGTTGAAAAACATAAAGGAAGGGAATGTTCGAGGCTTTTACGTTTTTAGAAGAATTTTCTTCAAAAAAATTTTTTTAGAAGAATTTTCTCCCAAAAAAATTTTTTGGAAGAAATTTCCTTCAAAAACCCCAATAAAAAAATTAAAAATTGTGTGTAAATTACATAAAAGAGGTTTTTCAATTTATTTTTTACCCTCTCATTTTTCTCAACAAACACAAACAAACACAAAATCGTTGTCGTTAAAGTCAATCACCAATAAAAAAATAAATATTTTTTTCTACAACAAAGTGAGAAAAAAAAATATTTTTATTTATGATCGATTAACATTTACTCCAAATATCTTGTCGTTTATTTAATTTTTTTTTTGTGTTTGTCTTCCTAAAAATAAAAAAAAATTTTTTTTTCTTCTTCTAAGAGAAGAGGGTAAAAGAGTCGCGCAAAATGGTGTGTAGATTAAATATTTATTAAATAAATACCAATCAAAAAGTGCATTGAAGCGATAAAAATAGAAGAGAAATAGAGACATAGAGAATACAAGGGAAGGTAATTTTTAGTTAATTTTTGAAAACTACTTGTAAAAATAATAAAAAAAAATTTTTTGAAAGAAAAAGTGTTTTGAGAGATTGGTTAATTAGATAAATAAAAAGATTGGAAAGGAATGATGATAGGACTGAAAGAAAAAATTTTTTCCTTTGAAGAGGCTATGAAAATCATTTTAATAAATATTCCCAAGTCATACTCAAATGGCCTCCCTTTCTAAAAAGTCAGACTTAAATGGCATTATGTGAAGGTTACTCTTTCTGTGAGATTCTTCTAAAATTTATAAACTCTCGAGTAGAGAGACATGATTATAAGGGTCGTAAGAGAATCGAGATTTCGAAAAATCTCTTAACTCAATAATCAAGATTTTTGTTCAAGGTTCCGTCTAGGTTCGATCATCGGTTAAAAGATGGGGGGGGGGGTTAAAAGATACAAAAGGAAGGGGAAGAGAATCAAAAAATGAGGAAGGATGAGATAAGTAAAAATTAGGAAGGAAATTCAAAGTCTTCTTAAAGGGGGCATATATGGTATCGGAGATATTTTTTGTGAGCCTCTCCCCACAAAATATGCTTTGATTTATTTATTTATATTTTTAAAATTATAAATTTAAATAATAATAAAAAATAAATTAATTTTACAACCCCAAATAAAATTTTAAATCCCTATCAAAATTCTTTTAATTTCCTCAAAAGAATTATTCATCTTTTCATCCCCCCATTTACTCCAATCTGTTTGTGCTAATAATTCCAAAGCTAAATTAATTTGTTTTTCTTCTTCCTCCTCAATTAAAAGACTAAAAGCTTCGAATAATTGAGAGGCTACTTTTTCTCGAATTGCAGCATAGGGGGAAGTTTGTAGTGAGAAAAGAAGCTGAAAAAATTTTAAAAGGTTAGTTGAGCCTGGCCAAAAATTTTTTAAAAATTTTCAAAAAATTTCAAAAAAAAATCAGAAAATTTTTCAAAAAATTTCAAAAAAAAATCAGAAAATTTTTCAAAAAATTTTTTGAAAATTTTCAAAAAATTTCAAAAAATTTCCAAAATTTTTTAAAAAATTTCAAAAAAATTTTTCAAAAATTTTTTTTCCTAAACTTTGTAATATCAAGTAAAAATACACTAACCGCATTTAGCGAGTTTTTATACAATTTACTGTCAGATGGCAATTGAAGTAAACAACCCAAAGCAGAAACTGCTTCTAATTTAACTTTTGGTTTTCCTTTACTTGTAGCTAACTTTAAAAAATAGAGAAAATAGAAATAGAAAAAATTTTTTTTAAGAATATTGTCTCGTGGCTGAACCAGTGTGTGTTTTTGGAAGCAGAGATGCAAGAAAATAAGAATTTTGTCCAAAAACGAAACAAAAGCTTTTTGTGTTTTCTGTTTGGAAGCTCGTACCAATATTAATACTAGAACCCGGAATTTCATACCGTAGCGTACTCGATACGGGATACCGAAAAATAGGCCGTAGTAAGTACCCATAGTCAAAGCTGTTTGAACCTTTTTTAAGCTTATTCGAGTTTGGGACTCTCGGATAGGCTTAAAACAAAATTAATATAAATTTTACCTTATAAATTAATTTATAAAAATTTGAAAAAATAATTGAATCATCAGGATTTTCTTCCAAACATTTAAGCTGCCCATCATTAAATAACATTCGAAATAAAATTAATATAGGTGTTGGATCAATTTGACGTTCATACATTTTTGTATTAATTAAAAGTAAATTGTTGAGGAAATTCTCGATAAACTTTAAATTAAAAAAAATTTTTATAATTAAAAATTTTTTTAATTTATTTCGTGCTTTTCAAAATTAAAAATTTCTTTCGTTAAATTTATGTTTCAGCAATAGGGTTATTGGTTCATAAAAGGAATAGGTCACTGGTAGAGAAAATAAAAATCGGGTAGGATTTAGGATCGAATTTTAGAAAATTTTGCGCAAAACTTTTAGAAAGTTTTGCCGATTAGGCATGGGATTTAAAATCGAAAAAGTATATCCGAATTTCCGAAACCCAAAATTTAAATTTCGGGTTTGGGATATATCACCCTTATTCAATGACCCTTATTCAGAATCTATCCGAAGAACCGAGAGGATTTTCGGTCAAGTTTTCAAGTTATTTTTTAATTAAAAAAATTTTTTTGAATCACCTTAATATCCTTCTTATGAGGTTTCAAATATGAGACAATAGCAAGAAATGCATTTTCCATTGTCCAAGCACAAACACTTCCTTTTTTAATTAAAAAATTAAAAAAAATTTTTTTTTAATTTTTCTAAATTTCCAAAGTTTAAAAAAATTTCTGAAATTTTTTTTTCAAAATCTTTTAGGAAAATTCCAAAAATTCAAATGCTGAAAAAATTTATAAAAATGTTTAAAAATCCCCAAAAATTTTTCAAAAAAAAATTTTTTCTTTAATTTACCAGCAGATAGCACAAATCCAGATAATGCAAAATTACCATATGTTGTAGAATTTAATAATAAAGATAGCCGTTCAAAACCTTTAGAAGTTAACCAATCTTTACTTGAAAATTCTTTATTATTATTTTCTTCTTTATTTTTTAAATAAAATATTTTTTCAAGTAAATTAAATTCTTGAATATACAAATGTAATGAATGATTATTGCCATCAATTGAAGTTACCAATTTTGTAAGTACATTACTTGCTTTCTATAAAAAGATTTTTTTTTGTAAGTTTTTGTAATGCTAAGGAGAGGTCAATCGGAAGAGATCAGAAGAGGTCTCCTTCAATCAGAAGAGGTCGGTCGGAATTCCGATTTTCGAAAATTTAGTCTGATTTCCGAGTTCCGACTTTCGAGCCATTTCCGATTTCCGACAGTTCCGATTTCCGGCACCTTCGTCATTTCCAACCGACCTCTGGTGCTAAGAAGGAGGATTGTGGCCCGTACAGCCTTCATTATATACAACGATCGTGCAGTCACCGGTCAAAATATTCTTTCGAATATTTTTTACCATTAAAATGAATTGATCTCCCTATGGGTTTCCGACTTTTAAGGTAATTTTTACCCTAAAAAATCCATATTTAATATTCGAGCCTAAATTTTAGGCTCATTAGAGGTTCATTGAATTTTCCGATTCTTTTCGGTTATCTCCCAACATTTTCCTTTTTACCGAATTTGATCGGCTAAAAACTTTTTAATGCTTGATCCAATCCGCTTGAATGACATGAGATTGATTCGAACTGTATCAAGCATAAAGTTATAGCCGATCAAATTTGGTAAAAAGGAAAAAGGTGGGAGATAACCGAAAAGTACCCTTTTCCCTTTTTTACCTGACGTAAATCATCAATAGATTCACAAGCTCTCTCAATAACTTTTCCAATAGATAAATTTAATTGTTCTTGTAAAATTAAAATTTTCCCTTCTTCATTAACTATTAAAGGCAACAATTCCCCAATTCCTTCAATTGCCGCCCTTCTACAAAATCTTCCAATATTTCCATTTGTTGTAGTTGTGTAATCATCACTAGATTTATTTAATGAATCAAATATTTTTTGCCAATAAAAATTTTGAGAAAATAATAAATTTTTTGAAGATGATGTAGAGAGATTTATTAAAATTGTAACTAAAGTTTCTATTGCTGCAACTCTTGCAAATACCCATTTTGGTGTTTTTTGGCTTAAGAAAAAAATTTAAAAAATTCTTTTAAAGAAAAATACTTGTATATAGAGAGAACTTGATCCTAAGTAACTTGAAAAATTTTTATATAATTAAATCAGCTTTTTTTCTCTATTAAGTGAAAAAAAATTCAAAAAAATTGTAAATTGCGCACAAAAAATTTAACAAAAAATAGGGGTTGTTTTCCCACAAAATTTTGTGTTACAAGCTTTCCAAAAATTTTCAGTTATCCCGTGCTTTCATAAAAAGCGTCTTGCGTTTTGCGGCAAAAAATAGCATTGGAATGAAGAAACGCGATTTTGTCTTTCTTCTTTTAAATGCTATTTTTTGCTGCAAAACGCAAGACGCTTTTTATGTGAACACGGCATTAAGGGGTAGAATAAGTGATAAAAGTTAACAACAATTTACGTCAGAAAGAAAAAAGCTTTAAGGATCAAGTTTTCTATATCCAATTTCTCTTTAAACAAAATAAACTTACTCGAGTATAACTACAATTAATTTTTCAATTACTACATTTAATAATAATAATTCTTTTTGTTCTTTATAATCAAAATTAACATTTAAAAATTCTGGTAATAAAAATGCAAGTGGACGAATATTGCAACAACAAAGTGATTCTGTTAGTAGTATCTAACCCATTTTTATAACATTATTAATTTTTATAAAAGCCGGTTTTATAACAAAAAATAAAAAATAAGAACAAAAATGATTCCGGCATAGCTTAAATAACACCATTAAGGTTGTTAAGGGGGTTTTTGACAACCACTTAAATTAATGGATCACTTACTGGTTTATAAGTGATTAATTGACAACCACGTAAAAACCCCATTAAAAAACCACTTAAAAATATAAAATTTTAAAATTTAAAAAAATTTAAAAAATTTCACTTAAAATCCCCACTTAGAAAATCAATTAAAACCCCACTTAAAAAATTTTAAAAAATTTAAAAAATTTAAAATTTTATAAAAAACCCCCACTTAAAAAATCAATTAAAAACCACTTAAAAATTTATAATTACAAAATTTTAAAAAATTTTACTTTAAAACCCCACTTAAAAAATCAATTAAAAACCCCACTTAAGGACCCCACCCCCACTTAAAAAACCACTTAAAAAATTTAAAATTTTAAAAATTTTCTAATTGAAAAAATTTAAAAAATTTCAAAAATTTTCAATTAAAAAACAACAACCATTTAAAAAAAGGGGGGGGGCTGTTAGAGTTTTATTTAAAAAATAATTTTTATAAAAAATTATCAATTTATTAATTAAAATAAGGGATAAAAATATTAAAAATTTATAAAAAATAATAATTTAATATTAATTGAATAATAATAATAATCTATTAATGAAAAAATTTATTAAAAAATATTAAAAATTTATAAAAATATAAATGCAATATTAATTTATTAATAAAAATAAATTTAATAAAAATAAATTTAATAAAAATAATATAAAAAATTTAAAAAATATTAAAAAATAATATTAATTTATTAAATAAAATAAGAAAATAAAGAAAAATCGAGAGCTTAAATACCACTGAATTTCGAGGAGCATTAAAGCACGATCAAAGTACATTGAGTGTTTAATGGACGATATGGGGGGGTTAATGGGGGAAGGAATAGAAGGGATGAGTAAGCGACTTAAGTGAGAATGAAAGGTTAATTGATTTTTAATGGGTTTTATAATTAAGTGGGTTTTATTACACAATACATTAAAGCATTAAAAATAAATTAGGGGTAGAAGGTAGATAAGGGTCGATCAAAGTACATTGAGTTCTCTAGTATAAAAACTGGTGAGTTTTCCGCATTTACATCAGTTTTAAAACATAATCCTCAGAGCGATAACAAGCTCCAACCTTCCCTTAGTTCATTAAATTTATTTTTATAAAAATTATCCAAGATTTGCTTATCTCATTAAATTATTTTTATAAAATTGTATTGTAATTTATTTCATATAAATTTTAAATCCTTGTAAATATAAAAAATAATTTTTATAACGAGAATTTAAATATAATATTTTAAACTACGAAACTACGAATAATATTTTAAACTACGAATTTTTCGTAAACAACAAATGGCAGAAAAAAAGACAGCCAAAATGCAAGGCAGGGAATAAAACATTTTATGATAATAACTCATAAATGCATTTATTTTCTGAAGGTGGTGATGAACATGAGCAAAACCGTCCCAACAGCGGAAACAGCTGTGACAAAGGTAAGTAAAGGCTCAATTATTGGAAAGAATAATAATTCAGAAATTGATTTTTTACTTAAGGTGATGAAATTGAAGAACTTAGTGCAATTGAGCTCGAAGAAATCCGTGGCTTCATACGAGAGCAAAAAAGGAAGAAAAACGCTGTAGAAGTACGCCGCAAACGCTCTTTAACTACGACTTCAAGCTCTGGGAAATCAGGAGTTTGTCATCCACCTGTCCCAAAGAAAACAAAAGCACCTACTAAAAAGGTAAGATTAGTAAAAGTTTATTAAAGATTTGCAGAAGCAGGTTGGTGAGAAATGGTCAAATGCCATAAACAATGATGAAGAAGAAGAACAATCAGATGAACCCGATAAAGACGAAATAATTGATCTAGGAAAGGATGAGGAAGAGTATAAACTACTTCGCCATGAGCAAGAAGAGAAAAAAAGTAAGTATTGTTTTTTAATTAACAAAATTTTGTTATAGGATATTACAATACCATTCCGCAGCAACTGCTAGTGCAATCGGATATGCTAAAAAATCCCAGAAGAGGGATTTTTGTCCATCAGTGTAATAATTGTAAGGAGAAACAGATGCAGCG